TGCTTCATTGGGAAGCGAGGAATCCGGGCAGACCCTGTTCAGGTCAAATTTATAGTGGATTGGCTGGTTCCGAGGAGCCAGAAGGACCTCCGCAAGCTGTTGGGTTTGGCAAATTACTTGCACAAGTATAGCCGCAACTATGCGGAAGTGGCTAGACCATTGTCGAATTTCCTCTAAAAGGATGTGAATGGTGTTGGAACACCGAGCACCACGAGGGTTTTGAAGCCATTAAGGAGAGTTCAGGCGCCAATTCTGGCCCTGCCTGATCCTGATCGCCCGTTTAGCGTCGTATGTGACGCTTCGGACTTTGCCATTAGCAGTGCACTTTTGCAAGTTGACTCCGAGGGTCGAGAACGCGTCATCGCGTTTGAGTCTCGCAAGCTGAAAGCTGCAGAAAAGAACTATCCAGTTCATGATAAGGAGCTACTTGCGATGAGCGCTGCGGATATACACAATGTCGCCTCGCCTTCCCCGGCGTCGCTTAATGTGGCAATGACTCGTGCTACTTGCCAGCGTAAGCATACTACGTTGTCGGTGCATGAGCTAGCAAAGCTTTGATTACTCCTACGCTTCCCCTTGTTCAGTTCATGGTACACCAGTTGGGCTCAAAGTCGTTCGTGATCTATACCGCCCAAGTTGTACAGATGAGTTGGTAGCGCGTGTGAAACGTGTCAAAGGGTGAAGCCCTCGCCTAACATGGCTGCGACTTTGGCGAGCTTGCTTGTACCCTCAAAGTTGTGGCAGTCCATCATTATAGACTTTGTGTTTGGCCTACCGCGCGATGTGGCAGGCAAGACTGCGATATGGTCTTTGTTGACGACTGAGCAAGATGGATCATGTAGCGGCAAGGCCGGGCTCCATTGATGGAGAGGGAACAGCTAAGCTGTTCATGAATCGTGTGTTTAGATAACACCAATTGTCTGTGGCAATCGTCTAGGATAGAGACCTCCACTTTACGGGTAAGTTTTGGACGTCAGTCTTTAAATTGCTGGGAACTCGACTGGACATGTCCACAGCGGATCATTCACAGACCAAAAGTCAGACAGAATGCGTCAATCGCGTTATTGGTCGTATGCTTCGAAGTGTTTGTGCTGAAACATCCAAGCAATGGAGCACCATGCTCCCTCTCATTGAGTTTGCGTTGAATAACGCGGTGCATGCCTCGACAGGCTTCATTCTATTCTATGTGAATGGTTTGGCTAAACCTCGCGTTCCGTTAATGCTATCCCGTGCCCCATCAGGGCATAGTGGGGGGAGAGATAACCGAAGGCTTTGCTGATATCAGCCCTGTTGCGATGCGCAAGAAGGTGGAAGCGTTTCTGTCAACGCGTTTTGACGTATTACGTCGCGTCAAAGATGCTATGGCTGAAAGCCAGGATGTTTACAAGGAACAAGCGGATGCCAAAGGCAGGAATAACGAACACGAGTTCAAAGTGGGTGATTTGGTTTTATTAAATGCTAACACTGTAATGCTTAAAAGCAAGTGTTGCGAACACTGTATTGCTTAAAAGCAAGTGCTAGGCACCTTGTGCCGTGAAAGCAAGCGTGTGAACACACAAAAGGTATTAATAATACCAAGTGCTTGGCACTTAACGCTTATAAGCAAGTGTCGTAACACTTAATGCTTTAGCGTGAGTGCGATGCACTATATGCTCAAAGAGCGAGTGTCGTAACACAAGGATGCTTATAAAGCGTGTGTGCAATGCACGGGTGCTTAAAGAGCAAGTGTTAAAAACAAAGAAGCAAGCAAAATGTGAAGAAAATGAAATCGATGCCTCCAATTAAGTGCGGAAATTCGTGGATACGTCGGGTCCCACGGATTGGGGGGGGTGTAACGGGGTTACACGAAGATGTGTATTGTACATACACACCTGCTACACTAATGTGGTGTGGCTGTGCCTTGGGTACAAAAGCAATCGTACCTGAAGTACGAAGGGTCACATCGTGGCAGAGAGCCACGTGGTCACTATACTTACTTAAAGTATAGTGACTATGCATGTTTGCATAATAATAACAGGCTGTAGAGCCTGTAAATAGTGACTAGCACTAAGTATAGAGTAGGTGCTTCTATATTTGGTGTTAGAAGATAAACATAAATATAAATCAGTTTCAAACCTGCTCTGTAAGCCTTACAGCTCGAACGTGTTATTCCTCCTGAGAAATCAGTATCTTTGATACTAGACTCTTTGAGACACGGTTACAACAACCTATAGGCACAAGCTTACGAGCTAGCCTAGAGGGTTAAGCACCCTAAGACGTAGAAGCTCTCTGAGCTTGTCTTCCTCTGCACGTAATGCGTAAGTAGCTTTTCTACAGTAGTTTGACTACTTCCTCTGCACATAGTGCATCGTCACATAGTGCATAAGTAGCGTAAATACAGTAGCTTGGCTAAATGATAGGCTGGCTTCGCTCCAAGCCGGTGTGACTTAAGTCTGCTTTGATCTCGCTTCGAGCCTGACAAGTTTTGCTTGGAGCAACCCTTAATCTTTGTGCATGATCGCCCCAGTATCTGGGTTTCAGTCCCAAAAACAGCTCGCCACTGGACGTGATAAGCTTAGGGTCAATAGCGATATTCCAGAGTAGCTCTTGCTCTTGAAACCTATGAATGCCTTACTCAATATTGTGATGACGAATCAGCCAGCTCGTTCTAAAATTACCAGAAGCCGCACTCCTCATAGATTTCATGCTCTGTAGCTAGGACAGGGCATAATAGAATTAGCTGCGTTCTTGAAAGCTAATCAAACGTTTGCTCCAGCATTTGTTTCTAGGTGAAGACAAATATGTACGAATTGTCGAAACAGCTGGCTTTATCTGCTTTTTTGAAGGCATATGTAAAACTGAATTGTCAAGTGAGAGGTGTTATACTGTTTGCATGTTGTATCACTGTACGCATGACTGCATTCTATAATTAATGCTGCGTGATGTCAGATGCTTACTAGTGGCAACGGCCAGGGCCAAGAATAGCTGATTACTATGAAATACGACAAAAGGTTTTACTATTTCTGACTAAAGCATGTTACTGAAAGCTTCAAGTCATTGAGTGCTTGAGCAGGTTGTCAAAGAAAAGATGCATACGTTTATTAAGTGACCTATTGTCGCCGAGCTACTGTAGCTACGCTACTTATGCACTATGTGCAGGTGCACTATGTGCAGAGAAAGTAGTCAAACTACTGTAGCAAAGCTACTTATGCACTATGTGCAGAGGAAGACAAGCTCAAAGAGCTTCTACGTCTTAGGGTGCTTAATTTTCCTAGGCTAGCTCGTAAGCTTGTGCCTATCGGTTGTTGTAACCGTGTCTCAAAGAGACTAGTATCAAAGATACTGATTCTTCAGGAGGAATAGTACGATCAAGCAGTGATTCTTAAAGAGCGATGTGACCCTTCGTTCAGGTACGGTTACTTTTGTACCCAAGGTACAGCCACACCACATTAGTGTGGCAGGTGTGTATGTACAATACACACCTTCGTGTAACCCCGAACGATAAGGGCAACAATAAAGCAATTTGTATAAACATTTACCCTTCGCTACCCACAGTACAGTATGTCGAGGAGCATCGACGCCTTGACAATAACATTCGTCAAACATGTATATCTTCAGGATGAAGTTTTTGCCTCTTTGGAGGCCGATAGAGAGAGAGCGCTGTCCGTTGCTTCCTGAGTATTCTCACCATTGTCATCCATCAGCTTTTTTTCTTCAGCCAAGTCTACTCGTAGACGAAGCACTGTGTCACAGCTTTCTGCGTGTTGGAGCAACTCGTCAAGTTTTCAATTTGTATTTCTCAAGCAATACGACATAGGCAATACTGGTGGATGCAATTGTCCACGTGCTTGAGCCACTCATACATTCGAGGGCTCGGAAATTTTTCGACTCTGCCCTTGTCAAGCAAGACGAAAAAGCTCGTCAATGTGGACTTGAAAAGATTCAAATCTGAAAAGCAACGCCTGAACCACCTCGTTTAGCAAGTTGACGTCTCCTTGTACCCACTTTAATATGTTGAATATTCTCGATATTATAGAACACGATATTGAGCAATTGTTCATCATCATGTACGATAGAAATTCGCGAATGGTTGCTCGCATGGAGGTATTTTGCGTCGAAGGATTTTACTTTTAAAAGCCAAACACGTATAAAAACGGACCATTGTCGATGTTCTATACGACTTCTTTGTCAAGTTTTTCCTTGCAAATGACTTCGTCAGGATGTTTCTTGGAACCCCGCTACTTTTTGTTCTTGTGTTGCGCGCGTTTTATATTGAAAACGATTCACGATCAGGCTGACCAGTCTTCTGTCATGATAAAGCTTCACATAGGTTTCATCAAACGTGACTGTAAAATATCACGTACGCCATCCATTTCAGCCAACTCGGCAATCTTATGCCAATGCACTGGAGCAATTTATAGCGCACATGATACTTCCAAGCATCTGTAGAATAATTATTTTGTAACCATAGCTTTATGTCTTCCAAGTTGTTTTTACAACATCAGCTGCGGCAGCCTCCTTTGGGGTACAAACCGTCTTTCCAGCATCAGAACTGTCTTCTCACGAGTCGCATCATCACATCAAGAGCCACCTTATCAGCAGCGGACGTGTGAAAATTTGTTCGATTGTAGTCTGCATTTTCGTGACATATACAGCGATTGACTCCTCTCTTGGTGCCCCAGAGCCTTCGCTGCGCCGATGCTAAATACGCTGCATATCCCCGTCGCTGTCACCATGATTCAGTTGGTAATGGAACAACAGGAGTGTCAAATACCACAAAATCCCGTGTTCGGCAAGCTGCAGCAAGAGGACTTCAGCTATTTTCTCCGAGCTTTTAGCCATTTCAGATACGATTGTGAGAGAGAAATCTGTAGCCAATTGATCATTTTCTTGCGAAATGAAACGTGTCAAACAAGGTAGCAGATCAATTGACTGTGCAGCAAAGACATTTGTCTACATCACGCTAATCAACACAGACACGCAACGAGCACCAATCAATCGAGTATATGAAACATTCAAATTTAGTGCTGTATAGTTTGACTACCCCCACTAGACAAGATCTTGAGCAAGGTAGCGTTGCGGTCACACGCGCTTTCACTCGACCCTCTTTCCCCCTCTGTATCACTATCATCATCTTGGTACTCAGCGGTCTCTACAGAGTCCAATCGCTCACTGCCCATTCGACCCAGAGCCCCGATGACACCACTTCCGACCCCCACAACAAAGCGTTTGAAGCCAAGCGCACCACTAAGCGCCATCACAAATTGTTTTTTAGCAGAAGGTTTACGCTGCTCAACATCCATATCGTCTGCATCTTGACTGTAAAGATACAACCGTCGGCGCTTCAAGTCGCCACGTGGATCAGCGCTTCCTGGGACCATTTTCTTTCTAAAGCGAATCTCAGGAGACTTGAGTTGCGACAGCGATACGTAACCGCCCGATGAGCTCACAGGTGGCACAGCGATGGCATCCGGTTTATCAATACGACTATGGCGTGGTGGAAGTGACGTTGGCGCTGAGATTGGCGGGGGTGGTAGAAGCCGCGTGTCGATATTGTTGCTACTGCTTGAGGTAGCGATAGACAGGTTATCAGCAAACAACGTCGAGCTTGAGGTGCTTGTAGTGATGGATGCAATGTCTTGAAGATCTGGCCGCAGGAAATTCTTGAACGCCACACTCCACCGCAGTTCTCGACGAGTGTCCACAGCTCGTAAAAATCGCTGCAATCTCTCACGTCTATAATGCAGTAGTCTTGGGTCGTCTCCACGGAGATAGGAGATCCAACCTCCGTCCGGGAACTTCGGCAGAGCATCTCGTAATGCTATACCATGTGTATCCACCAGATAATTGTACAGCTGGCGGAAGTCCGTGTATCGTCTTGTGACTGTATATCGTACAACCGGCGGTAAATCCGGGTACACAGAGCTCTGTTCTTCTTCTGAAGCATTTGTAATGACACTGCTGTTGTTTTCCATGCTCATTTTACGGACACAGATGGTCATATGATTGCTATTGAAGCTGGACGCGCGCACATCGAGCACTTCAATATGATACTGCCAGCTGGTGTTTCGACGGGTTACGCCGGTGATTTGTAAATCACGACTGGCCTCTCCCGTCGCTTGAAATAAAGAAGAGCTTGATGCATTAGACGTCGGAGGGTTATAATGTTGTTTCACACTGCTCGAAGGATGAGAAACCATGAGAGAGAGATGACGATGGATGAGGGGAGGGGGGTCAGAACAAAGTGTCTAGTTTACTGGATACTTTACGGATAGAAATGAAATGAATTGCAATTGAAAGAGGAGTAAAAGAGGAAGAGATAGAGACACGTGAGTGGGAGAGAGGAATATAGTCTAGAGTGCAGTCGGGACCTTTGGAAACAATCGCGTGAGGTGAGGAACAATAAATGTTGTCGGTTCCTCGTTCCAAGAAGATCAATAGTGGTTTATCGTTAAGTTTACGGACAGTGACTTAAGTGCAAGAAGATGACTTTAATTACGTCAATGTCGAACTTAATCAGTAATCAAGGGTTTCTAAAAACGTACTAAACTTTTGACTACTTAAACACTAAGAAAACGTGAAGGGATAGATATGGCGGGTAAATCAGCAGTGAAAGCCCCTTCGAGTGTCGTGCCTACGATACGAGACTTGGTAGACAAGATAGTATTGGAATGTCCATCTAAAGAGGTACATTATGACATACAATGTATTGTTCATACCCTTCTCTAACATCTGGTGGTAACATGATTAAATAGTAACAACAATAATATTATTGTTATTGTATTGTGTTTCTATTCTAGGTTCTCATCATTATAGAAACACTTTATATAAATTATCTGAGTGAATTATGTGACGATACAAAGACATTGGAATGTCTCCAAGAGTTGGACGCTATTTGTTTCCTAGAGGACACTTTATGGCCATTGATGGATTTTATTGCAAGTATACAAGACGACCGTCATTTCTATATGAAGAAAATCTATTTGGTGTCAGTGATGCTGCTTGTAACGTTTAAAGCTCAAAAGAGAGACGTTACATTGTCGTCTTCTTCCTCTATCAGCAGTTTGAATGGTGTGTGGACCTTTGTAAGGGAGAGAGAAGGAACGTGGAAGACATTTATGACGACATTGTGGACAGTATTGGAGGAAACAAGACTTGACAAAGAGAATGACGCTACGTGGACATTCAAGGAGCAAACAGCATTGAATTACTTTCTCATTATATGCTTTCAGAGTCTCGACGTGCCATTAGTAGCGTCGTCCGTGCTGCAGATGACGTCCTTGTCACTGTGGACGGCACTATCGCAGACCCAACGAGCGCTCGAGTTTCAAGCGTATCCAAAACTAAAGAAACACTGGAATCGCATCATGTCTGAGAACGCTTCTACGACGAAAAAGAAGAAGACGGCCAAAACGAATAAACGCCGCAAACTAGAATCGACTAGAGAGACTCGGGCATGTCAAGAGCAAACTGCGTTGGTGTGCCGACTCAATGCGTTTTTCCGGGTGCTAAAGGCTCCAATTGAAGAAGGCGTTTCAAAGCACGTGGTAACCTCCCGACTGCGCTTCGTAGCGTCATTTCTAGCCCTACTGATCGACCTATTGAGTCAACTCCCTACGCGTCGCTTTCTGCTGACAGTATTGAGGCGTCGCCATGTTCGCACTGCGCTTCAAAATAGTACGCTCGTCCAATATGCGCTGCAGTGGCAGAGTGCTAATGACAAACAAGCTCTCAGCAAGCAGTTGGCTTTGCTGGACGCATGCATAAGTTTTCCCGTCAATGCACATACCGGAGCGTCACTTTCTTCACGAGATTACCGTGAACATCTTGATCGCCAAATTCAGACGTTGCAACAATACGCCTTCCAGTCATTTAGAAACTCACGGGTGGAGGAATTAGCCATTGTTCCGTGTGGTCACATCGCGAATGCTGCAAGCTTCACAGAAATGCTGAGCTCAATCGTAGCTGCTGATAGCTTGCGACTCTCGTCATTGGCTATCGCTGTTGGTGTGCTCGCAGATCAGGCTGAAGCTGACACAGTGTCTGACGTGGAATTGATTGAGTATTTTAAGGAGGAATATACGGTTGAAAGTAGCAACAAGCATGACGCACTTTCGCCCGATGTGCCTGTGTTCCCCACCGAATTAGACATTTGGGATGAAATGTTGAACCGAAAGAATGCGTTTGAGCAAAATGCCAGGGCACCAGATGACGATGAACTGATGCAAGCAGTGGACCATGAAATGGATGACATCTACAGCGCCGACGATACTAACTTGTTCCCGGTACTACCTGTGCGCAAATTAGGTCTACAATTTTTGAATCTAGCGGACTATCTGCAGCGCAACTATGAGCTGCTTCGACTGGAAGCTGCGCAAGCTGTCCGCGGAGATCTTGAGACCGCTATTCAACAACTTGATGCTGTGCGTGCTTTGCGTTCATCAAGTGAAAATGACACAATTTTTCGTGGTTTCTCTCGTTTTAGTGTGCCGCTGACAAATGCACTCCAGATTGTAAAAGTGAGTAAGCCATTACTCGGCCAGGCTGCTCCCGCATCAGTCATCGCACAGCTTGAGGTAGAATTGTCCAGCCGGCATGATCGTAAGCACTTTGATTGCTATCGGACGAAGGAGGTGGTGTTTCTGGTGATTGTGAGAGCTACAGTTGATGAAGGCTACGAAATGATGGGGTTTCAGAAGCAGCCAGAAGACGGAGGATCGTTTCCTGAGAAATTTGGTGTGCAGTATGTACGTGCTGCGGAAATCGTAGAGGTGACAGATGCTGCTGGTATCGCCATTAACGATGATAACAGGGTTGGAAAAGGCAGCAAGCGGATGTTTAAACTAGCTTTGGATGGTGTACAATACAAGAATGACCTAGAAGCTGGTCACCTTGATGCATATGAACAAGTGAATTTGTTAGTGCGGCGTACGAGTCGTGAGGATAACTACAAGTCTGTGTTGGACATAATTTACAGAACATGGCGTGATGCTAACAAGGAAGAGCTACTACCAGCATGGTTACACGACCTCTTTTTGGGATACGGAGATCCGACGGCTGCGCTGTATAAGTCGATTTACAAAGCGAGGGCAGAAAAGCAGCTGACTGTGGCTATGAGTGAGCTGCTTGTAGATGGTGAGCATGCACTCGAAGCCGGTGGCGCTGAGAAGCTTGTGAATGGCGATGATGAAACGCAAGAGCTTAGTGCGAAGGATGCGGTTCCCCCATTCACGTATGTTGAGAATATCCGCGATGGCTCAAATTTTATTCGCGCGTCCCACAAGATGTCTGCTGGCTGTTCGAGCATTGATTCTCCAGTCCGCTTTACTAAAGCACAAGTGACTGCCGTACGCACAGCAGCGTTTGAAGGATTGACACTAGTTGTGGGTCCACCAGGTACGGGTAAGACAGATGTAGCTGTACAGCTTGTGTTGAACCTATACCGCTCAACCTCATCACGTGAAAAGGTGCTTCTTGTGGCCCATTCAAGTCAAGCACTCGATGACTTTTTTGCAAGAATTCTAGCACGAAACGTAATTAACGAAGCTGAAATCGTACGGATGGGACAAGCGCAACTTGATAATGAAAATGGTTTAGCCGCAAAGGAAGGCGAGGGGGGCTTTTATGGAAATTTCAGTTGCGATGGGCGCGTAGCATTTCTGTTGGAGCGAAGGGCAACTTTGCTGGCAGAAGTGGAACAGATGGCGCAGTGGCTTATCAAGCGCGATCCCGCGCAATACGCTGGTCTGAGTGGTGGTTCAGCGTCATATTCTTGTGTGAACGCTCTTATTTTCTACCAGTTCCACATGAAGTTGTTACTTAATGCGGCTTATGAGTCAACAGGGTTATCCTCGACTGATGGTAAAGGCGTAGCACTCACGGAGTTTTTTACATTACGTAAGGGTGAGCAACCCATTAAGGCTGAGGACGTACGTCAGTTTGCTGCGGATATTGACTCGTACTTTGCAGAGCTGCGGCGTCTTGAACCCTTCGAGTTGCTTCAGACCCCTCGCCAGCGTGGCGACATGTATCTGATCCATCACGCTCGCATAATAGCGATGACATGTACGCACGTGGCACTAGACTACAGCAAGCTTGCAAATTTGGGGCTGGAGTTTGGAAGTCTCATCGTGGAGGAAGCTGCTCAGGTAAGTGAATTGGACACCCTCGTGCCGCTTTTATTAACATGTTCCAAAAAAGCTGGATCAGCTTATGCAAATAAAGGCACGACGCACTCAAGCCTCAAGCGAGTCGTGCTTATCGGAGATGCAAAGCAGCTTCCACCTATGGTGAAATCAGCTGTATTGAAAAGTTACGCACACTTTGACCAGAGCCTCTTCACTCGCTTTTTGCGTCTTGGTGTACCTCCCATTGTACTCAATCAACAAGGCCGTAGTAGGAGCGAGTTGGCTGACATTTATCGGTGGCAATACGATGATATCTTCTCCAGTGAAGGTAAAACTACGCTGGGTGATTTGCCTCGCGTGAAGTCTGGGCGCGAATATCAGACTGGCAACGTTGGGTTTTTGCATGTAGCGCAGTTTGTGGACCTTTCCACAACGTCTGAAGAGCGTCAGCCGAGACCTTATGCTTATGAGAATGAAGAAGAGGCTCGATTTATTGTCGCTCTGTTCCAGTACATGGTCAGTATTGGCTACTGTGCAGATCAGGTGGTCATCCTTACGACCTACAGCGCGCAAAGAGAATGCTTGCAGCGGCTACTGCGCGCTTTTGTACTTGAAGTTGAGGTCTCTACCGTTGACTGCTTTCAAGGCCAGCAAAAGGATTTTGTACTGTTGTCTACGGTGCGTAGTGGGAATAGCGTGGGGCACCTGCGTGATGTGCGTCGCGCTTTGACGGGCTTGTCTCGCGCACGGCTTGGATTATATGTGGTGGGATGTTTCAATACGCTGGAGCAGGCAAGAGAGCTACAACCGTTCCTGACCAAGTTAATATCTGTAGCGAAAAAGCACGACAGCGGCAAGGCGATGAAGCTGGCACTTGTGCCTTCGGAGAGAGTGGGGCCAACCAGGACCAAGTCCAAAGCAAAGCCTAAAGTCGTGTACATTTCAGACCGGAAGCAGCTTGAGAAGGTGGTGGAAGAGCTGAAAGCTCAAAAACATTGTTGAGTGATCCTAAGCGAGTGCAAACATTTTGACTGGGTAGAGTTCTTCGGGAAAATGACGTTGGACACGCTCAGCAAGTAGCGTGAGCCCGGCTTGCTGGAATAAGCTCTTATAGTAAACAGTCGAGCGGGTGATGCTGCTATCGTGTCGATCAATGTCGTAGGGTTCAGTTGTCTGGAAGATGTTCTCCTTAATAACAATAAATCCGTTTGGTGTAAGGGCCTTTCTGCACCGCCTCAGATACTGCACAAGATCCAAGTCCATGAGATGTACTAGCACCCATTGCATCCAAATGAGATCATAACTCGCCTTTGTTGGTTCAAAATCCTGTAATCCCATGCAGTACAAATGTCGTATTCGTGCATACAATGTCTTTTCAGGTCCAAAGTATTGTGATACACCTTGAAGTAATCTTGGACTTTGTTCCACTAGATCAACATGATGAAACATTAAGGTAAGTAAGTGTTTACTTACTCGGCCAATACCAGCACCACAATCTACTGCAGTATGACCAGTCCAATTGGGTCTTTTTGTCTCTTGAATATGTCGAAGAAATCGTTTTGATTCACGAATATCAATACGTGAAACATGACCAAAACCTCCAAGTACACCATTATCCGTCAAAGGACAATTTATCTCATTGTTCCAATACATTGAAGCACTGGTATACCACGTTAGTTCTTGTACTGTCTCTTTTGGCGTAATCATTTCTTCTTCTTCTTTTCGATTATCGTCATCAAATTGATTATCACACCCGTGTCTTAATTCCATTTGCCACATAGAAAAGACAGTACTACGTCAACATGAGTCATTAGTAAACAAAATAATATGTTTAGTAATCATGGATGATTTAGTACATAGACAAGACCCATTCAAAAGTTGATATCACATACTCGTATTTCGCATGACGTTCAGTCGTTTCGGACGCATCCAATGCTCGCTGCACTTGAGTTGCAATAGCTTCCACTTCTTTCCAATCGATACGTGAGCAACGACGTCGAGTTTGAGGCAGCACGAGCGATATCGACGACGTCAGGCGTGACGTCAGACATGAAGATGTGCCTTGAGTTACAGGATGGAAACCGGTTTTTGCAAAATTGAACTAAAAACCGGAACCGGTATAACGACACAAAATATCCTATTTTTCCAAAATATCTGGATTTGAAAAGTAAATGATCGGTAGGATGATTTTAGCTTACGAAGTAAATGACCAATTGATTGAGAGATATAAAATACCTCATTGACATCGTTTCCATCCACAAATTGTCTAAGACTTAAAAGTGAAAGTGATAATTGGTGTCAACTGACGTTTCACTTTATTCTCGTCGTTATGAAGGCAACTATTTTGAGAAACTCTCGAGGTCAAATTTGACCTTTTTCTATTGATAATTAATTGCCACGGAAGAAATTGATTTACGCGATCTAGTGCTTGATAATGTACATGGCAGTTGAAGTTATTGTTGTTGTTAATATATGGAGCTATAGAATGAAAGATGTAATGGTGTCTTATACGACATGAAAAAACTCTCATAAAGCTCGATACTGGTGAAAACATTTTTATCCGATGTATCGTCATGGCGAGAATATTAACAATACGATGGTGCCAGAACCACCACTGATTACTATGGCTCTTTGCTGGGTCTCTTAGAATGCGTGGAACACGCTGTTGTATCGTGGATTTTCACTGCTTTCACTTATGTATGTTTATTGGAACAAGGCACGCATTGTGTCTGCTATAAGTCATGACGTTTTTTGTCGAGATCTGAACTTTATAGAGACGTTTGAAGACAAATTGTTGACGTGCAGTGAGAAGATGAATGTGCAAAGTGGAACCGAGGAGTTGATAGCGATTAAGCGGCTTCAGAAAGATAATCGTGTATTGTAGCCGAATAGCGCATTCTGTACGGCTCTTATGCATTTGATTGCAGGCTCAAGCGATGGTGTCTCGGATCAGCAGGGTGCTATCCGATTTGTTGCATTGCTGGGTAATATGAACAAGAAGTTCAAGCTGGTCGATGGAGGATTTTGCTTGTGTGTGAGTTTACTTACAAGGCGACTGCTATGAAGCACCTCGTGCAATGGCTTCGCACAAGATTTTATGCTTGATCCCTTCAACAAGCGGTGGAGATTATGTGTGTCTATATCAATAAACTGATGAGATACTGTGGGCTATGTACATCCAGTATAAAATGCTTCGAAAGCAACCAAGCAAGCAAACGCTCCAAACACAATACGAATTTGAACATCCTTCATGCCAATACATTATTTAATTTATACATTAATGAACGTATTTGTCATGTACAACAGTTTTCTACAGCTCGACGACTCTTCCTGAATACAATCCTGCCGATACTTGTTCCAATGAATGTAATTGGGCTTCAGCACGCTCAGGGAGTGAACCAAGATGGCCAATATGATGCATTTGCCTTTTAAACGCGTAATTCGTAAACAAGACATAACGTCCTGCTACGAGCACACCACCTTTACAATCCTGTCGATGGTATTTATCAGGAACTTGTACTGGTGGCACAACAAACTCATGTGTCATCGTCATTGTCTTTGATGGTATCGATGTGATTAAGACTGAGAAATCAATCCTTCCAGTCTTGTGAGGCGAAATCAAGACGGGATCAAAATCTTCTTCCGACGTTTCATCGTCTGAATAATCCACTGCTTCCTTATTATTGTCATTATAGCAAAGGTTTGCACAAGACGCTGCAATATACATGTCCAGCTCTTCCTTGTAGCTATGCTCGTCATCATCATCATACACACTCTTCTTCTCGCTCTTTTCCACTTTATTGTGGTGATAAGTCAAACTCTTGATCGCCCGTTGGATAAAATTGTGCTTCTGGCGACGTTTGTGCTTTTGTGCGTTTGTTCTTGTCTTTATGCTTTTTTCTTCTTCATGAGTGATACTTTTGTCAGTCCACTTTTTCTCTTGATAATAATTGATATTATCCTTCATCTTGAGCCTTTTCTTGATACTGATGGAAACTACTGACTCAGATTGACATGAAAAGTTGACAAGTGGAGACAAGTAACCTCAGAAAAGACTCAAGAAAAGTTTGGATAAAATTTTACTCGCAGTTTAATTACGCCTAATCCCTAACTCTCTTGATTGGCTGGACAAAAGTATTTTAGTTTTAATCCGAATCGATACAGTTACAGCTGGAAAAGTATCTAACATCTGACATTGAATAAAAGCCTATCCATTTTGGATAAAACTATCTCTAAACATAGCAATTGCCTAAAAACGCAAGCTTTTGTCAATTAAATGCAAATATTTCGTTAAGCTGTTGCTAAAGGAAATATAACCGTCAAAAGACAATGCTAAAGTTGCACTAATATTAATAAATACACAAATAATACGCTCGCATTTGCTGCGAGTTTTTGTTTTTGTAAATAACAAGTGCTCAGTTTTTGAGAAAAACTTGCAGACTGCATACACCGAAATGAGGACTAATTTACCATCTGTGAACCTAATTCAACGGAGTCTCGACGTCACGAGCAGATGGCGGTTTGGCAACTGAAGACGATCAATACGAACAGTGACCACCAATCTGATGGATATCAATACCATACGAGATTATCGCGAATGACAGGCGCTCTACCATACCATAAGTTTATCAGTAATGTCATAATTTGTTAATTTAACTATCGTTTCAGCATAAAATGAGAGCTTTTAGATACAAATGAACCTACGAATTACAAAATATTAAGGCTACCAGGATAATATAATGTACCATGTACGACCACACCATTAATAGTGTTCGATTGTAAGTACATACTGTCAAATATGACGTTATCGTTTAATCTTTGTCGTGTTCACGCACATCCAACAGTGTCACGAGGCACCCATTCAAATGCTTTCAATACAATTATAAGAACTTTGACTCTAGTAGACCCCTAAGGAGGTGGTGTAAAAGCCTTTTTGTATCGCTACCAAGCAGACAACAAGTCCTGTGATTGTAGACAACCGTCTTTAGCTTCTAACTGTACAAGGTTTCACGACGCAAGTAGTCCGTACATTACAAAGAAACCCATTGGCGAGACAGGAAGTTTCGTCCATGAAAATTGACCATCATATCTCTCCTCTTGTCACTGATTTTGATTGAATATCTTCAATGCAGTGCGTCTTTGCAGTAAGGAGTGATTGTACTGTTCCAGTGAAGACTCAAGTTTCTTGATTATGTCACGTGAGAATTGGTCGAGTGTCGAGTCTCAAGTGGAAATCTCTTGTGTAACCAGTTCACAAGATACTTCAGAACATCCTCTTTCTCGGGTTCCTCATAGATCATGTGATAGAGACCGTCAAACAGCTTGAATTCCTTGTCCAGGCTTTCCATCCGAGTGTAAAACTTAATCGCTGCCTGCTGGTCAGAAATGCGGTCTTCTGATCCAGCGAGAAACAGCATTGGGATTCCACAAAACGGGCTATCTGAATCGGAAATTTTCTTTTCTTCTTGAAGCCGTATCATGGCATGAAGGGATTGGTACCCGCTACACGGGGTTATCATATCACTGCTAGTCAGAGGATCGTCTTGATACTTTTTCAAAAAGTTGGGGTCTCGTGATCGAAAATTATGCTGAATGGCAGGGATAACTTTTGCTGTTGGAAGTGCTGCGACTAGCGGACGAGCAAATTTCCATTGAATCCGCAGCATTGGTGCCCACGTTACGCCAATTGTAGGCGAAGCCCAGACCGCAGCGTGGAACTTGTGCTCACCTGACAGAACTGTGTGCAGACCAACAAGAGACCCAAACGAAGCTCCAGAAATAATCAACGGTAGTTCTGGTGCATTTTGGCGCTTTTTCTCTCTTCCATGAGGGTGACGAGGGTGATGGTGCTTTCGCCAATACCGAAGAGCGACCTTGTAGATATTGCTCTTTGCAAACGTGATAAAGTCGTTCGTGTCTTCAACGAAATCATCAAAGTTGGTGACGTGTGCGCGTATTTTGTACTTGTCGTACTCGCTTTCTCCGTGATTCAGCAGATCGTAAGTAATGACACCAAAACCTTCTTTGCAATGCCGTTCGTAAAGAGCCGTATTTCGTCGGCAGTGGTCACCCATGCCATGCAAGTGAAGCACAATTCCACGCATTGCCAACTTTTCTGGAGGGAACATCGAGAAGTATAAGAGTGACTGGCCTCGTCGGTTCTTGAACTTGCCTTCGTATTGACGAAGACGTGAGAATGACTTGCTCTGTTTCATCAACGACGACGTCACCTTCATGTCAGACGAGCATGTCGAGATTTCATTATCACTCAGACTTCTGATAGCCTTTCTATCGTGACCCTTGTCAAATAACGCGTGCCCGTGTGCAAGAGTATCGTCATTGTCCGAAGGGGACCGGGAATGACCAATTTTCCGCTTTGCTAACGATTTCGAACGCTTTGCTTTGCCCTTCCCCACTGTTGGGGTCTTTTCCCGTCGTCGGGCTGATCTCTCGGCATCAGTCGATTGTTCTTCGGACGATGAAGGTGACAATGCAGATGAATTTGCTTGAGAAATCAGTTTGGCAGGGTTTGAAGCAGGTCGTGTACACACCACGCGAGATTTACACCCTTCCTTTTCCAGTGAAGTAGGATCGGACGCAAGCAAGTCTTCAAAGCACGACGCATGTCGTGATCGAAGTGACATGGTCGTCTTTATAGCTTTCTGTTGTTTCGATGCCTCCTTGGTATTCTCGTCCAAGAGAGAATCATCAAAGCATGACACAGGGCGCGATCGTACTGAAAGCGCCTTTGTCGTCGGCATCTTCCTCGTAGTACCAGTAGTTGTCGTAGTCGTAGTAGTATTCCATGAATCATCAAAGCAAGGAACTGCGCGTGCTCGTACGGAACAAGACTTTAATACGTTTGACCTGACGCACTTTGGTTCGTTAACAATACTGATTATAGGTTCATGGAAGAAACTTTGTGTTCTCAATACTTGTTTTATAGTCGCTTGGGAAGGGTTCATAGCCCCACGTTCCTCAACTCCAGTCACAGAACGCAATGACTTTGATTGAGACTCATTTGCCTTGGCAGTGACTGGCGTTCGTTGAAGTAAATGATCAGGTCGTGAGTGATCCAGGCTTGAATCAGAGCTTGACGAAGTCGTTATCGGGACCGTATCGCACGAACTCGACGACGGAGTGGTTGCAGTGGGGACCGCTTGTGACGCATTCAAAACGCTTTGACGTTCTTCTTCAATTGCAGACATGGCAAGCGCAACGCGACCATGATGACCACGCCTGAGGGGAAGTCCTATCGGTCCTTTGTTGCTGCTGTTGGTCATCTATTTGCAAATGGCATAGCAGGGGTGTTAGAGTGGGCCTATCCTCACAGCAGGAAGAAAAAACAAGAGCGCGACCGACGATCTTATCGCTGGCTTTTGCTACGACTTGAGGATAGGCAGGCTATTGGCCTTCATATGGAGAACATCAGTCGAGATGCTGTCGCAATTTAATCCAACACTGCAGATCTTCAGATGGGCGTCTGTGCCATAGCAAAGCCGCTAAAATTTCAGCGTCACACTCGTATGTCAATGCTCAAGCTCATGGACTCGAATGATCGAGTGATCGTCAAGTACTTTCCATCCCAGCAAATTTTGTCCAGTCTGCCCTTAAAACCCCTTTGAGGACATGCGTACGTGTATATGGAGTATTTTGATTACAATTGCATTGCTTAGCAACCTGATGGGGGAGGGAGACTTATGATAATTCATTCGATAGAAATGTCACTTCATAGCTTTCAACACGATGGTATCCTTCTCGAAGGCCTCAGCGAGAACTTGTAAGACTCCGCACATGCAAGCCTAGTAGCGATATATAAAATGCAGATCAAGACTTATGCGAGTGGTCAAACCACACATGAAACGCAGTGTACGACAATGGAGAAACGACGAAAACGCTGAAGCGAACATGGCAATATGTAATGAATGTTCTTATAAGTAACAACCGCATTACCCTCTGTCTATACTTGTGTTCCACCTTGTTAGCTTGTTTTTTTTCTTCTTGAGCCCACAGGTCAGCAGTAAAGCTTGACATGTGACGGCGGATACATTGTACTGTTGTCGCTATACTGCTGCCACCATGCACAGACTTGGTCGTGGCACCAAATGTCCAATGCTACACTTTGTAGGATGGGTCTTCGACTGCTACATTTCCACATCTAGAGCCGACTTGGATTGCTGGAGAACACACACCAACGTTATCAGAATATCCGTCCGCAACGACAACAGCACTTTAATGACAGAATGTATCGGGGAACCGACGGTGTAACCACTGGACAAGATACCTATAGACATCTTCCTTTTCAGGTTCCTCATATACCAAGTGAAACAGACCTTTAAATAGTTTGAACTCTTTGTCAAAATTTCCCATCGTAGCAAAGAATTTGATAGCCGCCTGTTGGTCAGAGATGCCATCAGCAGATCCTGCAAGGAAGAGCATTGGAACCGCGCAAAACGCACTGTTGGGGTCTGTTACACGCGAATCTTCGTGCAGCTGAAGAATAGCCTGAAGTGACTCGTGCCCACTTCGCGTTGTCATCATGTCCATGCACGTAAGCGGGTCTGCTTTGTACCTCTTCAAGAACTTTGGATCACGACTGAGTAAATCGTACTGAAAAGCAGGCACTAGCTTTGCCTTCGGGATAATTGCCACTAAGGGTTTAGCTATCTTCGACTCTGCCCAAAGTATTGGGTTCCAGGTTACGCCAATGGTCGGCGAGCTCCAAACTGCACCTTCAAACTTGTGCTCTCCGGACAGAACGGTGTAAATGCCGATGAGAGAACCGAATGATACACCTGCAATGATCAGGGGCAACTCAGGAAGCAAAGTATTGCTGTCAGGATTACTCTTTTGTCCATGAGGGTGATAACGGCAATGGTGCTTCCGCCAATATCTAAGTGCATTTTTGAAGATCGAACGCTTTGCGAACGTGATAAAGTCGTTTGTATCATCCACGAGATGGTTGAAGTTACTAATGTGCGCGCGAGTCTTTTGCTGGTCAAGGTTGCTCACGCCATGATTGAGTAAATCGTAGGTAATCACACCAAAGCCTTCTCTGCACAAGCGTTCGTATACGTGTACGTTTCGGCGGCAATGGTCGCCGATTCCATGCACGCTTACCACGACTCCACGCATTGGCATCTTTTCCGGCGGAAAAAGCGAAAAGTAGAACAGTGTCTGCCTTCGTCGGTTCAAGAACCTGCCTTCGTAATGGCGCAATCGCAGCGGAAAATCCAAAGCATTCTTCCTAGGCGAGGGAGTAGACGCAAGTGACGGCAAATTTGATGTTGAAGCTGAATGAAGGGGAGTCAGTTCTTTCCTAAAATCGTGTGTTGACGATTTCTTGGGAAGTACCGAAGTTGATCGCGTACATGCAGCATCACTTCGGCTTAAAAATGACTGGGATGATGGATGGTGCTTGTCTTTTGTTAGTTTCGCGCACAACTTCGAGTTCGGCGTCACAGGCATTTTTGACTCCCCACATGAAGCGGCTTCACGTTGCTCGCCAGCATAGGTGGGCGATATGGGCTTTGGACTTGATGTCAAGCGCTTTCGCGGGGAAGGAATTGCATCTCTAATAGGTCGTTCACGACGATCATCGTTCGTTTCATTCTTCGAGAAACCCGCAAGCAAATTCGACGGTGAAGACGACTTTGTACGGCAAGAACTCGTAGCTGCAAAATGACGAGGCGGCATTTGCCGATGCATTTGCGTTTTTGCGGAGGTTTGTTCAGAGCTCGACTTTGAACTCAGGATATCATTCACGACAGCACAGCTTGGCTTTCGGAATGGTGGCAGCTGGTACTTCCCGTTGACTTCTTTAACTGTTGAAAACAAGCTCAAACTACATCTCTCACTTGAGCGCAAAAGTGACTGTGGTGCTTGACGAGACTCTTCCTTCTGGCGATGCTCGTACGTGTCGTTAGCAAAAGTCGAGTGCAGATAGTCTAGACTCACAGATGACTTAGACCGATGCATTTCTTTCGATGATGAACTGTACAAGGAACTAGGTGACCGACGACGTTCATCCCTAGATGTACTGGACACTTTTGGCTGAGGAATTGACGAAGCCTTTGAACGGGTGTCAGTGGACTGTACACTTGTATTTCGACGATACGGTCTCCCATGGTGGTCGTACGATTCTTTCTCCTCCTCTGGAGACGACGAGTTGGAAAGTTTTAAGTGTGGTGAGTGCTCCGGCTCCAAACGTAAAGAGCGCTCGTTCTGCGACGGAATACAACGAGGATCTCGAGCATACCTCGTCAACGTCTCACGATGTCTTGCGCGGGATTTAGATGATTGATTCCGAGAAAGTTGTGTACGAGAGCTACGCGACTGACTTTGTAAGGTCCTCGTATTGTATTGCTCGTCCGATGATGACAATGGAGCCGTTGATGCGGAACTGGAAGCTGATCGAGCGTTTAATCCTGACTTTGACTCTGACTCTGACTCGTAGAGCAGATCTGGTGCTACAAAAGTGTGGTAACTGCTTCGTAGTGTAGACTGTAGATGCTCTATGTCAAGCTTTTCGAGTAAGCTGCCATTGCTGTGGAGGTTCATGTCATCGTCCGCATATATTTCCTGTTCACTTTGACACGACTCGCGCATATTCGCTGGTTCCTCTAGAATAACCGACATTGAAAGCATTTCGCGGTCGAGTGTAGTAGTAGTAGTAGTATAAAGACTGTTGATGCTGTTATTGTCGCTGCTGCTGCCGTTGTTGTTGACTGACGACATTTTCCTGCAATTTGTCATCTTTTTTCTGGAATTGCGACGAATGGTACAGCTAGGGGGATGATTCTGAGCTAAGAACCAAGAAAAAAAACTTTGTAATGGGAAGAAACGGCTAGAAACAAGTCAAAGCTCTAGCACATTGCATAGTCGAGACCATTACGGTACAAATCATGTCCGAGATATGATGGACGTCTATACTGATTAAGAAGAACTTTGAACGAGGGATTGTAAGGACTGAAGAAAATTCAGACCATATCGTCTTGCGACATCCATAGACTTATTATACAAGTCTCTTTCTATGCTTCCCAATGTGTTTGTTCGCTCCCTCGTTGCACCTTATCGTAGTTCTTTGCTTGACTTTGTGATCGTAGTGGACACTTTTTTCCCGACCGTATTAAGCAGCGTTAACAATACTGCTTGATTACAGTGACAGTGACGACATCCAACGTATGTCGTACGAACTTTTTGTTTGAACAAAGCTTGCATTGACATTTTAATGAAGATCCACGAAGGTTATTACTACGATTGTCCGCTCAGATTGGCGCTTGTAACTCTAATTTTCTTACCCATCCTTACATGAACAAGACGCATAAAGTGTCTAAAGATAAACAGCTACCATTGAGCAATGATCATTGCGTTCCTGTCGTGATACCTTTTCTATTGCAACGGTAGCTAGGTAGCTAGTAGCTAAGCCCATTCAATGATAATACAGAGATCAAGTAAATTGACGCGTTTACGCAAACGGGGTATGGTGACATGTGGACAGTTCATAGAGGAAGCATGTTAGTAGACATGTCCCCAACTTCGTCGCTGAGATAATGTTTTGTTTTTGTTGGTAGTAAGTGTTCTACACATGTCTAGATTTGCTTAGGAGGTTTTCTAGATCATATAAACGGAATAGAAGGCAACTTGATTCAAAATAACTTCTTGCATCGAGATAAAGTCAAACGCATTCGTGAGGATAGGCTATGGAACACATTAGTGTTTCAACATGATGGAGTATAGAAAAGCTGGCTCCATCTTTTTCTACAACCGCTACCTTCAAAGTATCACGTATATATCCATGCATATGGTCGAGTGTAATCGTTACTAAAACGATTCAATAAATTCATCTGTTGGAAGTAACGACCAAGCATCTGTTCTTGGGCTTATATGACCCGGAACCTGGAATCCGAATGTATGCTTTGACTGTAGTAAATTCCTTGTGTGCTGAAAGCATCGAGAGAAGACTTTCAACCACGTCCACCAATCTCTTAACATGTAATGTCCAGTGTGTTCAAAACGACAAAAGCGTTTGTTACACTCCCATGCTTTGGTTGTTAATCATCCCAACGGTACAGCTGCCCTATATTTTGCACGAAAACTTGGGCTTTTAAAGAGAATGCATAGCACCTTTTTGATAGAATGCCCAGTTGGCTAATGTAAAAGTTAAGAGTGACAGGGATTTAGGGATGAAAAATGTCGGATATCGTAATGGCAAAATGCCGGATATCGTAATGGCACAAAGAGGTTTTGTCAGTAGAAAAGTATACCAGACCAAGCTTACGCTGCTGCCTGTACAATAGATAAGGAGTTAATGGCAGCTAGTGGACTTGTTTTATAATATGCATACGCACGTTAGTGCCGCATTTCAACTGGAAATCTCCCATGCAACCACTGCACAAGGTAAGAGAGCACATCTTCCTTTTCGGGGTCTTCGTACACGAGATGAAACAGTCCGTCAAACAATTTGAATTCCTTGTCCAGGTTACCCATCGATGCGAAAAATTTAATGGCAGCCTGTTGATCAGCTATTGCATCGACTGAACCCGCTAGAAAAAGCATGGGCACAGCACAGAATGAGCTGTCTGGATTAGTGACACGCTCGTCTTTCTGAAGTCGCGTGATGGCTTGCAGAGATTCGTAACCACTACGCACAGTCATCATGTCCAAGGAAGTAAGTGGATCGGCCTCAAAATCCTCAAGAAAACCAGGATCTCGACAGAGCAATTCATATTGTACTGCAGGGACGACCTTGGCCTTTGGGAACAGCGTCGAAAGTGGAACAGCCAATTTGGATTCGGCCCATAGTAGCGGCGTCCAGGCCACCCCAACTGTCGGTGAAGCCCAGACTGCTGCGTGAAATTTGTGTCTACCAGTGAGCACAGTGTGGAGCCCGAGCAGCGAGCCAAACGATGACCCTGCAATAATGAGTGGAAGCTCTGGAGCAACTACAAAATCCTTGCACCGGCCGTGCGGATGGTACGGATGGTGGTGTTCTCGCCAATATTTGAGTGCATCATCATAAATAGACTTCTTTGCAAACGTGATGAAGGCATTAGTATCGTCCACAAGGTAGCGAAAGTTACCAATGTGTGCTCGAGTGTTATCAGCGTCAAAGTCGCTCGCACCGTGATTCAGAAGATCATACGAAAGCACGCCAAAACCCTCCTCGCACAAACGTTCATAAAGCGGAATGTGGCGTCTACAATGATCTCCAATTCCGTGCAGACATAATACGATACCTCTCATAGGCATCTCTTCATGTGGAAAGAGTGCAAAAAAGTAAAGCGATTGTCCTCGTCGATTCTTGAACCTGCCCTCGTACGGACGGAGGTACGGTGGAACGTTCAGTAATCGTGGTTGATCTAATGACGCCGTAGACGAAGAGGGAGAAGTTGTTGATGCCGTCAGCGGTGATAGATCCGCTGGCGATGCCGACGCTAACACCATAGCAATGACCGATGCTGGACCAGGCCCCGATTCAAGCATTTTCATCGTCGGCCGCTTGACAGGAAACCGTTTGTTTATATTTGGTCCATGCACAGAGAGAGGTTGACCTCGACAGTTGACCATGTTTTCGGGAATGGTATAACTTGTTGGAGGAGGCAAGTATCGGTCGTTGTTTGTAGATGAACAAAGGCCCGAATATCCGTCCACTGCTGTCAATGTGCTTGTAAAATACCACAGATGATGCAGTCGCCAGAGAACAACCGTCTCGAGCAGTTCTCAAGCTCGTTATGATTAGAGAGTCCCGGCTACACGTGGTCAGACTTTGCGATGGTAGAAAGTGCCAGTGCTGGCGCATGTGATTTGATCGACTGGTCTTGATCTAATTACGACGCTTCGGTGGCTCTCAATGTTAATGTCCTTTGTTTTCTTAGTAAGTTCTATGGACAAGTTGACGTGTTATGCTGCAATCAACTTGTCACCTTTGCGTTAGTTCTTGCATCCACTTGTTGAATCTTTACTAAAGAAAGCCACACATGAGTCAGTTTTCATATACAACTAGGAAGCTTTTCTTCTATCAGAGTCGTCATGACAGCATGTCGGACAGCCAGTATGTCGCTATTGCTTCATCCACTCTTTCATTGTCTTTGTGCGTACGAACCCCATTTTCACTTGAGCCATTGGATTGTTTCTATCGCACACGACAACAGCATCACGCGTAAAAGCGATACAAATGCTGCAGACTGTTTCCACTGGGAAGCGTGATCTGCCCCATCGAAGCAATGTGGGCACTCAAAGCAAATTAATGTTGAAGATGCAACGTTTGTGGCAAAACTTCCGCTCTTCATATCAAAGTTACAACAACAAAACCAAGTCTACCTGGAACGGCATGCTCAATGAGGAATAGTGTTCTAATCGTTTTGCTATTCTTTCGTCGTGCTTTATAAATGTAAGGAATACCCGACGCGTCGAGTATCAAGGCGTCGCAAGCATTAATCCGTAAATTTGGTCGACATGAATGCTCGTGATCAATCGCTAGAAATTGGCAATTCATTCAGCTTAAGCTGCATTAAGGCTCCGGTTGAGATGCGCCACGATGGACGGCATGAACGTTGAATCACTCGTGTCAACGAAATGCTCGATTGGCTGGTCGTCTCGAGGTGTCACTTTCCAAGCGCTGCCAGTGACCGATCAGCCGCAACGTGGCCCTCGTCATTGTCTATGGATCACTCAGCAGCTCTCTTGGCGTTCAAGTGTCACTGGAACTACGCCACTATAAAGGCAAGATTTAAAACCTCCATGGCCAAACTCTTTTACTGTTAACTTCACCTACCGTCCAGCACACGTTGCGAGATATGAGTACTTCATGTAGCGGCTCATGGCACTGTGTAAACGGTGGAAGGATTCGGTGTGATCAACTGAGCTAGCGACGGCATCAGACTCGAGGATACGCGCGTCTGTTGGTAGCTTGTACAAGTCACGAGCATGGATGTTATGTTCGCCAAAAACTTGTTCTTCTCGCCGACAGCCACCTTTGATCATCTTCGGCACGACATCGGATCGATGTTGTGGAACTCTCCGTGGTGCTCTCGAACAACACAAGCTTCACGCTCTTCGAGGCGGTCCGGTGGTGGGCATGAAGAGAAACACACGCTGAAAGGTTTGTTACGGTCATTGAATTGGTGCTGACTACAAATTTACTTTGAAGTGATCTTGTCAAACGAGAAGACATCAGTACTAACTCTTGTGACCTAATTTGACATCATCGCGAGTACCATGCATAGAACAAACCCTCTGTACTATGCATCGCCTGATAAATAATGGAGTATCCAGCAGTCTAGCAGTAGCCTCTTTGCTCTGAATGTGGTGTTCCTGGCTGGATCGATAGGCCACATTGCTGACAAAGGTGCCATGAGGAGATTCACAACACACTCACCAACATTAAAAAAGTACTCAACACGTTTGATCCAGTGTAGCCGAGTAACACAAGGTTTTTCTATTCCTCTTAGGACAGCATCTCGAAGCTGCAGGTCCCCAACACACTCAAACCCTTGATAAACGAGATCCCATCTCGTCTCTTAGATACATCTCTCTCACTGTCCGCGTTTGTAAAAACAAACTATAGGCCTGTTAGCAACTCATTGGCATGATTGATACATTGCACAGCGTCCTTGTAGCAGTATTTTCTGGATACTGTCTCGTATCCACTACGTCTTCACCCGACATAAAGTCCAGCTTCTTACATTCTCGTACAGCTTGAACGTATCATAGACCGCATGCACGAATTTCTTCCATGAACATAGCGTGAGCATTATGTAAATACTGTTACCTGCAGCTAGGTCTAGCTGTCCGTCAAAGTGCTTGTCTCGACGGTCTTCAAACACCTGGTCAGCCGGACACTACCCACAAATTCTCGGCCTTTGAAGATGACCCCGCTCTCTTCTTGCGCCACGCACATCAACTCAGGCCAGCCATGGATCTAATCATCCAATTTGGCAACCTCTAGGGGTTGCGAGTGCAGCCCAATAGGAGTCAACTCCGATTCCTTAACACGGCGGTCATCCAAACCCACTATGCTGGACTGCGCGTCGTTGGTATCAATGAGACGACACGGTATCTCGAATATCACGTCGGCACCGGGAAGATGACTAACGCAAATTGGGCGCTTTAGTTACGTAATATGCGACGTCGCATTCTTACAGCAACGAACGTCGCGACCAGTGTGACTAATCAGGTCATTATTCTGAATACCATTGTGTTGCCTTCGGTACTCTTCACGGCGGCAGTCTTCAAGATCCCGCCTTGTGCCAATCAACAAATCCAGCTTCTATACAAGCAGTTTTTGTACAGCAATTTCGCCGAGGCGGAACCCGTTCGTCATACGGTCAACCCAGGGTAGTTGTACGCACTACGTCGTGCAGGGGGGGGTCGACTTAGTCTCCATCGTGGTGGCGGTAAAAACGCAGCGACAGAAGCACGCCCTGCAATGGTTATTACGTAGAGAGAACCCGTACAAGAGGGCGTGAATCATGTAAGTGACGAACAGGGCAGGCGCCAGCCGGGATGTGCACCGTCACACTACGCGATCCCTCTATGTCCTCGGGGGCTCAGCGGAAAAGGCTCGGGCTCGACTTTGAAATGGGAACTTATCTGGCACCGCAACAGTGGCAGTCCTCCCTGATGAAGCGCTGCATTACGTCGCATTTCAGCCGGCTGGAAGAGGCTGGAGAGTGCTGGCAGGAAGGGTCAACCTGGATCTTGCATTTACAGCATTCCGTTCCCCACGAAGATACAAAAATCACTGTTGGATGAAGGCCCTGCGACCGTTCTGGAGTACGTTCTTTTGGGCGGACAACCTCTGGGTTTTGGGCCACAACCTCGCGGTGCTGCGTCCACAGCTTTATAAACGGGTAGCAGAGGGTCCTATGAGTGATTTTGACATCAGGCAGACAGGGCAATCCGAATACATTTTCACGTTTTTGCCGTTTCTCCACGTCACTCACCGATCAAATTACGTCGTTGGGCATAATTGTCCTTCTGGCTTCACCTATTCTAGACGTAAAGACTTACTTCAACGCGGCAGGCACCCCTACTCTTCAACAGCCGCGGCCAATTGCACAAGCTTACCAGTGGCGTATCACCGCGCCGGGAGTAATTCAGGGGATCCCTGCTGAGTCTGAAACGGGTACGAAAGTGCCCATTTGCTTGCTGCACAAGAGCTCAGGGATCCACTGGAAATTTCAAGGGGACATTCCTCAGCTTCAGGTACAGTCAGAAGCTCCACTAAACATTTGCTGTTAGCACCTGCGGGAAGTCGGACTAGTATTCGACGCTCACCCGAAAATCCACGAATTGCCGTGGACAGTACCCGAGACGGTCTCGAACAGAACATACTGGCTTACCTGAAACGGTTGGCCTATCGGCACTGCGAAAGTAACTTCAATACACCTTGGTGGCAATCACTAAGCGTCTTACCGCAAAGGCGGAGACAAACAGCTGGCAGTTTGACCTTCTAGATCAGGTTCCTATGTATCTTTGGGCGCATCAACATAGCCTAACGGACTATCAGGTCTGGACAGTGTTTCGGCTCAGACACACCAACTCAATTTCTACTACGTCGGTCGATCCGCTGGGAATTTCCGTCTGATCGGCATAATGCGCAGGCCAGGTGGAATTGTACGATCACTGCTTCTGTCTTTGTCCCTTTGCTCAAGCGACCTGGGCGCAGCTCATCAGTTACTGAAAAGGAACCTGGGTACCGCCGGAGTGTGTGCAGCCTTGGAAACGCGCCTATGCGACGAGAACGCTGCCGTCCCTTTCGTTCTTATGTTCGTCGGATGGTACACGGATGAGCAAGGGTGCTTTGAAACGGAATGGGATCGCTGCTGGGTGATCCTCTGTGCGGTAGCGACCACGAGTTTCTGGATTCGTCGCGTGTAGCGGGTATTCCACGGTGAACACATCACGGTCCAAGAAGGAGCGAGGGCATACTGGGCAGACGCGGTGAGGCAACTCGAAGCTGTTGTCAGGTCAGAATCTTGCAAGGGGGGGACGGTAGTCCAAGGAGCCAAATTACAGGCGTGTCTTGAGATCTTAACTTAAGCACCAAGTACGTCCACGAATCCACTCGTGGCGGGCTCTGACGAGACGTTACAACAGTATCTGCAGACTGTCCTTCTGCTTTGCTCTTTCACTTGATTGTGACATTAAATGTGCAAGTGCGTTAGCTGATGCAGTGGTGAGTACAAGACTGAACCATCAAGTACAGGCTAGATCGTACATATCTAGTGTCAGATATGTACGCACTTGATTGACAATTCATTGCGTAAGAACATGAGACACGATATTTTGTACGAACATCATTGAGAAGACGTATACTAGCTCTACATCGTGTATATAGCAGCTCTTGAGTATTTTGCCATAGCTATTTATTCAAACTATGTATCTTTTTTATCTTTTCTAAGCAAAATCCATGATTTATCAATTGCTACCAAAAAATCCACTGCATAAAGAAATGAGTCTTTTTATAAAGTTGCTATTATTTTGAGAACCTAGATATTTATTTATCTTGGTTCATGCAGTAAGACATATCACACTTGAGCACATTGTGTTATGATTGCTGATAAAAAAAGGATAAAAACGTACTCATTTGTATCGAACGTGTCATCAATCGCCACAGACTTCCTTCCACGTTGTCGTACATTATACCTGTCTCTTTAGCGTCAGCTGTTGGAATGGATCAATGCGTTTGTTTGACCATTGCAGCATCAAGTTTATGAAAAGAGGTCTACAGCCTGGAATATCATAAATGACGATCTAGAATTGGTATCAAGGACAAACGTTGAGTATGACTGTATGAGAAAGATAGATGGATCGAGTGTGATGTTCTCAATCGTTCTTGATGTACTTGTAATATCGGATCACTCATTTCTTTATGGTTAATATCGATGTGATAATTCGACCGAATCTCGTACGTCGGTGTCGTGAAAAGCACTCTGTCGTCACGGTATCGATGCAGCCGTGAGTAGCAACGCTGTTGGGAGCACACATGCAACACACGATTTCTATTTGCAAGAAATTGCCTCATATATTGCTTGACGCAAAAAAAGGTGCAAGTATTCACAGAAACACTGTTTCTTTTGACAACAATTTTGTCAGCAACGTGTGTAAACCTTTCGTTGATTGATAGAGTCTGCCTTGCAAAGAACTCCACAGAACGATGTCTCTACTTGCATAATCGGACTATCCTGACGTTAGGGTTGGTATAACATTGCTGGATTTAATTTGCGGTGTGGATACATGAGACGAGCAGGGCGGACGAGATCTTATGGTCGAAAGGTCGCGTGAGAAGGGACCAATCGCTGCTGCTTAATGTATATCCTTGCAATAGATTTGCAGTATTCGCCTCTGTGGATAGTCAAAAGACGGATTTTCTGTGTCCGCTCCAAGGTAATAATCAATCAATTGCTGTCCTGTGTGGAGAATAATGAATGACTCGAGAGATTAAGAATAAAATATCAATTGTTTATTTTGTATTTCATGGTTGGTGAAAAGTAATTTAAAACCAATAAATAACGCCATTCTAATTCGGAGACAAAATGACGAGGGATTGCTCATGGACGAATGGATTGACGGGAAGAGAAAGCACGGGTTAATTTAACTCATGCCAGTATACTGACCACATCAGCTAGACGGGGCAGATGCGAATCACTTTTTGGCCTTGTTCTTCTTCTTGGCTGGATAATACGCACGCCGACGATAGGCTTCCTGAGACGAGCTCCCAGGTACGAGAGCGTGTTCTTCGTTTATGCACGGCAGGGACTTTCTCGTTCTCTTTCTGCGCTTGTGAGCGTCACACGTAAAGGGTACGCGCTTGCCACTAACGGTAACGGCGCCATGCCTCTCTCGGGTAAGAAAATCGGTCGGTATGGTCACTGGCGGCACAAAGACCGCAACTTGCTGGTTCTGATGGGGGTAGTTCTCGTGCTTGAACAACCTCCGCAACGAAAATCGGCGCTTTTTGCTGTTCGTTTCGACTACCATTGACTTCTTCGTGGGCAATTTTAGCATGGGCGAGCGTACTGCATCATATGACTTGGGACTGATGGCGTTCTCACTGCGACATAGCTTGTACGTCCACGCTCGAGCCTCCTGCATCTGCGTGTTGACTTCATTAGCTAGAACTTCGTCCATCGATGGAGGTAGAACAGTCTCATGTTGCTTCCATAAAATTTTCACAAGCAAAGCGGTCATTACGACAAAGTTGGGTGAAAGCGTGTGGCCGAGTCGATTCTAATTCTAAAATGACTTCCAGGCCGCCCCGCCTGGTCAAAAGCGACATTTCACACGTTTTTTGTGTCGTTGAAGCAGGATACAGCTGTCCCGTTTTTTTCTTTAGTAGATTCATCCTGTGGAATGTAATTTTTCAAGACTTCTTGTGATTGTGATACACAAAAAATCTGCAATATATGTGACTTTTCCTTGCCAACAATATTTGTGAATACTACTATTCACACAATGTAACATAAAAGCTGTGCGTTTTGGTCCTCATCGATTTACGTCTCCCGTTGTTCTGCCTGTATATACCATACCGTATAAAATACAAGGTCCCATTGGACCTACGAAATAGACTCATTTAATACATTTCCATATGACCCTATTTTTGTGCATCTTAATTCCTTGCTTCCCCGCATTTTTTGACTTGTACTATCAATGTGTTGAACTAAAAACTGTACTCGTCACGTACATTTTCCGTCCTTGTCTATTTAGCTAGGCTCTCACATCTCGCACGATCATTTGCTGTCCAGTTGGAAATCTTGAAACGGCATCCTATAAAATGAATCTAGCACCACAATGTATCGGCGACAGCCTATCTGGCTCCAAGCTGTATTATTAGAGCTGGTAAAGCCGTGGCAAAAAAACACGTTGCATTAGCTTTATAATGTTTGTTGGTAAACATGTTGCAACGCTCGTCTTGACGCGAAAAAGTGCGCTCGAATAGCTATTCCATTGTCTATCGGTAGGTTTATAGAAACTCGTTTCTATTTTACACGGGAAGAGCATTGCGCATGGCATGGCGTTCACAATTACGAGTGATTTGCCATAAAGGTGAGGCCTAAGGATGTGGTGGATATAGTACCGATCACATGGATTGGAAAGATTTGGTCTTACCACCGGAGAGAAACATTGGCAAGATTAGAAAATATTTCTCAAAGATTGTTGTCGAATTTACTCTGGAGCTTTTGCTACATCCACCATCTTAAGCAAAGCGTCATAGTTTGATCGCTACGGTGCCAAGGAAGGCTCATGCTTGTACATGCAATAGCCGAATCTTGCGTTCGCCGAACCCGCTTGCTGCCAGCCCATAAACCTGATATTGCTTTATGCTTTTCCTATTGACCACACATTCACTAGCAGCCAGCTCTTTGGCAGATAGACACGGTCGTACCCACATCTGATGCGAATCTTCTCGCAGCAGCGACAAACCAGTCGTGCCGTCTGCAGCGTCCTGGTCTGGTGGCCCTAAAACCTTTTCTAAGCCAAAAGGTCTTGTAATTTTTCCACAGGTGACCTCATCACGAGTGTATAGACTCGAATGTTACTGTCTCGCACCAAGCAGCACCGCCTCTCGACTAAACAGCACCGCCCTTTAACGAGTTTGCATAATGGTTCTGACGTCATTTACCTCGTACATGAGATCGCACGAAGATCAAATAGAATTTGTCAATGCAGCAGTTCAGCTGCGTCAAAGCTTAAGCTAAAGCGTAGCCACTAAATTTCAACGCAACAGACAGGATATTACACCAAGGCTATGCTGAGATGGGGCAAAGCGGTCATTCAATGCAAGCGATACATGTACCACGCTACGTCTGACGACCCAAATTTTGTTATTTGTGTCATTGCATACTCTTTTTTTGAGTATGTCCTGTCTCGAAATGTTGACCCTAATTTCATGCGTGCCACACCATTAAACTTAGATTTCCCCTAAAATTGATCATATATGCCGCGAAAGGTGTCAATACGCGAGCTGCACGAGCCGTACGAGAGCTATTCATACGCTGAATTGCGTCACGAGCTTTCTATACGTTGTATCCGTTTTTCTCGACGTGTAACAAATCGTGCAAATTTCATTAAATTGCTACGAGACTGGGACAAGAAAAACCCGTTATCAGCTACTCGAGTCAATGAGACTTCAACTCCAATAACAACAAGACGGACGATGAGTTCTGGATCACCGACGAACTGCACACGATCAATACGAGCACGTCGTGGTTGCCGCTTTCGTCTTATTAATGTACTACTAAGTCCGGAATTTAACGGCCGCTGGGATGCCATGACTGGAAAACTACAAGTGAATGAGCTATGGCTCGACGTTCATACTGCCTTTATGTCTGAGAATTCCATGCTGGATGCAATTCAATTTCATGATGCACTCTTTGTAAACGTCACACCTAATGTTATTCTCCCACATTCGCCCTCGCGTCTGCTACAAATGTGGACGGAGATCGTTGCGATGTATCGCAATGCTGTGGCACAGGCCAAGGAGGCAGCAGCGAATAATGGAAATACGCAGTCGTTTTTTGACTTTTGTGCCGGTAGATTGGACCTGCTATATCTACACATGGCAATGCTACTGGAGCCCAAGCTCTACGAGTTTATCTTGTCGGACAAAATTCCGATTCCGGAGCCTTTTAGCAAGAGCAAGGCTAAACTGCTACTAACTGACGCGTCAGATGCTACAAACGGCAAGTCACAAGCAGCTGTCAATGCTGTAACACGTACGACAGTAAATAAGGTGTCAGGAAAAACTACGGAGAATCATGTGTCTACTTGCGCGCCTACTGATCCTGCTACTGCTACAACTCCTTCTGTCACTACTGATACTTTTTCTGCTACTTCCAGTGGCCGTTCTCCTGCAACAGTTGCAAAAGAAGCCACTCAGTCGAAAGCTTGTAAAGTACCAACACAAAATCCAGAGATGGAAGAAGTTCCGGCACCGGCGCGCTCAAAGGCACGAGTAATTGCCGCATCGACACCGATGGCGGCTGCAGGCAAGGCTAACAATGCAGGTATCAAAGTTAAGCAGACGAACTCGATTGCGCTTGCTCATACGCCTGCTGCTCAGAAAGACCTGCAAAAAGCAGCTGGCAAAGGGAAGACATCAAGCGGTGCAAGCTTGGCGAAAGAGGCGAAGGGAAAGGTATCACCGTCAAAGCCAAAACCGACAGCAGCCCAGCCAAAAGCTAAAGCTGCGAGCAATTCTTCAGACGCAAAGAGGTCGTCGCTTGGAAAACGATCGCATGGAGTAGAGGACACAGCAATTGTTGAGGTCCCAAGCGTGACCGACATTGTACCGCACCCAGGCAAGCGGGTGCATACGACAACAACAATTTCTTCAGCTCTTGCTCCTCGATCCACGGAGATGATGTTGCCTCCCGATGAGTGGGACATTCTGGAGAGTCGGCTACGAAAAGTGAACGAGAACATTGCTCGGTGTCATCATGGGCTAGCAAGTGTTGAAGTAACCGTCAGTGAAAGTTACAAGCAGTCTTTGGAGGCTGATCTGCGGTTTTATTCCGCCATTAAGCAGCGACTACAAGAGCAGCTCCTCGTAGTGATGCAAAGTGGTTATTAGTCGATGTGATTGATAGGTGGATATTCCGGGATATTGGCTACGACAATTGAACGAAAACATTGGTGAGGGTAACGTGACACTTAAGATTTTTGGTGCAGTGATTAAGGTGGCTGAAGTGAGTTGGCACGTACATGACGACGTGCCATTTCTTTTCGGTGCACGAGCTCTTAGGAGTGGCTACGCTGTACTGACCTCGCAGTAATCATTGGTCTGCAGCAAAGCATTACATGGACGAAGATGCATAAGCATTAACCCGGTTTGACGTTATGATGTCCATGTCAGCGCTGGGTACAGCAGTTGCATCGTCCATCAGCTGTAGCCGCATTGTGTCGGGAAGAAACTCAAGCGCAAAGGCACATTCGTTTCATAGTGAGTGAGCTCTACTCTAAAGTTGACTGCAGACATCGTCATTACGAATCAGATAGTTTGGGCTCACAAATTGGATCTTGAGAGTGAAAAAGCAAGCGATATGACGAGAAGGAATTGCATTACCATATGAACATGTATCTGGAGATGGCAAAGAAGGACAAGGTTTGTAATTAATATTTTCTTATCTTTTGTCCATCTTTACTCTTTTCTCTTTTCTCTTTTTCAGTATCACCACGTTCTTATGATGAGACTAGTCTTTAAATATCCTCATACCACTTGTATTCTTCCGCAATCTGTTGTTTTTCTTCCTCCGTAAACTCTTCTGTAATCCTAAAAGTAGCACGAACTTCCTCGGGTGACTTGGTCTTAAGAATACAAACCACTTTGGCACACGATAGGTCCAACAAGGCTTTTATATCCATATAGTTCGCAGCCAGAATAAGATCAAACAATAACTTCGGATCGCTCACATGGATAAACTTGTCATACCATCCATCAACTAGATCACGTATGTTGTTGCTCTTAAGTGGCTTTTGAATTTCAGTCATTGGCGAGTCCTCATAATGCCGACAAAATTCCATCACTTTTGCCAATACAGGCGTTGTAACATTTGGCAATGGGATCACCTGAATCCCATCGTTTTCCTGCTCGTTTTCAACTAATGATTGCACCAATTGACTTAGAATTGCAGCCTTGGTCTCTACTTCAAAAGCGTCACCATCCATTGACACAAGTTTTATAGTGCTGGTCATTGTGATATGGACGTGGGCCTTCAAATGACACTCTGACGACTATTGTTACTTTAGAAATCAAAAATGACGGATATTGTTGAATGCAAGAATAATCCGAAACTGTCACTTCAATGAATAGACGGACTATGATGAACATTCTTGTCACATGCTTGTTGTAAACATTTCAAAACACATGCGCCTGTCGCAGGAGCAATAATTGTTAAATACGAATTAAAATAAACTTTGCAATAAATATACATATTTAACTATACACTTTCTAAATTTCGCTCAATTTCCCGGCTTGGCGCCGACCACTTGCGCCTCATTGGATCGATCGACTCCTTTGCGTGCGTATCACATTCTTCATCATGGTTTGTTTTATATATAGATATCATTCATCTCTTTCCCGTACTGTCTCATTTGGATACAGCATAAAACTCGTCATCTAAATAGGTTACTACTGTATACTATGATTTTATACGGTGTATGTATACTATACGTATAGGGAGACGCCCGCGTTGTGTTGACGACACTTATTAACGAGAATCTACTGACACCAGGTTTGTATCTTGTATACTCGATTATTATTAATGATGTATATCAACGTTAAAGTGTGGATACGTGTTTTTCCTCTTCCTCTTTCTTTTGCTATTGGTGCAGGTCCTAAGAAACTCTATGTGTCATATTACCGTAAGCGTGTATACGCAGACCTATTGTCAGATGGGTCTATTCGCTTTAAGGATCAAGTATACACGTCACCAGTTCCCTGTGCTTTACATATGAAGCGTACATTGAATCCCTGTACGTGTTATTTGTATGGTTTTGGCTCATAAGCTTTCACTCCGGATAATTGTATACTAACTCAACCTATTGACACGTATAATCGATTGTAGCTCTTAAGTCGGATGCAGGTTGGTCGTCCATGTATTCAACGACATCAGGCAAAAGTCTTAAGGATATTAAAGATCGACTGAATCTTCATAAACGCGGCACAAATGCACGATCTATTCAGAAAGATAAGAAAGCAGCTACATCATTGTCATTATCATCATCATCTACGGTCAATGATCGCGTTGGTCAAGTGGTGGCTGCTACGATCAAGAATAAAGTGGGTCTGGTCTGCTATATATTGTCAATGATTTGTACGATTTGAAAGTGTGATCGATTTCCAGTGAATGATATACGATGATGATGTTTTTGTAGAAGTGTACGGCATGTAAGGAAGAAGCTACGTCGGACGTGGCTGAGTGCAGTGCCTGCCACAGTAAGACGCATTGGAAATGCGCAAGTCCTGTACTTGAGGCGGCACCGTTAACATCTTGGTTCTGCGAGAAATGTCTGACGGGGCAAGCCGACAGAATCCTCGAGTTCCTTCAGCAAACCCGTCGTGTTCTTGTTGAACGTATTGCAGAACAAAAGGAGGCGGAAGATACAGCAAAAGACAAGAAAGCCCTAGCTGCTACCGAGACGATTGAGGAGAAGGAACATGAAGTGAAGGAAGACAAGACAGCAACGCTTATAGAGGTGGTCAAGGAGGAGGATGATCGAAGCGCTAAGAACGATGAGAAATCTTTGTCTGAAGACAAAATTACAAAAGATGTTGCAGAAGCAGAAGTAGATAGTGTTGTTGTTGTATCTGAGGATAAAGAACCTGAGGACGGTAATTGCGATGGTGCATCTGTGACGGCTGGTAGCTCGAGCGGCCCACCGACAGAACCAATTGTAGCTTCTAAGACAATGGCTAGTGAGGTTGTAGAAGATGAAGGAGGTACACCAGGGGACGAACAGAAGGACACCACGCCCGATGCTTTGGAAGAAAAGGAGAGGAAACATGAGGATCTTGATCCAACCACTGACGTGGCAGGTGCAAAGGAACGCGAAACATTGTCGTCAAAAAACCAGGATAATGTTACAGAGGACGAAAACATTGACAGTCAGCAATTCATTATAACCGAAATTACGCAGACGCCAAGCGTACGTGACTTGCTGCGAGTGTAATGACAATTGTGGCCGAAACTCTAATGGTATTTTTTCTAATAATGTTGGATCAACTAGGCGGAAGAACAGTTATTGGTGTTGATTGATGGCCTCATTGCAGAGGTATCGTCCAAGAATGATAGGACTAATTTGATCGCTAACACCACGGGTGCGATGCTGGTGCACCTCGAGAAAACGCAATTGGTGCAGCTAATGGATTATGGCAAACGCGAAATTCTGGCGGCTATTCAGCCTGAGAGCGAAGAAGACAAAGAGCAGGAAGGTGGTGATGCGGAAGATGACCAGGATGGTTCTGCATCGTGTAACAATTCTGAAGTGGGTTCTCTCATCAAAATCTTTGACTTACGCCACCAAATCCTGTCATCACAGTCCCAATTTGAACGTACTACGAGCACACTAGCCAAGCGCACTCAAATAGATATTTGCAATGCCGAAACTAGAATTATGGAACTGGAGGAGTTTCGAACTTTGGAAACGAGGGCGATCACAAAAGTGGTTGATTTGGTTAATCAATACTCGAACGACTTGGAAGAGTGCAAACAGAAAAAATATTACAACGAGATGCTTCTTGAGAGCATTAACCACCGTCGCAGCTTCATCCGATCTCGTAACATCAATGATTGCTTCGTACCATCATACCGCTACTGTACAAAGCGCATGACGACGAGTAGTGACCAGCTCCTAATGACTGTATTGTTGGAGAAGCTGCGTGACATCACGAAGTCAGTGAACGAGTGGACAAAGATGGAGCGTCATTTCACTAAGATGACATTAAATTTGAAGAAGTCGCTGTCATTTATCGGCACAAAGCGAAAGCGTGCGGATGATGTTGTGAAGTTACTACCAAGTTCAGCATCGTTCACAAAGTTTAAGCTTCCTCCATCGAGGCGGCTTATTGAACGCCAGATTGCAAATTGTGAGGCGAATCTAAACTCCATTCGTCAGGAGCGCGTGCAAATGAGTAGAACACTTTTTGGAGTTTTGAGAATTGCTCGAGAAGAGCAGTTTAGCAAAGAAATTATCAGAATGATAGACATATTGTATCGAAAGTGTCGCGATATAAAGGCTGAAGAGGAGGAGGAACAGTCGAGGTTGAAAGAGGAAGCGGAAATTGTTGCAAAGGCATCTGAAGAAGAGAACGCTGTCCGCGGTCGTGAGAATATTGAGGACAGCGAGGCTAAAAAGCCAGAAATCGAGACGCAATGCGTGGACGAAGCTAGCAATGCTTGTGACAGTAGTTCAGCCTCACATACAAACTCCGCTGCTGCAGTTGCTATCAATGTGACCTTGTCCAGCGAAATGAAGGGTATCTCATCTCTGCTCAGGAGCGAGGACTCAGATGCAAAGGACCCGAGCTATAATTCTGCTGATACCAAGTCTCAAGCCGATAATGACGAAGACAGCGAAGGAGATCTCGAGCAAGCATCTCGAGCAATTGCTGACATCACATCTTCAGTATTGCCTGACATTGGGGGAGGCGATTCCCGAACAGAACTTCTTAACGCATCGCTTCTGACTGAAACGCCAGGAGAGAATTCATTGCAGGTCTTTACGTCCCCAAGTCAGTTCATGATACGTGGAGAAAGAGGAAATAGTGACACGCGGGACGCTTTGGCGCATCAATCCATTGCACAGCATCAAAATCTATCAGCTACTAGACCTACTGGTCGAAATCAGCAGTCATTCTTGGACCAAGCCCTCGACGTTTTGAACAAGCAACAGCACCTAGAGCACCAGCAGCGTCTTGAACATCAGCACCAATTGGAGCAGCAGCCGATGCAGCTGGATGAGCAACAACATCAACTGGAAAGGCAGCGACAGCTGGAGCAGCAACGTTTTCTGGAGCAACAGCGTCTGGAGAAACAGCACCAAGAACGAGAACGTCAAGAGTGGGAGCGTCAAGGGCGGGAGCATCAAGAGAGCAAGTGCTTGGAGAAGCAGCAGCGTCTTGAACAACACATTGACAGACAGTGCCACGGGCCCGAGCAATGGGAGCAACAGCGTCGAGAGCGGCAGCAGCTTGACCAAGAGCACCACGAAGAGCAACTTGTCGAGCAACAACGTATTGACGAACAGCGGCGCCTGGAGGAGCAACATCGTTTGGAGCAACAGCGCCTTGAAAAGCAGCAGCGCCTAGTACAGCAACAGCGTCTGGAACATCAGAAGCAACTACTCGAACAACAGCGCCTCGAACAGCAGTGTCTCGAACAGCAGCGCCTTGACCAGCAGCGCCTCGAACAGCAACGCCTCGAACAGCAACGCCTCGAACAGCAACGCCTCGAACAACAGCGCCTTGAACAACAGCGCCTTGAACAGCAGCGCCTCGAGCAGCAGCGCCAGGGGACGCATCGTCGTCAGGAACAGCAGCGTAAGGAAAAACAGCGGCAACAGCAAGAGCAAAAACGCCAATTTCAGCACAGCAAACCGCCGAGTCTCCCACAAGTGGTGCCTCCCGGACCGTCTCACTTGCAAATGCTTAGCCAGCAGCAGCAACAACAACAACTCCGGCAGCAGCAGGCAGCACTTCAGCAGCAACAGCACTCTCGTCAGTTACACCATCCTCTGTATGGTGACATATCCAAGGGAATGCTCATGTCTTCTGGTATGGGAGCCAGTCAACAAGATGTTTACGTACAGCAGGCGGCTCAGATGGGTATGGATATGCACGATGTTGCGCGGCACCACGACTTGAGCCACTTTGTGGGCAATGCATCAGGGAGTCTACGTGGCGGTCCTTACATGACATCCAATGAAGTCTCGCGTAACGCTGCTCAACACCCAGCGCCGACGGCGCCACGGACGAGCTACTATGGAGATGACGGTCAAGTAGGGCAGTTGCATTCACACGCTGTGTTTGGCTCGCAAAATCTGTCTGGGCAGCATCGTCAGCTCTCGGACCACCATATGTTCACGAACGAGTTACAGCAGCAACAACCAGACCAAGCACGGTCGACGGGGAACCAGGACTTTATCATTGGCCGCTCATACCGTGATCTTATTAGTGACAGCTTGCAGCATCCCGGTGTGATGGACCAATCTGACGGTAATGATGTGAACATGGGAGACTGGGGTCAATGATGAGTAACGTAAATGTTGGTGGCAAGGTATGCCTCCATCCATGCAAGCAAATGTGTTGTTTGCAAAGAGTTGAATCGCACCTTGGACCAGATTCTTGGCTGTCTTGCATATAAACTAACAAACTCACGCACACTCAGTGTTTTGCAGTGCTGTGTAATGTACTTGTAACACCCAGGAACATGAGAGTCAAAAAACAGCTTCAGTCTAGTAGACATGGATTGTAGATATCCAAACAACATGGGAGGCTTAACTGCACTCACATATCCTGTTGCCTGTACTCATGAGTTATGAGCAAGTTACTAAAAAGACGGGAAGCTAAAGACCACCAGCCCTTCAACAAAATGCAGCATGTGCTGCTATGTGTGGTGGTTAGAGGGTCCTATACTGCGCTTTAAGCTTCACACCGATACCGATCGAGCAAGTACAGCAAGGCGCTGCTGCAAGTGTGTCTCAAGACGACGCTGCGATTCTAGCGCGTAAGTCTGATCCTTTTCAACCGTGCATTTCCAACGATCAAGCAGCTCTAGTTTCTCAATTGCAAGCTTATGCGTCATCACCATGGTGGTCTCGCACGCCGGAAGTCTCCTCACAGCCTCCTGCGCCAATGCACTGCGCGGGTCAAAATTGGTTCGCCCGCGACGTACAAACTCGCTCATGATCTTGGGGAACTTGGGAAGACGCAATGTCTGCAGTTCACAAGCAAACCGTCGATATCTGCGACGGGCCTCGGGCTGGATACCAATGGCTGCTGCCTCCATAAATTGTCCAGCTTCCACTGTAAGTGCAAAAGGACCATTGGCAAATTCCCTCGCGGAACCTGAGTACTGGGACGAAACTACCGTGGCCATTGCCATACGTAGTAGCTGCAATGCCTGGTGATAGAGCCCAATAGCGCGATCAATCTGTTTCTTAATAGACCCACAAGCCTGCGCCTCGGAAGCATACATCGTCACGTTTGTGTGCATGAGCAAAGCGTCCGGAAGCCGCAATGTTCGTAGCAAAAGACCAAGAATTCGTTGTTTCTTTTTCTCAAGCCACTCAAGTCGTTCCGCCACCTCCATGTCCTCGTCATCATCATCATAATAAACACTCGTTGTATCCATCCAATGTTCCTTCTCTTGTACACTTTCTTCACCTTCTGGTTGCATCAAGTTGTGACTGCGTCCTCCCGTTCGTGCATTCATGGAAAAAGACGAACGACGTTTCCATTCCTTCACTAATGAGCTCGATCGTTGTTCCAGTTGTTGTAATTCTGCATCAATTTGTACCGCTTCAGCCATGTGATGTCCCAATTGTTGCTTCAATGCTTTTGTCTTTTTCTTTTCCTGCTCCAACGTGCCTGTTACAAGAGCGACATATTTTTTGAATCACACCACGATCCTGTTGTGCTTCAAACTGTTGAATCATGTGTTTCTGATCCTCGCGAAGACGTAGAGAACGACAACGTGCATCATGTAGTGCGACTTGTACTTGCACAAGTTCTGGATGAGGTGTTTCCATACTATTGGTCGTTTGGATCCTGTCCGTCGTGATTTTCATTGACTCCATGAATCCATCGAGGTTTTGAATTGATACTAAACGTGTTATTTCATGCGTTATCTCTTCAAAATGATGAAAAAGACCACGATCAATTGCTTGTTGCATCCAATAGTCACTCTGTTTATAGTCTTGTGCTTGTGCTGGTTCTTCATTGGTTGAATTTAGAAGACTTTGGGTACGTAAACGCATGGCTTTTAATGGATTTACAATCGCAGATGAGGATGAGAACGAAAGAGACGAGAGGAGGAGGAGGAGATTGTTGATCCAATGGTGTCTTGATACATGTAACCATCGATGGTGATGATGGTGACGACGTTGTGGCTGTCGTTGTCCTTGATGACGTCTCATTCGAAGGCGCTAGTGATGATGATGATGATACCACTAAACTTGGGGCCATTGTATTAGTGATTGATACGGAACTCGTATGGAGAATTGGGTTCGTACTTAATCGAACACTACCACCAAAAAGGGAGAGTTGTAAGTGGGAGAGAAAGGTCTTCGTGTGAATCACTCACCTTATTGTATCAACTTTTGACCTAGCCAATGAAAAATCAACACTTCACCACTTATTTGAAAAAAACGGGTCAACCATGTGTAACGGCATCACCAATCACATAGTTGGATAGTGATGATGGACTTATGGGCGGCCAGTTGAATTTTTTGGTCGGTAAAAAGCACGGAATGAGCCGTCCGTCCGTCCGTCCACTGACGATAGAGCTGAAAACTTGGGATGGGATGGCCATAAAGTCAAAGATGAGCGAGCACATGAAGAAGAAGAAGAAGAAGAGTCTGACAATCATTACAAACTTCATGTTTCCTGCATTGTTCGTGATTGATTCGTGTGTAACCAACCTACTTGATCGTTCTTCGTACCACTTCAAATATCACATTCATTGAAAGATTAATAACGCTTTCTTCTTCTACTGCAGTAGTTTCTTATTCATATGATGTGCTTTGAAAAAAAGTACCTCTCGTTATCTATTGTTTGCAACCTTTATCATGCAAAGGAAATAACGTGAAGTAATCAGTTAGCGAGATTGGCAGCAAAAGCCAGCAACGTATACTTGGTGCTAATTTCCCTCGTATATTAAAACACCCCTGTCGCAGAGGATACTTACTTGTCACCACCAGTAACGGTCGAAACATCTCGTGTTTAGTGGGCAGTTTGTCATCATACCGGTGCCTTAGAGCCTTCTTTGTTGATCCAATCGGTTTTGCTATTATTTACATTATTGACCTTAGTGCCTCTACCGCAGTCGAAAGGTCTTTTGTTGAGAAAGAAGACAAGACTTGTTTATAGTGATAGACTTGCAGTATATTGAAAATAAAACAACTGTTTAGTCTAAAGGGCTCTTTAATGTATGATGATGACATTTAATGGCTATGACTGATGTTCATGAGGACAGCTGGGTCAATATTGCATTTGTTCTTGGTAACCTGATATAATGTCAAAGCCCATTAATCTAGGCAAACGACCGATCTCGTGTACTTGACAGCTGATTTATGAGATTATCCTGCATTCTCCTAAAGAGGACATCTACTACTCTAATCTAGGTAAACGTCACTACTTAGGCTCATATTCATTTGTCAAAAGCCAGCCTAACTTTTCGAGAATGAAGTTACCAGCAGGATATGGATGTGAGACCACCACCAATGGGGATGAGACAGTACATAATAATGCTGATACTGCTGCTGCTGCTGCTGCACACCAGTCTGATACGACTGATACTACTCAACATTTGACGTCTCAAATGCAGCATTATCATCATTTACCCGTAGCAGTGGCTGTTTCCATGACAAATACCGTCTCTAGTCCCGATCTGACACGTTCTACCTCATCTGCTCGTCGAAAGACGGCGCATCATTTTTCATTTCGTACACTCATTGGATCAAATCATCTTCGTTTGGCTGATTATGCGGGGAAACCTATTCTCATTGTAAATGTAGCCTCACATTGTAACTCAACTACGAAAGCCTACTTGCAGCTGAATGAGTTGGCCAAACAGTTTCCAGACCTTGTCATCATTGGCTGTCCTTGCAATCAATTTGGTCATCAGGAGAATCTTAATGGTGATGAAATTTACCAGAGTTTACGACATGTTCGTCCTGGAAAAGGCTTTGAACCAGCTTTTTACCTCACGGAAAAAGTCGAGGTCAATGGTGCCAATGCCCATGCGCTTTTCAATTTTCTGAGAATTACACTACCCTATCCATGTGATCGTACGTTGCTGAATGAAATGTCGGCACCCAGCGGTGTCTTTTCCCACCCGATGCGACTCATTTGGATGCCCGTCACTCGTGCAGACGTGAGCTGGAATTTTGAAAAGGTGCTTGATCATTTTGATTTCTACTGACGGCTGTGGTTTGTCTGCTACTGCTGCTGCTGCTGCTCTTGCTATTGTGTTTATCTGTTCATTGCTGATTTACGTGGTGATGCGCTGTTGTTCCGTATAGTTCCTCATTAGTCCGGACGGCACGCCGTACAAACGCTACAGCCCTCAGCTCGATTATACTGGAATGATCGAGGACATTAAGTTCCTGTGCAAAGTGGATCTGTCGACTCAGAAACAGCTATAAGGCAATAATGACTGAGAAGACAGCGTATATCATGATCCACTGGAAATGATGGATCAGGCGGCATATCACCGTGCGACAATTAAACAACAGATGGGCATGCAATCAACTGTCACCATTTGATAGATGCACGTCCAAGACGAAGAAGAAGAAAGACAAGGGTGGGATGTGATGAGTGGATCGGAGGTATGGAAATGAATATAACAGCGTTAAATGTGTATAAGATTGTCACAACTAACTGGTTGGATTGTGTCGTGCCCTGACTACCACTGGCGATGGTAGTAACAGTTAGTATTGAATCGATCAAAAGAGACGCATAGGAGTCAAACATTCATAGCATTCTCCCTTTGCAGTAAAGTGTGTCTATTGTCATACGTTTATCAACATTTGACGTCAATTGAATAGAATTTGTGTTCTAAATCTGACGTTACAAATTAAGTTATACGACATAATTCTTCCAAAAAAATGAACAGTCTTTAAAGGATCAATTACCAATTGCGCACTATGACGGTTTAGTCAGTCAGATTAAGACTGTTCAAAAACTCACGTTTATCTAAAAGAAAGACTCAAGAAAGATTCACATCAAAAGTATTGGTTTAGTTTAATATAGTATATAAATCGCGCTCTATGATTCGTCCATATTACTGTCACTTATTACTCAATCATCATAGCCATCCATGACTGACATATTACTGGTTCGTATGAATTGCAACATTGTCATTTACGTAGCTCCTCGTTCTATTTACTACCACTGCTGCTACTACTATTGCTACTACCTCGTATCTATCAAGCAATCTCCTTCATTATGCAGCATGATGAAGTTATTTGGGGTGTAATCTCCAAGCAATTTTGCTCCTTTAAGAGCAAGTAAGTACGATCATCCCTCGTATTCAATCCTTTTCTAATCATACTAAATGGGACTAGAAATCTAATACAAATGTATGTGTTGTGTGTGAATAGATTACCAGGCACTGGTAATATGTTTTGTAGTAATCCATACAATGTAACAGGTCTTTGCAATAAAACAGCCTGTCCATTGGCTAATAGTCGGTATGCTACCATACGTGAAGAAAATGGTGTCTGTTTTCTCTATATGAAAACAATTGAACGTGCACATACGCCAAATCGACTATGGGAGCGAGTGAAACTGAGCAAGAATTACACGAAATCTCTGGCACAAATTGATGAGCAACTCCAATTCTGGCCAAAGAAACTTATACACAAGAATAAGCAGAGACTGACGAAGATTCATCAATATCTCATGCGCATGCGGAAGCTCACACTCAAGACAAAACCAAAACTTGTGGTTATTAACAAGAAGATTGATCGACGTGAAAAACGTCGAGAGAAAAAGGCCATGGTAGCTGCGAAACTTGATAATTCGATTGAGAAAGAGCTACTGGAACGTTTACAGAAAGGAACGTATGGTGATATTTATAATTTCCCAGAACGTGAGTTCTCCAAGGTACTTGAGAGTAATGGCAAGCGTCAAACAATGGAGGAGGAAAGTGAAGAGGAAGTCGAGTATGAGTTGGATGAGAATGAAGAAGGAGATGAGGAGGAGGAGGACGATGCTGGACAGGTGGAGTATGTTGAGGATTTTGAGGAAGACGAGAGCGATGTGGAGGATCTAGTGGACGAATTTGCCGTCGATGACGATGGAGAGAGCGATGTGCCTGAAGACGAAGAGGAGGAGGATCCATTGAAGTTAAAGAAGCGCAAAGCGTCCATGGTTTCGAAGAATGGTAACGATGAAAAGAAGAAGAAGATGATGAAGCCTAAGGGACCGTATGTTGAGATTGAGTATGAGCAAGAGCAAGAGACGGTTGATGGAGATATCAACTGGTAGACACAGTAAAGTTTGATCTGGCTGGCTTGCTCTGCTGCTTGGTAAACTCGACAAGTGGAGAGAATTTTGAAATAGAATAGTGTGTACATGAACTTGATGAACATTCATGTGGTGTTTGGATGTTTAAATCGAATAGCTGGTGAAAGGACTTGATCTTGCCATAAATTCCTCGTGTAGGCAATCGATAATGCGTGATGTAGTGTGATAAGTGGCTACTTGGTGTATCAATGTCAACGACGAGTACCTCACTTCACTTCAAAACAGCATTTAACACATGACAATACTTATGTATTAGCTACAAGTAAACACATTGGCTGTCGTCCACTTTTATTGATGTGAGCACTCTGGTTGCTCTCTTTCTTTCGTTTTTTTCTGCCTGGTAGCAGCAATCGCGTCCATCTCGGTGGTTGAGAGTAAGAATCCGCCTGCTTTAGTAGCACGGGCATCTGCTTTTTTCTGGCGGTTGAGATGAGGTTTTAGTCGTAACGGCACAGTCACCTCCCACCTCATTCTCTTTGTTGGAACTGGAAATGTCTTCACCAAGCACCTTTGCTGCCGCAGCGGCAGATACGTCGTAGGTGCCTGTGTCATCATCCATCACGTCTTCCTTCTCAGGTAGCGAGGTTAGCACCACATTCAGCTGCTTCTTCAGCTTCCTGTTCTCGACATGGAGTTCCAAATTTTCCTTTTCCAGGTACGCCACATTTTCGCTCGTATGCTCTCGAAACGTCGTCATTGCATCATTGGCAGACGCCAACTGCGACTCCAGTTTGTCGACAAGCTCCATCCTTTCCTTCATTAGGAATTGCATTTCCTGGACCTCATGCTCGGCTTTTTGGTGCTCATCAATTAACGCCGCTCGCATCTTCGCCTTGCCATCTAGTGCTTGGTGTTTCTCAATGCGTACGGCTTCGCGAAGCTCCTCAACTTGCTCCTTCAACAGTCTCAATTCCTCGTCCTTGCGTTTCAGTAAAAAATGTTCCTGTTCCAGATGGTCTCCTTGGCACTGTGACAAGGCTTGTGCCAAGTCCTTTTGCAGATCCTGCACCTTGACGTGCAAGTCGAAACGGTCTTTTTTCAACTTGCGGAACAGCTCTAGTGTCTCTGTCGTCATTTTGACCTTATCCAATTTATCAATACGTGCTTTTTGCTTATCGACAAGTTTCTCCAAACTTTCCTTTGCAAGCTGGGCTTCCACGAGCTGATTGTGGTAGTTGTCACCCTCCATCTGGGAAGACTTGAGCAATTCCGCAAGGCTCTTTAACTCGCGATGGCTTTGAGTCACTTCGTTCTCAGTCATCTCCAACTGAGCTTCTATCTCCTTCAGCTTAGCTTGGTAAGTAGCTTGCTGAGCCTGTGCAGCAGCAAATTTTTGTTGCAGCTCACAAATCTCATCTCGCTGCTGGTCCTCGACCTCTCGATGTTGAGCCTCAATGACGACATATTTCTCCTTCAATAGTCGACGCTCACCGACAAGCTCGTTGCATTTCGCTTGCAGTGCTTCTTGTCGGCTATTGACCTGCTTTTGCCACTCCTCTTGCTCACAAATTCGGATTTTCCAGTCCTCCTCCCTCGCCTTAGCACAGCGCTTCAGTTCATTAATCTCAGCTTCACTTTGATCGATAGCAGAACGAAGTCGGTGGATTTCGCCGTCCGCGTTCTTCTGGTGCCTCTCAAGCTCTGCCTGTGCTTCCAAAAACTGCTCACCAATGCTGTCCATCTGACGCACCAAATCTTGGTGCGTCTCTTCCCACCTAGCAGTTTCTGCTTCAAGCTTTCGTTGTATCACTTCTTTTTGCTCCAACACTGCTGCGCAAAATTCTTTCGCCTTCACCAGTTCTTCGGCTTGCACCTTCATTGCATCTTGAGAAGCACCAATGTCCGTTTTGAGAGCAGACAGCTCATCAAGAAGTTGTGTTTGCTCTGTCGTCATACGAGCAAACTCCTTCTTTGCCAAAGCTTCCTTCTTACTCCATTCGCTATCTCGTTTTAGCAGCTCTTGTTTCGCCTCCAATAACTGGGTTTCCAGCGCTGTTGTCTTCGATTGAAGCTCGGTCTGCTTTGCCCTTGCCTCTAGGAGGTTCAATTCTACATCATCCTGCGGCGGAGTACTAACAGTTTCCATGCCAGTCGAAGCCATTTTCAGTTGTAGCTTTAGCGCAGATATCTTATCTTGAAGCTCCATCTCTTTTTCTTCGGCTGCAATAAGGCGCTGCTTACTCTGATGACGCATCTCCTGCTGTTCCTCCTCTGACATCGTCAGAGCATTCGTCAATTTTGCAAATTCTTTATCCTTTTTCTGTTGAGTACGGGCAGCTGAATCTAGGTCCGCTTCTAGCATCTTAATTTTCTCCGAAAGGTCTGCAATTTTGTCAGAGTTATCTTTTGCCTCATTGCGCAACACAGACAATGTCTCTTCGTATGACTGCACGTCAAGTTGGAGTTTTTCACGCTCTTTAAATTCAGTCTCAAGACGCTGCTGTAAGTACTCCGCCTTAGAGGCACTGCTTTCATTTTCAGGCTTGGGTACTGTGTTGTCGTGTTGCATCTGCTCCACTATTGCGGCATGGTCTGCTTGAGAAGTTGTCAAAGCGATCTGAAGGTTCTCAATGGTTTGCTCAAGCTTCATCTTGTCAGCTTCCAAACTTGCTTTAATTGATTGAGTGTCTTCTAGCTGTGCTTGCAGCGTAGTGATTGTGGCCGAGGAAGACAAGACCTCTTTCTGCACTTCACGGAGCTTATTTTCCTGTTCGTCAGCGGCGATTGCAAATTTCATTTTCTCTTCGGATATTTGCATCAGTTGGGCTTCTAAAGCCTGAAGCTCCTCCATGCAGTCGTTGCGCTCATGAGATATATGCTCCAGTTCTTTTGTTACCCGCTTGAAATCTTCCTTTAGCGCGCTATATTGCTGTTCAAAGCCGTGTGTTAAAACGATATTCGGATCATCAGGTGAAGACGCTTTTGCAATCTGCTCTTGTTTTACCACAAAATCGGTCGAAAGAGCAGTGCTTGCCTGCTGCATAGTGTGGAAATCAACCTTTAGTTGATCGAACGCTATCATGAGCTCATTTTGCTCAGCAGAATGTTCCGTTGAGCATAAAGTTGGGTTCGTATCTCCAAGCTTTGACTCAAGAGCAGAAAGTTGTTCGGCCATCCGCTCTACTGCTAAGTGCAGCTTTTGGGTCTTATTCGTCTCCAAAGAGTGTTCATTGGCGTTATCGATGCATTTCGTTGCCAGTTCTTCTGGGTCTCCACTATCTGTCGTAGTGCTGTCAGCGGCACCAGCCTCCCGGATTCTAGTGGAAAGCTGTTCTTTTTCGGTAGCAAGATCACGGATGCTCTGTTGCAGTGTTTCGACTTCATCAAGGTGCTTTGTCTGCATCTGTGAAATCGTCGCGACCTTTGCATCTAGCTGTGCCTGCAAGACCTTCGCAATGTGCTCCTTCTCCACTAACGTCTCACTAATTACACAAAGTTGACGCTGCAGAACCTCAATCTCCTCGCTCATCCTCTCTCGCTCTGCTTGCAGCTCTTCTTTCTCTAAAGCCGTTCGCTCGTGATCCGACTGCAACTGGGCAAGCTCCTGCATAATGTTCTGCAATTCTTGTGCAAGCTTGTCTACAACAACGTTCTCCGTTTTGTCTGCACTAAACACGTTCCTTTGTAGATTTTGTGCACTTTCTGATGATGCATCTTCATTTCCTGGAGCAGCCTCTTCTCTCAACTGTCCAATCTTCTTTTGCAACGCAGCTCTCTTCTCCTCTAAGAACCTTACCCGTTCCTCTCGCTTTGGCTGCTTTACTTCATTACCATGTAACTCCAAAGAGGCGATTTCCTCATCACGCTCTGCAACCGCTAGCTGAAGACTAGTCTGTAATGCTTTCAGTTCTTCTAGAAGGCTTTCCAACTCGTGTTTCCTGCTGCATGAGCTCATGCTATCCTCGTTACCGGGAGGCATAAGCCCGGACTGATTGTTCTGGGCAGTGGCTGCCAGCTCGTGCTTTTTACGGTCGCATCCTTGTTGCAGTTTAGTGGACTCAAGTTTCAAGGCCTCCAGCTGACAGTGAAGAGAATTTAGTTCTTCTGCTGCCATTTGCTGAGTGTTAGCTTTCTCCATCTCCAAGTCATGACAGCGTCTTTTTTCTTTGGCTAAGTACTCCTGTGTGGACATCAACTCGGCCATTACTTCGTCAGCATTAATACCAGCATTTAAAGCACTTTTCGAGCTATCCCAATCAGCATTCTCATCTTCCACCTTTGTAAGTAGATCGTTCACAGTTTGGTCCAGTACGCTTTTATCATCCAAAGCGTCTCTCAGCCGCATGTTAGCGACCATCAGGCTTTTTATTTCCGCTAAGACATCAGAAGCACGGGCATTCTCCACGCCACCAAGCAACGCTCGTTTTTCGTTCGCGGTCGCTTCCACTGCAGCAATAGGACTTTCGCCATTTCCATCATGGTAGCTTCGAAAGACTGCTGAAAACAGATCGATTACGTTTTTGCTGCTATCACCCACATCTGCTCGTTTTACCAGCTTGAGTTTGTTTGTTGCTGAATAGCTTGCAGGGGTCTCTGCTTTCGCTAAATCGTTATTGACGTCTGTAACATCTTCAACATCTTCGTATACGCGAAAGAGAGTCTGGGGATCCATATTTTCTTTTGTCGGAGAATGCCGCTTTCGAGGGTAACAATCCGGTGACAACAAACCCAGCGCCTTGATGTTAGTAGGAAAATCTCCCGGTCCCCACGTTTCTCTCATCCCTTTTTGCCGCTTGCGCTTTTTACTTCCAGTGTTTAGTTTTGTCACAGAGGAGCTGGAAAGGATGAGCCCCGTAAGCCGTGCCATCTCCGTCTTGTTGTGGTTCTTTTCGCTGATCAGTGCCTCGTTCTCAGCTTTAAGAGCGTTCAGCGCTTCAGAATTGACCAGTTTTTTGAGCTCGTGTACCTCGCGCTTGAGACGCCGTAATTGCGTCTGGTCATCTAGAACCTCGTTTACAGTCGCGGACGTCTGGATATCCTTTGCACGGGCTGCAAACTGCAGGGTACTTTTGGTTTCCTCAATGTACTTGTCACTTGGTGTCACGCAACAAATGATGAGTGTGCGTGTATTGCCACCCAGTGAATTTTGAAGCAGGCGTGTGAGCTTACTGTCTCGAAATGGCGCGTTCTGTCCGCCTCCTCCCGAACTGGCCAGCGAGTTGATAACGCGTGCTAGTGTCAAGAGCGACTTGTTAATGTTGCCAGCTTCTCGTTGTCGAATACCTTCTGCGCCAGTATGTCGCAGACTTTCCGAACCAGCGAGATCGACAAGATTTAAGCTTGCAACTAGCACCGCTCCGTTCACGTCTTCTTCTGACAGTCTTCTAAAATTTGCTTTTTCTTTACTCTCAATAACAATTCGAAAGACGCTATGAGAGCGTGAACTCTTTTCATTCATAGCTGTATGTCCAACAGTTCGATTTCGATTCCCCATTTGAAGCAGCATGACAATATCGTGATAATTAGTAATAATTTCTTCCTTACATTCCACGTACACGCCTTTTTTCGGATCTTCTCGAAGTTTTAAATTCACGACTGGATTCAATAAATCTTTCACCACTTCATTGTAAATTTCAACATACGACACACGTAAGAGAAAATCACGATCTAGACAGTTTTCAATAAAATGAAAAATATCGTCCACTGCTAATTGTAAAATTCCACGAGCATTGAAATGTATTTGATCCTTGAGCTTCACGTTCATTTCTCCATTTCCTTGCATTGTAAATGTTTTTCCTGAACTTGTTTGTCCATAGGCAAAGATTGTTCCATTGATACCATTTAACGTCGAATGTACAATCCGTTGACCCACACGTTGATAGAGAAGGTGGATATCACTTTTTGGATCAAAAATATCATCATATTGATAGACATTGCCTTTTCCGGATAAAGGTATACCTGTACGGGGATCTAGTAATGACACGGTCTTGAGTCGTGGGATACAACATAATGCACTTGAATCATTTGAACGTATTTCACGGTCATTCATCGGTCGTATACGTATACACACAGCAATATTCTCAGCTTCACCACGCGCTGAATTCGTCGTATCCATCTTGATCAATGTATGATCGATCGATGAAATTCCAGATGACAATCACTCTTTCTTTTTCTCTTCGCTTCTGTATTGGCGGGAGTTTTTTAAAGTGAAACGCCGTGGTTTTGTGTAAAATAAGAGTATGTATACTCCTGGATGTGTATACTAGGTATACAGTCTATCTTCTATTTGTGTATACTGTTTTTCTATATATTACATTTATGACACTTACTATAAAAACAATAGTAAACAGATAAACGGTCTGCACTGTCATACTACATATAGCGATGACTATTACGTGTATGAAGTAAACTAAGTAAAGCTTAAGTGTAAGACAAAGGCTTATTGTGTCGTGGAGTCTTGTTTTCTTGACTGTCTACATGTTATGAGAATACTAGAATCAACACAAGAATGCGTATTGTATTGCGTATTGGCATGTTAACTTTTATATCTATACCCTTCCTATCTTGCATCTTAGGAAACAATGCAGCTTGCACAGCATCCGTCACGAGCACGACTGTTTCGTTGCTGCTGATTATCAGAATCTTCCATCGATGCAGCTACTGTTGTAGGCTTCAAGCAGCTGGTAATCTCGTCATCACGCCATAAGTCACTCGTGGACACGGATGGAAATGCTACTGCCTTCACCAGACTCACTCCATTACACGCGACTTGAGACTGTGGAATCTACGCAAACATTGACAATTTCTAGAACCGTAAGAAAACAATTAATGCATCAACATCACCGTGACTTGTTAACATCGTACCGGTTCGTAATAAACAGTATCATTACGGTGAGTAACAATCTCCAAATCTCGACTGATAATCTGCTGCAATCGAAGAAACACGGCGGCTAACTGCGACACGCGCTTCTTTTCAACTTTGTCCGCTTTCATCTTGGCCTCATAGCCTCTTTCAATCGGAACAACTCCCTCAAACAGCACTAAAGCCTTATGAAAATTAGCCACGGCCTGGACACAGTTTCGTGCATCTTCTATCAACATGCACGCAGCACCTTGGAAGTACATTGATATGGCCTGGTAGTATGGCCCCTTGTAGGCGCAAAAAAGGCGGATACGTTCAGCTATTGTTGAAATCGAGTTGGGCAACAAACTAAATGCCAAGGTTTGACATTCTGCACAGCATTCATGCAAACAGCCTCATTAGTTACATACAAACCTCCAGCTAACAATCCAAAGTTCTTGTACCTTTGTATCTCGTCGAAATGTCCGTTGACAATTTGGCCATGAGAGAAAAGTCAACGACCTTACGTGTTACCCCACGAAGAATCACGAGTTCCTGCGCCTCGACAAGTGCAATCCACGCCAATAACTGCGGAAAACGACCGTCTGCAAGATCTGGTACGCACTTGAGCATTGCAACGTCTTCCATTGCTCGTTTAATGGAATGCCCACGCTCGATCTCCTTCGTGCTCTCCGGAGCTTGAAGCTGCTCCTCCCGCCACTTTGCCATCATGTCGTCATCGGGTACTACTGTTGGTGTCAATCTCTGCGCTTCGGTCGGAGCCTCATTATGCACTCCAAGGTCAGTAAACTTGGCCCCTATATGACGAGGAGTGATGCCCATTGACTCGAGACACGCTTCCAGCACTCCAGACGCATGTAGCAATAGTTGATGTGCAAGTTTAAGCTGTGTCTCATCGAGTTCTGTCAACCTTTCGAAGAATATTGCATCCACTTTATCCCTAGCATCCGTCATCATTAAAATGCCTGCAGCCAGCAAAACATGTGCATATTCATGTCTTGCGCTTTGAGTATAAATTGTTCGACCCGTAAGTGCGTCCTGCCACCGACAGAAGTTGAGGCATCCACTATAGTCGCTAGCTGCAGCTTCATTGTGATCTCCATTCTTCTCTACCAGTGGTTGTCGTAGACCATTACCATCGATCGTATCGTTTATGGGCACCATCGACGACAGTAGCCTGTGGTCTCCACTTTGTCGCCTGTCTGCAGCTTCCATGAATCCTTTCACGAGTGCCAAGTACTGAACCAATTTCTCTGTATAGCTCGAAATATCATCAGCCGATTGAAAGAATGAGTGGGATTGTGCACTATCAAGTTGCAATGCGTCTCGAGCAGTGCTGAGTTCCCTGGCAAGGCGCTGGACACCGTCAGTTTTGTCCGAAATGCCAAATTTTGTTAATTCAGTTGCGAATTTCGGCTATAAAACAGAAACAAATGAGGATTAAAACAAATCACGTTGATAATACCGTTATATTGTAGTAGTAACATCCAGTGGACGCACCTTGCTACTCCATTTACAGCCGGGACCGAGAACGTGGCAGCACAGGGGTAGAGGTTGACGCTGGGTCATTGTCAAATATCACGAAATGCACTTACGCAGGTTTCTTAGCAGAATATTTGGAAAGCATTGGCCAATCAGATAAAGCCTGACACTAAAATTATATTGACTTTTGTTTTTGTTTTTTCGCTCAACTTTGTGCGAAATTTCTAAACTTAGCGACTTTATAAAAAAGGGTTGCATGAATGTGTATTGATGGACGTACAGTAATATACAGTAAAATTTAGTGTCGAGATGTTAATTCGACTTGTTCAATATGTTGCGTGAAGATGCACACTAACGACGAGTGACATGTAGCATTGGTGTTCGTAAAAACACGCTGTCTTTAGCCTATAACTTGCACGACTTCGCTTCACAGTAGAACCTATTTATGTACTGGGTTAAGCTTTACAATGCACATGCACGGAACAGCTTTATCGTCATCATAGCTTGCTCATCATAGCTTTATCATCATCGTTTGCTCATCATAGCTTGCTCTTAGACATGCAGCCATCGTAGTCATACAAAGTTAATTTATTTTTGCATAGCACTTGATTTGACGCTGGCGAAGGCAACGTTTCTTTTTCTATTACAAAAAAAGACAAGTTTGATTAGTCACAGATTGAGGACCAAGCAAAAGATGTCGAGACAAAAGGTCGAAAAAAATTCATCTTGACGGCAAGTCTTGTAGAGCTTACAAGTTAGATTCAGTAGGTTACAAAGACGGCATATTGTATTGCTAACCACTGGAAAAGAGCACAGCAGGAGGCTCAAAAGCAGCAAGTTGCAGTAGCTCTTAGATTGCAGTGGTGCTTAGGTTTCAGTGATGCTTGGGTTGCAGTACATCAAGCTGTCAGACGGCAGTCAGCACGTCCACTTCTGTTCTATGGCTCGGTGCTGCACCGTTAGTACAAACCGTATCTTTCAGTCGTCTAGCGAAATGTTCGCCTACGGATGCAAGCAGAGTGCGAGCGCCTGAAGAATGCAAGCAGAATGCAAGCCACCTGAAGGATGTATATGCCACTGTGCTATCGACATTGCACAACAAGAGATTTTGCTCGTGCGCTGAACTGGGCCTCGGAACTTGACCGTAAGGCAAGTGGCTATGGCCGTCGCGTGGCCAGATCTTGCCCATGATCACGTGATACGTAGCGGTTGGATCGCGTTACCATGTCGGTGCGACTAGTTCGAGGGGGATGAGCTTGACACGCACCGTCGGATTGCCTTACAAACCGCCCGACTCTGGGGCTTTCACATGTCTTGCGACGGTGCCTGCCCGCGTAATCCGGGTATGAGTGCGCCGTGGGTGGCGAAAGAAGAGCCACAACGTTGAAGTGTTCGGAATTGGCAAATTAAAGGTCGGGTTTCTTCTTGTGTCGCCATTTGCCCTATGCCGACGATGCAGTATACGGATAACGCAGCGTCTGCCGTAGCAGAAGTGCTGGGCATGAGCTGGTCCGACAAACTCTTTTACGGATAGTACTTTAACGTTGAGTCGACCAAATGATTGGTCTGCTCTCTTGCCACATGTGCTTTGCATCATGCACCACACGATAAGTATGCCATAGCGGATCCTTTAGAGCTGTATTGTAGCTCTGCAATCACGCTTGGTGGTAGACATGGTACATGTAGTCTCACTGAAGTGATTACAGCAAAGCTTTAGGTACTGTTTACATGGCGTCCATCGAGCTGAGTTCATGACACAACAGAATGAATACACACGTAGGCGAATACGCGAGTCGACCGAAGTTCTGTATCATAACCATTTTCTCTCGATAGCAAAACGTGCATTAGTCGAAGCATGTGCAGCATACTGCCCAAACGCGGATAGCGACGTATTATAGAGCTAGGAAGGTGTGCAGCACCGGTGAACGCACTTCGGCAATTGAATCTGGCTGTGTCCGCATCAGCCGCGGCGGAGACGGGTCGCCTGATACGTGCCGCGCAGAGACGGGCAGGGCTGTAATTTATCTGCAATAGCCGCTTTCGTGGCAACGCCAGCGAAGACTTGGCTGAGCCCAAGATATAGGCAGTAGATGCTGACCACCATCGCGGGGCCATCCGAACTTGATGGGGGGCAACATTTCTACTGCGTGCCATCGTCAGCGCTTATCAAGTCAGGATACGCCGTCGTGGCATCGCTTGTGGTCGTGGTCACTGAGCTGGTGGTGTCAGATAGCCTCACGGCTGTAAACAGTACTGTCACTGGAGTTGACAAAAACAAACCTCGTGATTGTATGGCATGACCGCTTTGCGTGACGATTGCACCATGAGGCTCATCGCTCGAAGCGCTTGAGTGAATTGCTACCACACAGAGCATAGGACATCGCATACGCGCCCCTTGTTCGAATCATATCGGATGGTGCTTGACTCTGGCTACCAAGATGCAAACATCTGGTCACGAAGACGTGTCTGCTCATGAAGTGCTAATATTGCGATCGACTGGTACTAATGTAACCAATACCTTTGATACAGTGCTATCATGTCAAAAGACTCTGACATGAGCAAACGTCCAGCAGGTTGTATGTAGTGAACAAACACTGACAGGAGTGTCGATTCTTTTGGCCCGACAATACCTTACGGTTAGGTTGGTAAATAATTTCTCAAAGGAAGATGCGCAAGTCCCCGTTTCTGGTCATTGCTAAAATAGATGCAGTTTTTGTAAGAGCTTGCACGTGATGCATGGACATGATACAGTAGTAGATGGGCCTTTTCACCAGGACAGCGTCAGCAGTTTACTCGCCACAATCCGTTTGACCTCAAGCATCGAAGGTCATTCAATACAAGGGGGGGCGGGTGTCCAAGTAAAAGAAGAAGAAGAGAGAGAGAGAGAGAGAGGGAGAGGGAGAGACAATACGATGCAGCCCACTTGCAACAGCACTACGCCTCAAGTGGATATCCTCGTTGCGGACCCTTTCGTATCCTCCTCATCCTCCACTAGCACTGGTCTGTCCTCATGGCCCGAGCTCAAACACCTCAACGCTGCTGTAACTTTCGTGCCACTGGAAAATGAGGCCCAGCTACGCAATCGGAAACGCCAGCGACCATGTGCTCCATCGTCACCCTCGTCACCATTTTCCACGTCTGGCGACCTCAAGCTCGACTTTGCAGGCTTCGAAGTGGGCGGCAACGCCACGTCTGCTGTCATGTCCTCTGATCCAATGTCTGCTATCATGACGTATTCTACCACGTCCAATGACTATAGCAACCCGGACGACTACTTGGTTGATGACGTGCTGACATTTCTCAAGAGCTTGCAGCTCGTGCAGGACTCAGCGGCTCTGGCGCTGGCTGCGCAGCACCTTGCGCAGGACGGGTTCGACTCAGTACTCGCTCTGGCTTTCGTGTCCGTGAATGAGCTGCAGCGTGCCAGTATCGTCGATGCCCAGCTCGTATGGCAGCAAGCGCGTCGCAGCTTTCAAGCTCGACGGTTCCAGGGACCTGGCATGTTGTCTCCGGTCTACACGGTGTCTCGTTGGCTGGAAATGTGCCGAATTCCCAAAGAGGATAGTTTCAAGTACGCAGAGTATCTGCGCCGTCTGGGCTATTCATCCATGCGCGACCTCGAGTTCATCTTGCACGACCAGCGTGCCCTCGGTGTCTTCAAGACTGGTCACAACCGTCTTTTGACGCACTACGTCGCTGCCGCCGTCAACCAGCAGCAACAGCTGCAGGTCATCAACTACTCGTTCGGGACACAGTGCCCCAACGTGTACAGCGCTGGATCTTCGAGTGCGCTGCTACAGCCGCTAGACATCCAACGCGAGAACGAAATTGACGTGCAGGCCTATGATAGCTTCTTGGAGGCGTTGATCGAGCCGACGGATGTCGAGACAATGCAGCAACAGCACTACTCTGCACCTGACAATCTGTCCCTAGGCTGTGAGAATGACGCAAATTGCGCCAACCTGCTGGGTACGACAGACATGTTCGGCAATCATGTGAGCTTTGGTGGTACTGCACTGCCAATGGCGCCCAACATGCCGCTTCGTCTGCTTCTGCAGGATCATCTGCAGCTGTTGTACGAAGCGGTAAACCTGCCGCGTCCAAACCCGTGTCGCCGCGGCAAGAAGATTTACTGGTCAGTACTTGCCACGGGTGGAATGAAGGAAGATCGATTCGTCCCATTGACTCAGTTTACGGCTATTGAGTTGCAGAACGCGTACCTCCGTCAGTTCAAACTGCCGGCTGGTAGTCCGGTAAAGATGGATGCTTGGAGTGATGACAATATCCGACAGCTTGAGCATGCCGTAAAGGATCCTCGTTGTCGCCATTTGTCAAAAGTTTGCTGGGAAATGCTGGCCACTGGACGTACGGGCGTGGACGAGTACACGCCTCTATCCAAGTTTACTGCGTCGCAACTACGATCGCGCTTTCGCTCGTTGTTTGGTGACAAACGTCCGCAAAAGCTTCGACAAAGAAAGCAAATGCTTAAGCTGCAGCAACAACAGGAGGAGGAACAGCAGCAGCAGCACGTGAGAAATACCGAGCGAATCGTGTGATGAAGAGACAAAGTGCTATACATAGTCAATAAATGTGCAGTTTTACAGCAAAGACGTTCGTTTTATTGGGGACCGTAAGTTTGTCTTAAGCTTATTGTTATATTTAGTTCAGGCTGCTACTATAGAGGGAGTTTATAGAAACGCTGATGTATATTGATTGCATATTGAATAAGAAAGAGATCATTGTCACTCGTTTTGCAGCGAGACATTAGTATAGAAAGCTCTAAGGCTATGGAGACATAAAAATACTTCAAAGATAGCGTAGTCTAGTGTGTCTCCTGATTGATATTGTGGCTAAAACGTCCGGAAAAATAATGCGGCGTGACGGCAGTAGCCTCGCATATGTTGTTACTCTTAGCAGCCTCTGGATACTCTTCTTTAGCCAGTTTATCCTTCATATTGTCGGTCGGTTCCTCGTTTGTCTCGAGCTTGGTTGCATTGACACTAGTAGACGCTACGGTCAACGACAGTGAGCGTTGTAACGCGTAGACATTGCGTCGTAGAAACGAGAGTGGGTGATTGGCCGCCACGAATGAGATCGAGTGTCTACTCGTAGGCTTTTGCACAAAGTACTTGGCAATGATTTGCTCCAGCTGGAAGTGCGTCTCACTAGCGATCACGCTCTTTTCGGACGACGACGACGTCTGTGGATCGCGCCAGTAGTAGCGTTGCCACGAAAAGAGTGCTTTGCCCCACTCCTTTCGGTCGTCGCTACTGCAGGCACTGAACTCAATGCGTTTCGTATTTCCAAGTGTATAAGACCGGTCTTTAACAAACACCCTGCGTGTCTCGAGGAAAAAACTATTCGGCACTCCTTCCGTGCGCTTCTGCGCTTTGATGGTCAGTTTGCATCCGGAGAGCTGAATCTCCCTCAGACATTTGGTACATTCCATTGTCGCGTATTGGCGCAGGAATCCGTCCTCCAGTGAAAAGTAGCATATGGCCGGATGATTGCACTTGTCATAGACAATAAGGTAGCCTTGACGGGACATTTGATAAGGCAAAAAATACGTCTGAAGCTCGATTGTAACGTGCTGGTGAGAAGGTTAAGTGGCAAGTAGGAAGTCGACTCGGTGGGGTGAGTGCTGCACAAGTTAAAAAATGAAGCCGTCGACCGTTCCGCTGAAACTTAAATATAGATAGGATCTGAGCTAGATCTGAGCTTAGTGAAACGACCGACGCACGGATACAAATATGAGGAAGTGAATGGAGTTTCTTGCCCCTTGGTTTTCACTCACAACAGCAGACAAAGAATAAATGCAAACTTAGACATTGCTAATGGTCAGATGACTTGTGCCAAGTGACGACAAGTTTACAATGTGACAATAAGAGAGTCAATCGAAGATAAACAGGTGTCCCCTACTTGCTTGGTAGGAAGGAGCATGAAATTGTCAATCTAGAGCTAAAACTTAGTCATACAGGATAAGATAAAGTGATTAACACGAGATAATGTGTGTCATCATTGTACATCACCATTAATGTCATGGTTTGTCATGTATAACCAAGCAACAGTAAAAGGCGCTATGGGGTTTGTTTGTCGTATACAACCAACCAACCATGCAAGAGTGAAAGGCGCTTAGTTCCTGAGACAAGCACAAGCACAATGATACACGAAAGTACAGGTTTACATGGTGTTAGAAACCTTGACAAGAACTGTTTGTGACTTGAATCTGGCTATTAATCGTCTTGCTTCGCGGGCGACAAATACTAATCGAGAGCAACAAACGATTACACGATGCGTTTCAAGCTAGAGCGTACAGATGGAATAGTCACTGTGCTCTAGTGGATCTATTAGTTCTATGTCGTAGGTAATGTAGATGCACGACTTATCGCTAAATATGCGGACGTGGCATTAACTTAATGCGTGATCTCCACGAACGATTCAATTAACGAGCTACGCAAGTGAGAAACAATCACTCTACCAAACGACGCAAGCCAAATGCTTTGTGATTTGCTACGTTGTGATAAGAATGCACTTCAAAATACAAAAGTAGTTGCTGTTATCAATTGTAAAACAACTTTCGCTTCACTAAAAGCACGTATGCTGTGGTAGGTATGGTAAGAAAAGGATAGGAGATTCATATTGATAACGGAAATGATCACATTGTTGTGAATGTAGCAAACGCATATCAAGCGTCCTTGACTGAGCAAAGGTGCATATTTATTGGCTGAAATAGCTATTACAACACGCTAACAAAAGTTTAGGAAACTACTACTATATATAGCAAGAGATACATTCTACGTGAAAGCATGAATGAGGGCTCTTGTAATCTGTCAAGATAAGCTAAGCTCCTTTCTGCCTTACATGGATGGAATTCTGCATTCTTCATGACACCCGTCCCATTCCTGTCTAATCAATTATTAAGTATTGTAGGTTTTTTCTTTTAGATGAAAGAGTGAAGGACGTCGAAGGGGGGGCGAATGTTTGTAAACGAGTTGCCTCATTTTCAGACAAGCTAGTATCATCGTAAATTGTAACGTTTTGCTGCTTAATATCAATTTTCCTGCACGTGTAGACCAACTCAAAGTGCTTTTATCTTGTTTGCCGTGAAAAGACGAGTTGAACGAGGTACATTTCTATCTCTAAAAGTCAAATTGCATTGGTGCATCCCAATTTAAGAATTGATCCACGAGAGATATAGCAGTAACATGAGTAGCGTTGCCACCGTGGCTACGACTACTCCAGTGTCAATGTCTCCATCTACTCACAATACATCACCGTCGATTAAGCGTCAGAAAGTCACTGAAGATGAGGCATCCGTTGCAGTAATTGAATCAAAGGACGGTATCCTGGACGCCTCATTGACAATGGAAAACACAAGTGAAAACACACCGAAAAATGAAGCTGGAAGCTGTTCGAACTTGACGTTAAGTTTGCAAAAGGATCCGTCGTGGATGTTAGGTGACGTTGATAACTTTAGTGGTTTAAGTGCCATTCCATCAATGAATGCAGTACTGGAGAAGCGCACGTCGAGTCAGTTCTCTATTGGCTCTTTGCTCCCTTCTTCTGTATCTGGTAATGAAGTACATATCACGGATGATTCACGCACAGAAGATGCGGCAATGGACAATGGCGAGGCTACCACAGATCATGAAGGTCAAGGTCCTGCAGGTACAACGTCCACGATTGCCATGGTGGCGACGATGGCAGCAGGTTCCGGAGGCAATACCAAGTATATGGAACCTGTTACAGGTGACTATATGTATCCGGAGAACGTCAAGCCAATGAGTTTTTACGACAAGCAACGGCTTGTACAGAAAATTACGATGCTGCCGAGTCAGTATCTGCGAGGACTCATGGATGTAATCAGCAAGTACCAGCCAGACACGGTGCGTCAGATCGATGACGACGGTTATGCGTTTGATTTAGGTCAAATGAATGAGAATACCGTATGGGCTATTAGCGACTACGTCAAGGACTCGATGATTGAGTTGGACGGATACATCAAATCTCTTAATCAGACGGGTATCAGTTTATCTACCGAGGAAATGCGGCAAGTAGGTGGCACTATCCTAACAGCGACGAGTGCAGGCATCTCGAGCACTACCGCCCGCCATCTTAATGATAATTTAGTGCTAAATCCGACCAAGATGTCGTCTATTACAAACAATGAGAATCAGAACAAGTTTTTGGAGCAGGTAGAGATGTATTCGAAACCAAAGGTGACCAAGTCGCGCGTAAAGCCCAGCAAGAAGCACGAATGTCCAACATGCAACAAGCAGTTCCGTGGACGGTCTGAGTTACAGAATCATATTCGAACCCATACGGGTGAGAAACCGCTCAGGTGTTCGTACACTGGTTGTACGAAGCGCTATGCCCACAGCTCGAACCTGCGTGCTCATGAGCGAACGCACGCTGGTATTAAGCCATACACCTGTCACTATGACGGTTGTGGCAAGAGTTTTGCACACTCGGTGTCGCTTAAAGAACATATTTGGATGCATGCGGGGTTCCAGCCCTATGTATGTCCGTACGAAGGTTGCCAGAAAAAGTTTACACAGGTGTCGAATTTTGCACGACACAAGAAGACGCATGAGAAAGAGGACCGTAGTGAGAATGAGCATTCTATTGAAAGCGACGATTAGGCACATTGCTACAAAGAATTATATTAAAACCCACAGCGGTACATGGAACCAAGATCAATAGCCACATATCAAGTGAGCATGTTGTTTGTATTGACTCATTACAATGCCATTTATCATTAAGATCATCTGAATGACTCAATTACTCAATGATCTCTCTGGGTTTCGATACAACAAGCGTACGCTCACATTTACTCGTTTCAAACTTGGTAATCAATAGTGAACGTCTGTTAGTATCAAGACGTATAGTCGGTAGGAACTGCTCCTCCTTGCCATCATTCTTCACAGCTTCTTCTTCTTCCTCTTCCACAAATTGACCCAAATCAATGGCTTTTTCTGCAATGCATGTAAAGAAACCACTTTTCTGATCACGTGACGTATATTCCAGGTCACCTTCTGCTCGAAGCAACAGTCCATGGCCATCATTTAACACTAATCCCAAGGTTTCTTGGCTCATGCTTTTTTCAAGCTTTTATAATCGTAGTATACGGATTGTTCGTATGGATGTATACATGTAGCCATGAAATAAGGATGGTTAAAGCCGAGATACTGACATACAATATAAGAGCAATGTTTACAAAACCTATATATTCGTGTACACTACATCGATCGACAAGCATCATGTAACCAAGTGTAGCCCATACATTTTTCAAGTATATAACCGATATCCCTCTTAAGTACGTTTGTTCTTTTCGAAGCTCAAATCGATTAGCGATCGATCTACGTCATGAACTCTACCCTTCGACGCCCAATGCATCGTACTAGCGTCCGTACCTCCCTTCGTCGTAATTCTAGTGACGTATCTATTATATCACTATCTTCTCCTACTTCTCACGCATCAAATGAGCCTTCATTCATGCTTAAAGACTCTCTAGAAGTGACATTCTGTGCCGTTCAACGTGTCTCTGGGCGTTCCTTCCTGTTGCTATGTACACACTCCAAGTGGCGACTCTACCGCCTCGATGGCTTCAAGTCAGTTCGTGAAAGCTTTACGCCTGTGGAGGTGAGTCAATTGCGCTTCGAACACTGTCATTCCTGTTACAAAAGCGTACAAACTGGTGTCACGGTACTTTCCGACATTAACACGTCGTTCTGTGCTTGTTTCTAGCTCGTGATTGATTCTACCAAGAAAGATACAGCACATCTCTCTTGTGTACGTTTCTTCCATCTGTATACGTTACCGGATACGACGACGGATGCATTGGGAGCTCTATTCGTGTTAGAAAGGAGCTCAGTAGTGCCAAACACAAGTGACAAGAAGGAAGACGACTTTGTCTCGACCTCTGCACTGGAAATAGAAGCAGAAGAAGAAGGAGGAGAATGCAATGATGATGATGATGATGGATGTGAGGAAATTGTCGCACTGGCGCTGGGTGAGCAGCGATTGCTGCACAGGTTACCGCCCACGCCATCATTGGTGCTGGATGTGCAGACAAACGCCACGACGGCCGCTGTGCTGTGTGAAACCAGAGAGCTTTTTCTCTACGACTTGACCTCTTTTCAGCTACAGCAGACCATTTATACGGCTTCTCCTGCCATGGCGCTTGGGCAGCGATGGCTCGCGTATCCTGGATTTGCCATGTGTGCTGATGCAAACCAAAGCATTGGCCAAAAGCAGGCTTTGTCTGGCCAAGCCGACAGCGACTCGGACTTTGAAGACATCCCTATTGAAGCTCTTGTCAACAGTGGGATGGCCGTAGAGGCTCGCGATGCATCTCACAGCACATCAAAAGCCTACACGGCTATCGATGTGGCGCAGAACGTGGCGTCCGGGTTGTACTATTTGTCAAAAGTAGGGCGTGCCACCATTGCGCCGTATATGTCGTCCTCACCTGGCAAACCGTTGAGCGGAACGCACAACTATCACACATCGACATCGCCGTCTGGTCGTCGCAGTTTTGGACGGTCACGAAAATCATCTCTTAATGGCTCTACAGGTAGCAAACCACAGCAGCTACAGCAAGATGGCGGTGAAACAGCAGTTTCTGCGTCAAAAAAGCATTCGGGGTGGGTAGTGGTGCTTGATTTGGTTTCGAATCGCGTGCTGGCCAACTTTCCTTGTCATTCGACCGCGTTGGTGAACCTCTCGTTGGATTCTTCTGGGCTTCTTTTGGCAACGAGCTCTACTAAGGGTCAGAATCTTCATGTCTATCGCCTGTCACCGCCATTGCAAAGTGTAGTAAACAAGTCTGGGCCTGTAGCCAATGGACACGGAACACTCCATCACCAATTGATGTACAAGTTGCAGCGTGGAATCACCCACGCTAGTATTCAGGATATTTCTTTCAGCCAGGACGGAAAATGGATTAATGTGACATCAGCGCATGGCACGAGCCATCTATACGGGCTTCACCCCGAAGGGGCGCGTATAAGTGCTGACACACATGCGAACATAGTTGAGAACGCTGATGAATCCGACACTGATACGCTTGGATCTGGCTTTTGTCGGCGTGAAGTAAACGATTTTTATGCTGATTTCCGCGCTCTTGAGACGCGGACGCAAACCCAGGTACTTCGAATTCGTCATGAATTCAAGACTGCTAACGCTTCTAGCGTTTCTCTCCACAAGCCTATGTCTTCAGTTTCGTCCAAACCACGCACAGCGCGTTCATCGTCATCTTCATCGTCGTCGTCTATGTCGTCTACCTCTTCGTCATCGTCCCCCTCGGGCCTCACGTTTAATAGCCCACCCGGTGCTGGCAGTATGCGCAGTAGCACTATCATGGAATCAGCCCTGGATGTGTCGCAGGCATTGCTGTCTCAACTCGCCACATCCGCTATAGATTTTGGTCATCAGCACTTTGAGAATGATATGGATGTCGCTTCTCGTCGTCGCCGCTTGCGTCAGCGCTTGTGCTGCCTGTTTGCTCCCGATGGACTCAAGATGCTGATTTGCTGTGATTCTGTCCTCAAGTTGTATGACATGCGTGTGACCGCGCTTTCTCAGCACAAGGCAGACCATGCTCGTGCAACATGGTCTGATTCAAAGACGAAAACTTCCATGTCGTCACTGTCTTCGTTTGGCTTTGAAGCCAGTGTGACAGAGTTGAAATCGTGGGAGCTCCTAGGGCGACGAAAATCGGAGCCTCTTTCAGCTGTTGTTGAAGCCCGAAGTGGCTTAAGCAGCGTTAGCGTTTACAAAGATTACAGTGCCAAGAGTGAACTGAGAACTTTTGCCCAAAGATCGCTGCCATTGTGGGCGCACCCAAAGGTGACTTTTAGAGCGATCGACGAGGACCATCCAGAAGGCCAAATTCTTGAAGTGAAGCGTAAGGGGCCAAATTTGAGTCAAGATCTTAGTGCTAGCACCATGTCGATGGCTCCAGAGGGTTATGCCAATGGCGACGAGCATCTCTTTGTGATGGAGATGGATTCGTACTTTGGTATTGGTGGCTCACCTGTATTTGATGGCGTAGGGGATTGTCCTGCGACACCAGAGATTCCCCCACCGTTAGATCTGGCAGCGAGTATCAATATGGCCATGGCATCTTCGTTGTCAGATACACCGTCCAAGCCCGTTGCTGACGTGAAGAACACAATTTGCTTCAAACCGATTGATGAGAACTCAATGCACGGCGCCGGCATGACACAAAAGGTGAAGAAGAAAGGAAAGAATCGTCAAACGCTCACACCGTCGTCGTCTACTGAAATCGAGTCCGAAGCGATCGAAGAAGGTGGCTCCAAGGGAGGTCTAGCTTCATTACAATTTACGATGCAGGACACGTACTTTGCGGTGCCTACTGATGAAGACAGCGGTTGATGGCGACTATTCCACCGGATGCAGACCTCATATACGCAAACATCACTCTTCTGATCATTAGTTGAAAACATTCAGAACACGAAGTATACATTTTGATGGCAAATTATGAAACCAAAAAAAACTAACAGAGTAAACAGCTAGCAATGACAAGTACATTAGTAACTCGCAACACTTAGCTTTCTTTGTCGCAGTAAATTGTTTGTGTCCTAGTCATCCAAAGGTGCAGGCTCCAAACCGTTTTCCTTGGGCTGTAACATTAGCTCCACGATCTGCTCTACCTGCTTCCTTAGCTCCATACCCGCTCAACCCACACGAGCAGCAAGCTCAACGTAATGTTTCAGCTTTGGCTCCGTTCCGCTCGTATGCAACGTAGCAACGCATCCGTTGGCAAAAGGGTATGTGATCATCACAGTTGAGCTACTCACAGGAAACACTGCGCGCTTGTCAGGCTGAGAGCTGTCATAACCCGTGGTGAGGTCACGTACGTGGGTAATAGCAAAACCGCAGCTTTCCCAGTACCTTCCACCATTCCGCAAGCACTCAAAGATAGCACGAATTGTGACGGGGCCATTGCACTTGACGTAATGGTTTTGCGTCAGGAAGTAGCCATTAGCGCTCATAGAGGGCATCGAGATGCTCGCCCACTGTCGTATTTTTCGTCGCTTCAAGCTGAACCGCCACTCTGTAAACACTGCGGCAGCAACGATCCCGTCCTTGTCTTTCACAAGATCACCAACGCACAAAACCGATGGCCTCCTCGAACTATAATAGGACAATTTTACCAGCATCACGCAGCTCGGCGGTCTTGTTGCCCATCCACTTGAATCCAGTAAGAGTCTCCTCAAAGTTTAAACCCTCGGCCTGGGCTACAGCACGCAGCATCTTCGACGATCTCGTCGATGCAACAAAGTACAATTGTTTGCGATCGCAATCCGGATGCAGTCGCTGATACTGCTCGAGCTCCCAGCAGCCCAGTAGGAGACCGATCTCATTGCCCGTAAAGATTCGCCAACCAGACTCAGAATTAGGATCGCGCTCCGCAACGGCCAGACGGTCAGCATTCGGGTCATTGGTCAGGATTAGCCTCGCTCCGTTAGCCTTGGCAGTCTCCATGGCAAGCTGTAGTGCTCCTTTGCCTTCCTCTGGGTTCGGAAAGGCCAGAGTAGGAAATTCAGGATCAGGTAAAAGCTGGGCCTGCACTGGAATGTACTCCTTGTGTTGAAAAGCAGCAAACAAACGGCTTAAGAACGCGTGTCTGACACCGTGCATGGCTGTATAGGCAACCTTGAGTGTCGTACTGGCATTGGATTCTGGATATCGACATAATCTTGTACGTGCTTGCTCAATGTATAGTTTCATCAGCTCGTCCATGGGGTTTTCAACCGTCGTCGGGTACACTTTCTTGAGCTATGAGTCATCATAGCGTCTCCATGGAGCAAGATTGGTCCTAATTTCACGAGCAATTCCTTTATCATGTGGTGAGATACTTTGACACCCATTAATCCAGTAAACCTTGTAGCCATTGTCCATCTTTGGATTATGAGAAGCTGTGACCATAATACCTGCAACACAATGTTTTTGTTCAATACAGAATGGGTACATTCAACGAATCAGATGGATACATTATAGTCAGTTAGTAAGGTTTTATATATGATGATCATTCTAAAGCGGGAGATACATACCACAAGTGGTGGACATACAAAATCCCTATAGAATTATACTATAATACCAAGCGGCACAAATGTCGTCAATTGTGCAAACCTCTTGGAAGTCATTGAATGATATTGACGATGATCACATCCTTCTCTTCTTGATACAATTTCCTAATTGTTTCAAAAGATAGCTACATATTCCTTGTGCGGTTTGGAGAATGACTAAATTATTCATTCCTGAGGACCCATAATCGCACGAAGACCAGCAGTACCAAAGGTTATACGTGTACAAAAAGCTCCTGAAGACGTACAAATATCATGAGTTTCAATAAGCTTTTGAACTTGTGCTTTCGTATCGAGATTGATGGCCATATCTACCCATTGTTGAGCTATTTGTAGCCATTCTTTCCCATCGACAGTCATTTGAATTTGGGTAGAAATGGTCAAATAAGGAAAGTATTCATTATGACGGGGTTCGAAATGGGTCAAATTTACCTTGAAGGATTTTATTACATTAAACCAGTATAGAATTGTACCTGTGTTATTTTTACATACAAAGATCAAGTTTATTTTGATCGTGGTATTAATTCATTTGGTTACATATCTGTCAAAAAGAACATTGTCACCTCCTGATTACGTAACCGAGTACAAGAAAAACAGACTAATTCCTATAATGAAAGCAAGTAGAAAGCAAAAAAAGAACCAACAATAATAGTACGGCCAACCTTAGGACCATCTACTCTGTTATGTCCTCACCCATCACCGCTTTACTCAACCAATCCAGACCTTCATACAGTCCTTCTCCAGTAGTTGCAATACATGGCTGTACATAGGTAGGATTCTTCGTCACTTCCAATAACTCCAATCTCTCACGAACTTCATGAGCTGACAAGGCATTGGGTTGATCTTGTTTATTAGCGTATACAAGTAATTTCGTATTGACAAGTTCGTCAGACTCAAAGATCAAATGTAAAGCTTCTTTTGCTTCATCAAGACGTTCAATATCGGACGCATCAACGACAAAGATGACGGCATCATTATTAGAGAGGTAATGCATCCAAAGTGAACGAATCTTTTCCTGTCCACCAATGTCCCAAGCAGTAAATTTAATATTCTTATAGTCAAAGGTTTCAATATTAAACCCAATGGTGGGAATTGTCGTGATCAACTCGCCCAATTTGATCTTATAGAGGAAAGTCGTCTTACCGGCATTATCAAGACCAATTATCATAATGCGACTCTCACGCTTACCAAAGTATGAAGCTATGCTGTTATAGAGAGCGTCGAGTGAGGAAGAAAAGATAATGCCCATGATGAAAGGAATAAGAGAGGAGAGAGGAAGAAGAAGAAGAAGGTAGGAGGAATAAGAAAGAGAAATGAGAAGAACGTGACGCATGAAATCATCATCTAGTAGCTACGCAAGAATGATGGTCGTCGAACTTGCTGTCATGAAGTGTGTCAGTATGATTGGTTCAATTAATGGAAACAAATCAAAAGACAGGAACGAAAGAACATTCCACTTCAACAAAACATTGCATAAAAACACTGATGTGTCACACGTAAAATAGTTACTTTACAGCCTGGACAAAGATAAGCTGAGCTTTTAAAATAAAAAAAAAAAAGATCGAACAATTTCAGTCGTTGATTAGCTCACATGCCTTTATGACAAGAAGAAAAGACAAGTAAGTAGCCTTAATTCAGTGTCTCAATAAATCGTACTGTGAATAGTATGCCATCAATTCAATGCTCTTGTACCATCAAACAAAGATAACTAGAGTAGATACTAAAACCTGTGTCTCTATTGTTAAGTTACAAGTACGTACGTACATGTCAAATCAGGTAGTAGCAGTGACATTGTTCTGATTCAACACTCGCTGTTGCTGCTTCTTACGCTGCAGACTCAGCTTTCGCTTCAGGTTCTTGGCCTTTTTCTTGCTCGCATCTTCTCTCAACTTATCCAGTATTTCATTCTGCGCTGTACATTTGCGTTTCCTATCACCATTTCGTGTCTGTGTCTTTAAGCGGACAAGTTCCTGCTCTTCTTCGTCTTGTGCTTCGTCTTCCTGCTTCTGTGCCTTACTCTCCATCATAATAGCGTCTTCTGATCGATTCTTACGTAGAATCTTGCGCTTCATCTCTCGCTCCTGCTCTGTCAATGTAATGTCTGTATGACCGGCAGTATTGGGTCGCGTAAGACTTGGTACAGAAGACGAGGAAGGACGGTAGAGCGTCACAGGATGGCGCTTGTTCAGCTGTATCTCTTGATCTACTTGATGTATCTTCTCTTCTCGATTGTCAGTATCTCCACCAAGCAGCCAAGAGCCTACGACATTGAGTCCAGTTGACTCGAACACGACACTTTCATCATCACTATTGCCCATCGTTTCCTAAAGTAGCATTAACATGTTGTTTGATAGGGTGGTGAATCCCTTGATTCCTTCTTGACCAATCAAATACATCAGTCTAACACATTTCAACCAATCATAACCGACCGGTTGCCCCAATCAATGGTTGGCTGGTGATTCGCGTCACTGTATCGGTCGGAACTAGATCATAGTCTGATCTACCTCTCCAGCAAGTGTCAAGTTCCTTTACACGTAATCAATCACCATGGGTCGTATGCATTCTCACGGCAAGGGTATGAGCAAATCTGCTCGCCCATACAAACGTTCACCACCTTCATGGCTTAAAATCTCATCGGAGGATGTTGAGGATCATATCTGCAAATTTGCTAAAAAGGGTCTAACACCATCACAAATTGGTGTCATTCTGCGTGATTCGCATGGTATTGCTCAAGTAAAGAGCGTGACTGGTTCAAAGGTGCTTCGTGTTCTTAAAAAGAATGGTAAGACATTGACCGGGTTGCTCTCTAACTCTATAGTTTAGTCGTATCAAACGTCTTGGCTGACGTCATCTTGTTCTATTCTGCTATTTTTTGCTGCCTCTGGGCTCGGTATCACCTGACGTGCGGACACGATGGCTTCATTTATGTTGATGCCGCTCCGTTGACGTGGGAATACGCGGGTTTCATTATTCTTGTTGATTACGAATCACTTTGGATTAGGTCTCGCTCCTGAACTACCAGAGGATCTGTACATGCTTATCAAGAAGGCTGTGGCTGTGCGTAAACATCTCGAACGTAATCGTCAGGATAAAGACTCCAAGTTTCGTCTCATTCTTATTGAGTCACGTATCCATCGTCTTGCACGTTACTACCGCAAGAACCGCAAGCTTTCGCCCAATTGGAAGTACGAGTCGGCTACGGCCTCGACGCTTGTGGCTTAAGCTGTTGGTCGGTTCCATCTGAACGCTTGGTAGCATTACTGCAATACAAATCTCGTCCAATTGCTGGATAGAAGATGGTTGATCATTCTGTGTCTCGTTGTGTTTACTCTCATTTTCCCCGTCATTTACTTCCAAGTTTGATCCACATTGTCCTCCTGCTTTCTACTGATCCGACTCCAGCAATTCTGTGGACTCGAGCTGAGATAACATCGATTGTGCTGCTGCAGGCTGCCGACAACACGAGGTCAGGAAGGCTGACGCCACGGCTACAGCAGTACAGTGTCAGACAATCACCTCTGCAGACTTCGAGACGTAGTCGGTTTTGCTCTCAATGCCGTTGAAAGCGATCACTTTTGCTCAGCGGCAAGACCAGTCACCCTTGTCGCAACGATGCATGATGTGCTGGCCGCAGCCAATCTATCCTTAGACACACGCTAGCTTTACGTCCACCTTGGCAATCTCGCGCTCAAATTTGCATTCGCGGCCTGTTTGTTGTCATCAAGTCGAGTGCCTCTTACTTACCGCGCTTTTGCAGCAACAAGCTTTGATTCTGCAACTTTATCGGACTGCCACTCTGGCCAGCTGCCAACGACAAATCGTGCGCTTGCATGAAGTAGACATGACCTTGACTAATCGATTCTGCAGCTACATGAAGCATTAGCTCCATTAGCCCATCAGACCGTTATTCTTCTCCTGTATCAATCGAATACGGTGCGTTACCCTACGGCATAAGTTAGCAAGCGAGTATTGGGGACACACAAAGCGTAACACTCCTGCAAACTCTATTACAGGTACAGCGACACATCTGGGCCTCGACCAAATAGCTGATTCCATGACGGTGGAAACGCAAACGGAAGCATTGGTGGCATTGAACCTGAAACTGCCGAAGGATCAACAGCCAGATGCTTCGGTGCAGCCCGCAGGAAGCGGAAAAGCTGTGTAGTCATTACAGCTGCGTCCGGAACGTTATTGCCTTCGGCACATGGCATCACCCATGCGACAAACGGCATCTTCAGCTCATCGCATTGCGCATGCAACAATGGAGCAAGACCGGCACCACGAATTAGCTCCCACTGGTTTTCAAATGACACATGCGGCTTCGCCACGTCGCGACCACTCTCAGTATTCGTAGTGAGTTTCTCAAAACGAGTCAAAAACGAGTCGTCCAGTTGATCAGCAGCAGCAGAGTAGATGGTGCGGATCGGGTGACTACAAGCAGTAAAAGTCACATGTCAGCAAGCATCAAGTCACTTTGTCAAAGCTGTTTCGTGTCTAACCTCATCATGTTGGAATCATGACGTAGCATGTCGTCACATCCAGCCACAACACCAAGCGCTGCAACCTTGCTGATCATCGCCCACTCTACCAATTCTCGGACAAACACACGTGCTCGTCCCTACAATCAACAAACACATCATCCGTCAGCACAAAAAAAACTTCAGCCATCAACCTTTCTAGATCAATCTTGTACCGGCAAGACAGGAGCTCGCTGCTGGATGATTGTAATCTTCTTTTCTTTGCTCTGATACACTGCAGCAGACAACAACAAGAATTGCAAACTAGTGAGCTCCTTTTCCCAGTCAGTAGATCTCTTACAAACATCAGCATACCCTCTAGGTTAAGACACAGAGTGTGCGACTGCTGCTTGGCAAAGGCAGCACCACCAGCAATGGGTGGCACTTCATTGCTGAGCAAGTGGCCAATACGTGTAACCTCCATATCCTGATTCAAGTCCAGATTCAAGGTTTCAATCAGTCGTGAAGCTTCTTTTGGACCGTTTTAAGGACAAAAGACTGCAAATAAAGAGGCCATCGCACGTACAAAGTCTTTCCCATTCTGTAGCAGTGTGCTAAGCATCAAGTCCAGCGTTAATTGGCCTAGATTTGCATTAGAAACAGCGGGCTAAAGGCAAAAGACGAGGAAATGATACGCAGCTTTGTCAGAGGATTACAAAGTGGATACGAATGGGATATAAGCCAAATTTGGCCAACTAGATCTAGACATATCAAATTAAGAGAGGATACGTTACCAATAGTACCAAGTGACCTGCAAACAGCGCTATACAAGTAGCAACATCAGCGGCATTCGCTTCATTTTGAGGATAAAATTCCATGGTTAATTGGTAAGTGTGCATGTATGTATACAAGTATACACATATATGTATACTTTGTGTATACCGTACAAAAGATGTGCATAATATACCTTACTACGTATACAAAATATACCGACTACGTATACAAAATATACCGACTACGTATACATAATATACCGACTACGTATACATAATATACCGACTACGTATACATAATATACCGACTACGTATACATAATATTATTGATTATACTAACATCCGGTTAACCATATGCCTACTATGCCTGATGATGATGAGTCACATCCACATAACCCTAACCCTATATCCTCCATCTTATTCCTATTGTTTTATTGGATATTATTAATATGGACAAGAAAAGTCCTAATCACTGAGTCAGACGAACCACATGGCTACATAGAGCTTCTATCAGATGACAGACAAGCTGCCAACACTTATCCATGACCGCTCTTTCTCTTCTCTTGTCTTCTCTTTCTCTCTCTCTCTCATACTTGCAATATGATCATCAGCTATTTCCAATCATGCACTCATCCAGTCATTTCTAGAAATACTTTGTTCACCAGTCCAGACGTAACTACGTACGTACATTAATCATAACCCATTCATTCACTCACTCACTCCATGATTGCAACGTCATTTCATTCTCAATCTGAATCTCGACTCAATACTTTTCTGCAAAAGTTTCACCGTTCATCCACATTGTTGAAACCATTTTTTGGTCATGAAACTACTTCAGGCAACAATATAACTCCACATGGACCATGTTCCACCACCACCACCACCACCGCCACGACGACGACATCCCAGAGCAGATTTCGACGTGCAAGCAAAAGCGTTCAGAAGGCGTTTGTTTTGCCAGCAACGACGAAACCCGTGTGTAAATCAGCTGAAACACTCACACCAAGTCGAAAGCGTGATCGTCTTCGATATTATCTCGCTCATCGACGAGAGAATAATAAAACCAATCAAGCGGTGCCGTATCTGTGGCCAACAATACTGTCGACGGATCAAGAGGAAAGTTCGCCAACAGACAAGGAGGAGACTTCGCCCACGGACGAGACAGAAGACGGCGATGACGTTTACATGGTCGACTGGCAAAGCGATTCCGATTCTGACTTGGACGATGAATTACGTTTGGAACAAGACACGATGGTTTTGCCTGTGAGTATCCCCGAAGTGTACAGAAGGCAGGACTGGGCGGGAGGTGCTATAGTAGCAGGTGCACGAGTTCTCTTCACGTATGATGGATTCAAGCGGCAGCAAACAATGCTGCATAAACTGCAGTCAGTACCCGAAGGCAATCAGCTTACAATGCCCTTGGGATTGCACCATGAGCACATTGTGATTGGAGCCTTCTGAAAGACCGGTGAGTAGGAGTCGATGTATAGGTTTCTTCTTGTTGTCACGAAGCGTTTGTTTGTACGATACTAAATGTCATACCAGTTTCATTTGTCCATCATCACCATCCGATTAATTGTCTTTCCACACTGTCGCAAGTTTATCCTTGGACTACCACACAAGCTCTTTTTGCAGATTGACGTTCGCGCCATGCGTTGTCGGTAGTAAAATGACACGCAGACCCTGCATACGGACAAAATGCACACTCAGCGAAGCTTGGCTTGGGTTCAAAATCTCCACGACGAAGACCCGATGCGACCTCAACAATAGCATCTTTGGCTTCCTGTGCCGCTTCCTGTGAGAAGAGCACAAACCCGTTGTCACCATTCCCGGCTTTGTTGGTTCCTTTTCTTCTGGTTGTAGTAACATTGCTACCGGGTTGGCTATGAGTATTACCGATTTGCTGTAGCTTGGCTCCGTATGGTGCCTCACCAAAAACCTCGGAAAAGGCGTACATGTACATTTTAAGCTGCAAGCTTTCGCCTGCTAGTTTATCCATGTTCCGTTCGGCACCACCCATGTTAGACTTGAACTCCTGGACGATGTACGTAGAAGATCTGCCGCCATTTCGGTTGGTAACACGGTCAATGCGATCCCAGACACCTTGCAATTCCACGTTAGCTTCGGGAACGTAAAAAGAAAACGCTTTCTCAACGTGAACAATCTCTTCCAATTGTACATCATTGAAGTGTGTCTCTATAAAATCCCATAGCGCCATCATACCTCGATCGAAAAGGAAACAAGACTGTTCCTTGGAAGCAAAAAGCCCGTACCCATCATCTGACCAGGACCGCATAAAAGCCTTTTCCGCTTTCACACCAGCAAGCGCCTTGACTTCATGTGCACCCTCCTCTTTTATCGGCGCAACTGCCAGTGCTTTGGCAAAAGCAGCGATACCTTCATGCAGTGCACGTCCAAACATCATAGATGTTGATGTGTCTCTGTTCAGCTTCAATATGCGGCCCAAATAGTACCGGTGTGGGCAACGCAGATATTCTGAGACTTGCGAATACGATAAGTGTGGCGGATCGAATGATGCTCTTGGTGCAGACGTCGTCAGGTGACGAGTCTTCATACTTGTACGACGCGCAGAACTTTCAGTGTCCAAAGTTGGTGTTATGGTCTTTGACTGCTTCACACACGCTATTGTTTCGTTTTGGCGATACGTATCAGCTCGATCATCGTCGCTCTTCATTCTTGACAAAATATCCACGGCGGGTTTCTGATGGGAATGCTGCAACATTGGAAGGATCAATCGCTTCACGAAGTCTTGCCAAAGATTTGCCATTTCCGAGAACCAGAACCTCGAGCTCTTATGTTGCCATTTCCGAGAACCAGAACCTCGAGCTCTTATGTTGTGTTGCACACGAGTTGTGTCTTCTGTAGAAGCAGGTTGCTTTGATATTAAGTGTTCATTCAGTGGAAAAACCGCAGTGCTAGATACAAGTGTTCTCTTTGCTGCCGCCGATACAGCTGGCGTCTATTGCTGGTTGGTCTTCATCATGCCAGATCGGTTGAAATGTACGGCTTAAAACCTCGCGCTTGGATGCTGAGGTGGCTGTGACCTCAGCAAAAGACAGCACCACCTCATCATACTCGCTCAACGTTAAGGCCTCGTATACAAGCTGTTCGCATTGCTTGAGATGCTCAATACGTGATTGCACTGGATATGGTTCGCTGAGCAGATCGTACGGAAGTGGTAAAGTGATACGTTTCATCCGCCCAGGAAACTTGCTATCGCGCATTGACATCAAAACCAACACATGCTTGCGACCTTCCTCACCATCAGCCACTGACGATGCGTAGGATTGTAATGCGTACGCTGTCAGTGGGATTACACGGATGCAAACATCCTTACCAGTTATCTGCGTACTAACGTCTGGTGTATCATTTGCCCATGAAGCTGACGAAGTCAAGTTGGTCTCCCTTAATTGCTGTAAGTACGGCACCACAAACGTTATTTGATCACTCCGTGCAACCTTTTGCGCAGTCTCGAGTTCCCGTAAAAAGTCTGCCAGAACCAATGATTTGCGCTCCTCTTCCGGAGAAGTGGGACGCAGCAGTGTATCCAGTCGACCTGTCCCCTCCAAAAACATCTGCACGATTTCAACTGCAGATAGTTCATGACATTTAGCACGAAGACGCTTAATAATGCTCACAAACGACTCAGCTATCTCTATGCCCGTCTCGAGCTGACACGACACCACTTGAGGCAGCTTCTGCTTCTCTCCGTCTTTTTGATCAAGGGACGTGCCAAGTGACTTACCATGTGTTTCAATAAAAGTTTCAAGGACCGCAAACAAATCAACATAGCTCCTGTGCTCCTTTTCCATTAACCACGAGAGAAGCTCTGCCGGAAAAGCAAAAGAAGCAGACCGCAAAACGTTGTAAAGATGGCGTGAGTCGCTCGGAAAGCATAACGCACACAGCAGCGAATACACTGCGTTCACACCAGGCTCGTCAAAAAGGTGGATAGGTGCACCAGTGGAGATACTTGTTGCTGACCAATCGCCGTCAGCCTGAGCTGGCAACCCCTGCTTTTGAAATGCTAACGCAATCCGATGTGCATCTGCATGCGTGGGGCATAGCACTGTGACGTTCATAGCTCCAGCAGACTCCATTTTCTGAGCTAGATATGCACCAATACTCCTTTCCTCTGCCTCAGAAGTACTCATGCGCCAGCACTTTAATGGAACAGGCGAGGGCACATTGCTACTACCATCACTGAGTTGCTTTAACACCTGCCGTGCAAAGGCCTGCATCTTTGCTCTCGTTTCTACAGCTTTGGTTTCTGTCTCTAACGCAGTGCGGTTCAGCGTACATGTCTGACCTGTATCTGCTGCCGTCGACAGCAACTGTCGCTCTAACATTAAAGTTCTAAAACACTCCTCTCCTTCAAACAGCACACGGCTAAAGCTGGCACTGGACTTTACATTGGATTGACCACACAGGTGCCCCACTAGTTTTACCATTGCCGGTGTCATCCTCTGGACATCATCCACCACGACATCAGTGTAATCTCGCATCGTTGCGAGACTAAAGTTCATTGCTGATGTAGCAGTCTCTACGTCTCCTGTCTGCACTTTGCACATTGTCAGCATATCCAGCACCAATCCGTCCCATGACGTAGCATTATGTTGCATCAATACTTCCTGATAGGTCCTATACGTCTCCGACAGCTCTTGTAGTAGTTCATCTCTCGATGCAGCTATTGATGCTGAGTACTGGTCCGGTACAATGCCTTCTCTCTCCAAAAGCTGAAAGAATTGCAGCAAATTTTGCGTCATTTTACGTCTTTGAAGCGTCGACGTGGCTGTCAATTGAATTTGACCAGGACGTTCCTGGAGATGATGCATCAGCATTGCCGTTAGCTGTGCACGTCCAAAGACTCGAGGTTCGTGGCCGCTTTCACGCAGTAACAGCTGACAAAACTCATGGACACTAAAGACGCCGTGGCCACGTCGTTCTAGCTCAAACGCAGGCAAATCTCGCTCCAGAGCCGATTGAACGGACGAATCCGACGCAGAACTTCCTGTTAGAAACAATACACGACGTTGTGGCTGGTGTAGAAGCCAGCGCATACGACGTAAAGCCTCGAGATTCAAGACATTCGTGACCAAACTGTCATGTGTGATACTCAAGTTTCTAGAATGAATCAAGACACGAGAGTTGAATGAATGGAGAGAGAAAGCAACAGAGAAGAAAGATCGAGTGGAAAGAAGTGACGGATACGCTTGGTAGAAGTGTCTCATGCGCTGAAGTGATCGAACGTCTCGCAAGATGGAGCTGCTGGTTGTAACGAGTCATAGAAAAAAATAGTAGTACTATCTACTACTACGTTAGAATATAGTAGTAGATAAAATCCAAATAAAACCACCGTGGCTAGTTTTGTAGTAAATTCCATAGAAATTACACTTTATACACCAATTATCACTCTTTCAGCGTCATGCATCAATTCTACAACTTCGAACAAGACATCAAGAAGACCCACTAACCGTCTCTATCCATCTCTATCTGTCTCTATCCATCTCTATCGATCCTTATCATGTATCATGTATCGGAAATTGTTCGTGATGCTCAACGTAATTTCACTGAACGTTCTGATTCGACAATTCTCTCGTTTCCTAGTTTTCTATCCACGACCCTTTCAGTATTTACACCATTTCCATTCTTAATTTCCTTATGTGGCCAAATTTGTACTAATTTAGTACGTCGTGGTCCTAATTTAGTCAAACAAGCAACTGGTGCAACACGTGATTATCTGGTCGAGACACTCACGTGTTCACGTAATCAAGTGATCAAGTATCGTCTCCTCTGTCGACGCACAGGTCAAGGTCTGTTCTATCGCCTCAAGCTACAGATTGAGACCGTCGAACTACCGCGAGTTTTTCTTCCCATACAGACGCAAGTCGCCATTCCATTGATTGCTGGCATTGAACAAGTGGCTCAATTTCTCACGAGTGAAGAACTGCCGGAACTTTATTTTGTAGCCAAGAATTCCATCAGTCAGAGGTTTGCTCTCGGACATTTGATATTGCGACCACTAGGAGCGATGGAGAGTGTTGTGCACTATGTTGTGATCTTTCCAAGTCAGATTGTCTTTCCATCTCGAGCGGAGATTGAAGATCGAACGGATTTATTCCTTGAAGGAAGTACAAGTCGTGTGAAGTCAATGGTGGAATATTTATACTCTGCCACGGAAGTATTGGATCAGCATTTAAGCATGGTCCAGTGGAATATCCTTGGACGAGGACCATACGAATCATTAAGTCTCGCACGACGTTCGGAAGTCATTCGATCGGTCTATCAACGGATGCGTATCATTGCATCGCATTATAAATTGTTTGAATTCTTAGCCACCATCAAGTTGCAGAATGAAATGCTGTACAACGATTTACAGCGCGAGTTTCCTAATGTTGGTGGTGTTCCACTCACACTGCAGCAAATTGCAGCTAACAAAACACTCACTGCGGAATTGGCAGAACAAGATGAAAATACGTTTCCTATCTGGTTCTACAAGAAGATCCATGCATCCAGTGGCAACGGACGAGTCTTGCCCAGTGGATTGAATGGACGCAGTAAACCAACTTCAGACACGAGCAGTACAGCGCATTTGAACCCATCTAGTCAGTGTACTTCTACTACCACTACGACAGGTGCAAGTGGATCTGGAGGTTGGATTGAGTTTCCTGCCCATGAGGGTCGTCGTCTTGAACGGAAGTTTAGGTGGTATCAGTGGCAGAAGAGCAAGGTGCTGGGCCCGATAGGACCTTCTCGAATCGTTTTGGTGGATGAAGGTCGCCATGAGGTCGACTTGGAGACTATGCGCATGACGCCAGTGTACTGGCCAGCTCTTGAGGAAATTGTTGTATGCCGTTCTTGTTGGGTCTTTGCCCAACGCAATTACGGACTGGCTCCGTACAGTTCAGAAGCTGCAGCTGTTTTAGAAAATGCTTTCGTGTATTACCTGGGGCTGTATTCACTTGAGAAGCAACGTTTGATGGAGATAGAGGCAAAAAAGCCGCGTGGTTTCTTTAGCTCTCGCAATAGTCACAGCGAGTCGGTTCTGGCAAGTCGCGTTGAGAAAGATTGCACTCTTAGAATCCCGGTCGAAGGGCATCTTGTCGAGTTTAAAGGCGCACAAGACATTATGCAATACAAGCACTTGCTGGCAGGCACGACACCGTTCACAAGTAAGCGTCGTGTGTATCGCGGAGACCCGCGCGTGCGTGCTGATCCGACCACTTTGCAGCTTTGGAAGGATGCTATGAAATGTGACTTATCTACAGGCAAACCGCTGAAGGTGATCGAAGACGACAGGGATATTGAAGAGAAAATCGAACATCTTGTACTCATTGTGCACGGCATTGGCGATGCGCTAAAGACACTTGATCTGATTAACGTTGTGACGTTGCGCTCTATTATCGATTGTTCGACAACACTGCGGGAGTTGAACCGTGAGGCTCTTTGCTCCGCGCATTTTGCTCACTTGGGTGACGAGAACGCCGAGAAAACTGCAAAAGACGACGACAAAGCAGCCTCGCGCCGACCACGTGTGGAATTCCTGCCTATTGAGTGGCACTCAAAACTACACATGGAAGGCTTGGACCAGCTTATACGAGATGTGACGTTGCCAGCAATTCCTAAGCTTCGTGAGCTAGCTAACGACACCGTTTTGGACATACTGTTCTTCATGTCGCCACTCTTTCACCAGGTCATCTTGGACGAAGTTGCGAAGGAAATGAATCGCGTGTTTACACTATTTCAGTCACGTCACCCGGACTGGATGGAATCGGGATCTTCCCGTGCTTTCGGAGACAAGCGCAAGAAAGTGTCAATAGTTGCTCACTCTCTGGGTTCCATCATCTGTTTTGATATTCTGAATCACCAGGATGTGTACATGCAGCAACCTCGAAGCATGCCGTGCACAGATGACGAAGGTGGTAGCGACGAAGAAGACGTGATAATCGGGTACAGCCGCGAGAGCAAGGGTGATAGCAGCATGGGTCCAGGCAACGATGGAGATACAGCGATGATGCCAGACAATATATTTGGTTTTGACGCAACTGTTACGAACGCAACGTTGAAGCGGCGCTCTTGGTCGATGTCGGAAATGTCAAATACAAACCACACTTGGAGCAGCACGTGGTACCGAGAAAATGCTTGCCAAGGCGCGTTCCCCAAGACCGCAAGTACCCATCGCGCTGGTTGGAAAAGGTCTTCGACCACGCCTCGCCAGAAGAAGACAATGTATTACAAGAACAAATCTGCGACGAAACACCAGGTGTCTGGGTGCGCTACTGCTCCGCCTGCAGGCAGTGGTGCTGTTCCACTGGTACCAAAGCTTGCGTTCGACGTAGAGAATCTCTTTTGCTTCGGGTCTCCAGTGGGTTTATTTCTGAATGTGCGGGGACAGAAGCTGGATCGTGACTTCCAGCTCCCGCGCTGTCGCCGTTTGTTTAACATCTATCACCCGTACGACCCGGTGGCTTACCGCATTGAGCCCATTTTGAATCCTGCACGCGCTCATTCAAAGGCAGCAATCATTCGCACGTTTGAGGGCAAGCTGCGACTTCAGTACCAACTACGCAATTCGTTCCGTGCAATGTGGGCTTCTCTTCGTCATTGGCGTCGGGATTTTGAGCATCAGGTGCTTGCTGGTGCGCACCGTGTGGGGCTCGTGGAATACCCTGCTTCAATGAAACCATTGTCGGATGCACTAGCGGTTGTAGCGCAACCGTATCAATTGCAATGGCGCTTAGGAGAGGAGACTCTGGACGAGCAGCAGAGAGAGGAGCGAGAAGGTGATGAAACTATCAAGAATGTAACGGTGTTTGGTCACTTGTGTCAAGGACTTCCGATTGATTATTCTCTTCAGGAGAACGAGATTGAAATTGCAAACGAGTATTTATTTGCCTTGACGGCGCACGTTATTTACTGGAGCAACCGCGACGCAAGTCTATTTGTCGCGCAGAAGCTCATTTTAGAACCAGCGCTTGAGAATTGGCCTCTTTGTGAGCAGAAAATCATAGCAAGGAAGTTTTCGGATCATGAGGCAAGAAAGACTTCGAACTATGAGCACGAGGGCAATGGTGAAACGGCTACATGTCATAAAGTGGATAATGATACAATATTGCATGAAAAAGAGGAGACAACAGCTTCATCGGAAGTATCTTCAGCTTCAGACAGTGAATTCCACGTCGTGTCATTGTGTCAAGTCGGACATGAGGATACCGGTATTGTAACTGTTTCTTACGAAAGGTTATGAAAGTTTATATTCCAAATGTGTTATTGTAAATTTTCAGATAAAGTCCTTTATTTTAAGGTATTGAAAGCACAGGAATATGTCTGGCTAATTCCATAAAACCAGCTGGTGACTTTTGGCAGCGTAAGTTTCCACCGAGATATGACTAAGAGTGCATCTCCCTCCTTTTAGTGATTTTTTTAGATGGCTCAGGAAGAATTAAAAGAAAAAAAGTAAAAATTAGCAAATCTAACTCAGCCGCTTTCAATATAATTCAACATTTTTGATCTTCTATTTCTTTATATTATATAAAAGATATAAACTTTAGCAAGACAAACAATTTCAATGGATAAAGGAAGGATGAAGCCACCCAAGCCCGGCTGCGTCATTAGAAACAAGGTCAGCACATCAGGAATCAATCAGCACAAAGCCGCTACTGACTCGTGCTCTGCGACGGATGGCGTCAAGTGAATGACGTGCTGTATTTTTCTCTCTCTCTCTTTGCCACGTCTTTTGTAGCAACAAAAGAAGTTTCTAGTTGAACCATAATGCTCCGAGAAGTGTAGAGACTGTCTGTCTGTCTATTTACTCGATCAAACGATGGATATACTTGTCGTTTGTTAGCCGCCACGTGGCAGTAGTTGATACACACTGTTAGATACTAGTATTACTTTAACTTAATAAAGAGTGTGAGTGAGGATTGATTGCGCACAGCTTGGATCATATTGGTATAGAGCAATCATCAGCACGCCACTCGTCTTCATGCATAATTTGCAAGATTAGCTGAAGATTGGTGACTTAATTCCAACTGGTTCTTGTTGCTCTTGTTGTTGTTGTTCTCTCGCTCTTTCTCTCTCGCTCTCTCGCTCTTTCTTTCTTTCTCTCTCTTTCTTTCTTTCGTGCCTTCAATATGAGGTTTCCTCATGATAATTGTAGTGAGTAATAGAGGAAGTAAACCGCAACCTTAAATACAGTCGACTGGACTGCATGTAGAAGTAAGTGATAGCATCAATGCTTTGGAATTCTGTGAAGCGCAAGTTTCCATACACCGTGATAGTAGGTTGTCTACTACAACTAATAGACCGACTGACTGGTCATTTGAGGTGGTATCTTCTTCAATAGTCAAAAAGTTCTTGCGACTGAAAGAAAGACTCATTTGGCACGTGTAATGTTATGCTGTTCTTGGTGAAATGATATTCTGTTTTTTCGTTGCTAGAAGTAGACAACATGAGTGACTCAAGTGATACACGTAGAAGAGAGAGAGAGAGCTAGCAATAAAAGCACGATGACGTTGTTCTGCGTTCTTAACTAAAACTTCCCGCAGTGTACAGCAGCGTGGTATTAAGCCATCATATCTGTCTCGACATCACACCAAAATGATTAAAAACGTATTGCACGTGACTGACTGTCAATGTCTACACGACAGCAAGAATGTTTATATATTTTCATCTACGTGGACATGTAATGAATGCAATTTTTGTAAGAAAGAAACAAGTTCATCTCCTTGAAGAAGCACACCACACATAGGAGCTACAGAATAGTAGCATTGCAATAGGTCTTAAGTATGGCAGGCAGGACCGATCAAGAGAGAGAGAGAGAGCCCATGTGTCGAATGCAAAGCACCATGCAAGTAAATTTCACCCCGTTTCTGTACCTTTAGCATTCTCTTTTCTCCTTAACGACCGACAGTTGAGCAATGTCCATGCAGTCTCGTCTGCTGTCCATCTTGTCTCGTCTGCTCTCCATATAATTACTATACTAGATCCAAGCTAGAAGAGGAAGAGGTAGGGGTATCTAATGATTTTCGAGTCAAACGGGTATAATCATCAATCAAATGGTCAGGAAAAAGATGGGGAGATCCAGTAAATGACACATCGATAGACAATCCCCAATCCAACAATAAGAAACGTGAGGAGGAGAATCAAACTATCTATTGTTCTCTGTGTAGGTGTAGTATAGTTAGGTTAGGTAGTAGAGTATAGTACCCATAGCGCAGTCATCATCTTGTCATTACTTACAAGCAGCGTAAAGTCCATGTGTCTGTCCTGTGTCTCTTTTTCTTCATCTTTTTTCTTTCTTTATCATGCATTCAATTGACTCTTATTGTCGTCGTCGATCTCTTCCATTCTCTTCTATATCCTCTCTCCTCGCACCTTACTTACTTACTTCCTCATCATTTACTATTAGCTAGGCGAGAGATGGTACGAATGTTGACTGGTACTTGGCCTATCCAACCTAAACAAAGTCTGTTGTTACTAGTAGGAGATACTCACCATCGATTGGGTTTCCACGATGTGTGTGACGCAACGAGAGGCACACGTCTTCGCCCTTTTCTCTCGCTTACCGCTGTCACATTCGTCTTTCTGTCTATCCACAGCTTGAGTAAAAATGTCCTCTCGAGCAGCCGATCAATAGGAGCTGCACCAGCTGCTGACTGGGTCCGTGATGCTCATTTCCTCTCTTTCTCCGTCAAAACCTCGTCGTCACGCCCTTGCGTACAAACGACACCTATAGAACAAAGAGCTACGACAGAACAGACGTAGCATCTAAAGCCATGGGCACGTTTCAACTCAAACATCCTTCAACTCGTGTCAAATGTCACCACAATAATAGCACTAAGGCGACAGACAAAAGCGACTGGTACTTTGACGATGGTATAACATATATCGTTGCTTCAGTCGATCCAGTCAGTAACAGCGTGTATCAGACTGGTACGGGATACAGCTCCAACAATGCTGGCGATGGACCTGAAAAAACCCGTGATCGGAAAAGCTGGTTTCCACGTTTCAAGTCCAATTGGTTAGGCACATTTCGTTCCAAGCAAATGTTTCAATGCTGCGAGTGCGCAGTTGTGTCTGCTTCCAACAATACCTTCTTTTCAAAACAAGCTGGACGTTATAAAGGAGCCGAGGGCAAGCATTGTCGATGTGGAAAAGATCAATGGCATCTTGCTAAATCCGTTGAAGAGATTGAATACAATCGTCGCATGGAGATCAGTAAAGCTTTTGGTGGTATGCGCTACGATGAAGCCGTCGTGCGGCTACGCAGTATGGGTCAATCGGAGCTGGACTTTAAACCGTCCAAGCTTACGGTCAATATTGGATCGCCTATCCAGTCGCGTAGTACCCGAGGCTTTGCCCCGTCGTCATTAGTGTTGTCTTCGTCATCAAGCTTTAATCCGCCCAAGCGTGCACGAAGCAAGTCAAACGGTCCACTCCCTACGTCCGCCTCTCGAACATACGCCGCACCGCAGCTCATGAAAGCTGATTCATCAACGCTACCTACAATGCCCTATCATGTTTATGGTTACGAGAACCCGGCCAAGCAGTATGGGGTCTACAATCCAGTGTACGGTAACGAAAACATCGAGTATGCGCAGGCAGTGCCGCAGCAGCAGCACACAGCTGAGTACAACCAACTTACACCGGCGCCCTTCGGAGACGAAGATAATTTTGGTGAGCTACTACAGGGTATTCTAGAGGACGACACTCGTGTTGCAACAAGTGCCAGCATGGGTCTCGGTCAACATCAAGCCAACTCGTACTCGGCGAGTCGCTACGGCTACTGCACTGGAGCCCCGAGCAACATCAGTGTAGCCCCGAGCAACATCAGTGTAGCCTCGAGCAAATCAGTGTAGCCCCGAGCAACATCAGTGTAGCCCCGAGCAACATCAGTGTAGCCCCGAGCAACATCAGTGTAGCCCCGAGCAACATCAGTGTAGCCCCACTGAAGCGAGCAATGAGCATGCCGTCGTACGCCATGACGCCATCCGCAATAGCGCCTCCACCTCGCGAGGGCGTGGAACAGGAATACTATGCTGATGCAAATCGACGATCTAGCGCGAGTCTGGGCGTGAACCACGTGCCATCATACACAAACTACCGCCCAACACCGCAACATCAGCCTGTGTTGCAGCAGTTTCCCTATCAACTGCAGCAACAGCACCCATCGCAGCAGCAGCAATACACTCGACCGCTGTCTATGACGCACAGTATTGCGACTGCCCCGTCGGCCTCATTTTCAACATGAGTATTGGCAACAGCCAAGTGAGCTCAGCGTATAGTAGATAGATAAGTAGCTAAATAGCCGAATGGAGCAAGAGCTCAAAGTGGAGACTCTATGTAAATGCGAGCGTATTGCATGCGTGTATCGTTGACTGTCCTTACTGGCCGGCGAGCTTTCACTTCAATCCGTCCATTTCTTCATTACTTACACCTTCAATGGCACAGCCACAAACTCCCGGCTCTGCGTCAATTTGTCGTCAGGCTCCTGCAAGAAGGCCTCAAGCATTGAGTTAAACCGTTCAGCTTCAGACAGCACAAGATCATTGCCACCTTCAGGTATTACACTCAGTCGAGAGTGCATGATGCGCTCGCTCAAGTACTCGCTGTGGAATGATGGCACAAACTTATCCTGTCCACCGGATACCACGAGCGTCTTGCACTTGATATGGGGCAGATGACCGCAGTACAAGTCACCACCATCTTCACGCTCGACCTGACGCATCGCCTCTACCATCTCTGCAGTACAAATGCACCAGAAACGTTAAGTCACAGTAGCGTCATTCACTCGAAAGACTCAACACACATCGGCACTTGAACTTAATCAACATACGGGTCCATTTCTTCTGCAGTTTATCAGCACCATACTTGGCTTCAGCTGTCTCACGCATTTCTTGTGGCCACGAGTGTACATCTTCATACTCAATCATATCTTCCAAGTCCTCATGACTAATAAACGCCTGAATGGAGAGCACAACAAAAACAGTTTTCAGTCTCTTAAAGAGTCTTCTCATTGCTCTAATTTAGTCAGTATATAACAGATTATACATTGCCATTAACCAGTACTAATCGCATCACTCTCTCGGGGTATTTCGCTGCCACTACGGCACTCACATTAGCCCCATGGCTACAGCCCAACAACGAAAACGTTTCAAGTTTCAACGCATCAGCAGCACGCAATACTTCGTCAGCATCGCGTTCAATACGTCTAGTACCAAACTCACTATCTAATAAACGTGTTTCGACACCATAAAGTGCAAACTGACGCGTGAGTTGCTCATTGGCAAACTGTAGACGAAAATCTTGAGCTACAGAGCCAAAAGTGGACGGTATACAGAGCAATTGTTGTTGTTGCTGCTGTTCTGAGGTTCTATACAAAGGTTTTACTGATAAGAGAGAAGAGCCATCAATGCCTACGGGCAATTGGACATCGCAAAAGGTAGCGGGAACAGTTGCGAATCGACGGAGGAATGGACGGAGTAAGAACACCATGAGGGTCAATGATAAGCTATAGAGCTATGGTGACGGTAATGAAGAGGATACTGATTAGTTAAAAAAAAGATGAAATCGTGGCCTTATAAGCCAATCAGGGGAGAGATTATGTCACAATTGAAATAAGAAACGCAATTGCATAACATTGCATCGTCAGGCATTATTATTATTATGATGATGATGAGGAGTCAGATATTTATTTAGTGCTGTTTTAGTAAAAGTTTGTAATTGAAACTCTTTAAACGAATAATCTCATTATAATTATTGAGATGAATACAAAACCCCTCATCAAACAAGTTTTCGAAAGAAATAAATAGCTAACGTGACGACCACGTAGGAAGAACATGTGTATTGCTTGTAAATGCAATGCAAATGATGTAGCCATCACTTGCTGCACCTATCCGTGACTTTGCGTTGCTACTGCAAAGATATTAATGCTCCTGTCTGTTCAAGTCAGACAAACCTCATCCCATAAAGTAGTGACCTTATCACATTCTTTTATTTTGATTATACCTGACCTCATTATTATTACTTTGTAATGAAAATGTATCGAAGCGTAACAGTTACTTTCAAGTGTCTCTTTTCTTCCTCTTCTGTGATGTCCTTGATCTCTTTCTAGACGCAACTGCTTCTTCCTGTCGCAGTTTTCGTTTAGTGGACGTAAGTTTTCAAGGATCGTAATCGACGATTTTGACTTAAGTCGCAAAGTCGTAATCGCTTCGTGTCACTCGAGATCTAAAATACACGAAAGGTCGTAGAATGTAGCCATGTTATTACCGGAAAAGTCACTTTCGAACTCATGTGCAACATTATTTCATGATGTATGTTGATAGAATGACATAATCCATCCATATACCCTGGCTTTATATTTACATCAACATAATACTGTATCTCCTTTGGGCGGTTCACAACTGCTTTATATCTCAAAGTGTGATACTGCTACAAGTATGAAGTTTGTTCTTCGTTATAGTGCGTCCTTCATAGACCGCACACGTCAATATAGTAGTTTACGTGAACAGGCTGTACGTGTGATGACCGATAAAATTCGTACAAATTTAGAGACAAACTCAAACCTGTGGCTCAGTGCTTCGGTTATGGTACGTTATGTCGGACTTGAACACCAGCTTCTCTATACTCTATTTAACACTACCGTAATTGATATATTTTATTATATAACAGGATGAACCGACTGTCTCTATTTTAGATCCAGCACCTGGCTATGCACTCACAAGTCGGCACTCGAAACTGTATCCGAATCTTAGTCTAGACTTTAACAAGTAAAATGACTGTATACTGCTGATTCATTCATTAGTCAAGATAAAAAGAACTCATAAGCTGTATTTTTTCTCTCTTTTCTCTATTTGTGTTCTTATTTAGATCTATCACGGATGTGAATGTATCACTTGCTTATCTATCAACAGATCCAAGCACATTAGTCGATCCATTTGAGCTCGTGGAACAAGATATGGTGAACGTTACAAACAGTATCAAGCGTATCTTGGGTTCAGATCATCCCGTACTAGCAGCAGTCGCACGATATTTTTTTGAACATGATGGTGGCAAGAAAGTGCGCCCGACGATGGTCTTACTAATGGCACGGGCTGCAGAAGCCCATCGTCGTGCCATTGGTACTCCATTACCAGAGACACAGTCGGAAGAATATACGCATGCAGCACAACAGCGACTGGCTGAGATTACGTGCGTGTATAGCGTTTGTTTGAAATTCTGACGCTTTTGTGGATGTGAAATTGATCAATCTGTTGTTATTGTAGTGAAATGATCCACACGGCGAGTTTAATGCACGACGACGTGATTGATGAGGCCGATACACGCCGTGGTCGTCCATCTGTCAACAAAATATTTGGTGCCAAAATGGCTGTACTAGCTGGTGACTTTCTGCTGGCGCGTTCGTCGGTGTCACTCGCTCGCCTACGTAACTTGGAAGCCGTTGAACTCATGTCTACAACAATTGAGCATCTGGTGAAGGGTGAGGTCATGCAGATGAAAAACGCTGATGCTCGTGACGATATTTCTCCATTTGAATACTACCTGCGCAAGAACTACTACAAGACAGGTTCCCTCATGTCCAACAGTTGTAAGGCTGCGCTGGCACTCGGTAAACACGACCAGCACATTTGCGATCTCGGCTTTGCGTTTGGTCGCCACATTGGTCTTGCCTTTCAGGTAATACAACACCATAACGATATTGCGGGAATAGCGGGAGGGGAACATGTCTTGCGTGGAAGCGATTGCTGAAGCGTTTTGGTTTCAGTAGCAGTCGTATGAGCTAACGTTGTGGTATTTCGTCAATCGTGGCAGCTGATCGACGATGTTTTGGACTATGAGGGCGTGAACACGGGTAAGCCATTGCTGGCCGACCTTAAGGCTTGTCTGTCAACGGCTCCACTGCTACTCGCACAAGAGGAATTTCCAATTTTGCATAAGCTATCCAAGCGAAACTTTGCCAAGGACGGCGACATTGAAATGGTTTGTAATCTGTAAAGCATCGGTGAACAACGTACAACTATGCGTTGCTAACGCTTTTTTGTCAAACACTGCAGGCTAGTGAACTGGTAGAGAAGAGCACAGGTATCGCACGATCAAAGTCGCTAGCTATTGATCAAGCAGAGTTAGCCGCTCAAGTAGCCATGCAATTTACTCCTTCACCCGAGCGGGATGCCATGGTGCGACTAGCGCAAATGGTCGTGTACCGGTCCAAATAGATGCACTCAAAGGCAGCACAGGGAGTGAAGAACACAAATGGATACGAAGTGACAAGACTTTGCGACTTTGTTTACACGGCCTGGATCGTCTCAATCTCATGACTTGTTCTATGTTGTTCAGGACTCATTCTTTTACTGACCCTCTCGTCGCAGAGAGATGGGCTTGTTGTGTGTGTGTTTTTTCAGTTAGGTGGCAACGGTAGTGAAGAAGAATGAAGACCCTCGTCGCAGAAGAAAAGGAATGCCCGTGCCGGTCTCACATTTGTCAAGATATTAAGGCAAGCAAGCAGCCATGGGTATTCAGCTGCGTAAGCTGATGCGCGCTCGCGTGATTGTAGTATTTGGCACTACCAGCCGTATAGGGCGCTCGGCGTTAGAAGTGCTGGCCGCACAGGATCAAGTTTCTGTGGCTCTCGTGGCGGCAGTCGAGAATGCCAAGGATCCACGAGTGCAGCGGTTGAAGTCCGCAACAAACTGTTTTATTGTGCAATGTAATTTTGCCCAAGGTGGTGAGGACTCACTACGTCGTGCTGTGCGCAATGCGGACGCTGTACTACTCGTCCCTGCACTATCAGAGAGTGGAGTGCGTTTCTCAAGGCGTGTTATCGACGCTGCAGCAGCAGAGCAGGTCTCGCGGCTTGTTGTGATCAGCAGTATCTTGGCATCACCGGGACTATTAGCTCTTTGTCGTCAAGAGCACGCAAAGGAATTGCCAGCAACTGAAGCTGTCGGTTCGACTCCCACTGATGTTGCTGTGCTGGAGGGCTACGAGGCAGTGGAAGCTCATGCAAGAAATCAGCTTCCCGAGCAAGGTCGTTGTGTGTTTCTTCGAATTCCTCTTTTGATGGAGACACTGCTATACTGTCGTGACGAGCTGCTATTTGCTAACCGTTTCATCGGGTGCTTCAGACCAGACACGCGCGTGCCTTGTATTTCGGTTCGTGATGTTGGATATGCAGCTGCCGAGGTGCTAGCAAATCCAAAGCGGAAGTACGAGGCGGTATATCGGTTGACTGGTAGGATCAGTGCGAGCTGCAGCCCAAATGAATTAGTGCGTTCTCTTATGGGGCACCTTGGGCGAGAGATCAAGTACCGCAAGCTGAGCGACGGTGACTTTCTCCGTGTAATGAAGGAAAAGAATGCACCCGATCAAGTCGCTCAAGGCACTGTCGGACTTCGTATCTTTTTGGAAGAACGTGAAGTGGGTGAAGAAGAAGCGAGTCGCAACCAAGAAGAGATGACGAGTCGGACTCAACAGGAGGAACAGCGTTTGCTGCATCTACCGGAAGCGTTTCACAGTACAGGCGACTTCCGGCTACTTACCAAGCGAGACCGAAAGACTCCACGACAGTGGCTGCAGCGACATGCAACTTCGTTGTTCGCGCGTACTCCGCAGAACCAAGTGCAATTGTTTGTTGTGGGCTCAGGCGAGGCCCTGTTTCTCGAGGTGAGCAAGTTCGTGGCGAGTCAAATTACAGCCCCGTCAACGCTTCCACCACGCGAAGTTGGTGAAAGCGCCATTCCGACTGTTCTTCCTAGTCGTCACAGTCAACGGGGAGTTGATGGAGGCCTTGAGCAGGCCAAAGTTACGCTGTGCACTGTTAAGGCAGCCCCAGGGAGTATTGAGCGAAGAAGAGCTTCTGGGGTGCCGTCGCCACCAACCGTGTACCAGCTTGAGGGAGCCCCACCATATCCCATGGCAGACTTATTAACGCAGCTTTCGTCATTGGATGTTGTGTTGCTCATTCCCCCGCTCCGACTTGGTGGCAGAGCTTGCCTTGATGTGGTGCGTGCAGTGGTCTGGGCTGCCGTGCGTGCCAATGCCTGGGGTGTGGTGTTAGTAAGCTCGATCTTTGTGGGCTCCCCCACTTCACAGCAAAGCGTGATTCTTGATCAACTTGAAGAAATCGAAAGCTGCGTCAAGACGTCGGGGGGTCTCGTACACGATCTTGCGGCTTCCGCTGTTCATGGAGTATTTTTTGGCGCTTTCGTATTGCGAGGAAGGCAGAGAGAGTCTGGGAGATTTGGAAGAAGAAAAACGTGAGGTGCCTCCTGTTGATGAAGCTCAATTCGAATCCGAGTCAGAGGTCCAAGCTGCTGATGCTGTGGAAGCAGGAGAAACCATGTTATCTCCTCCGTCGCACATTATGTGGCCGTTGCTTGAGTCTTCGTTGGCGTCTGCGCGAGTCTACTTGATGTCTCTCGAGGACGCAGCAAAGGCTTTGGTAGCCGCTGCCTTCACGTTTCCTCTACATCGAGGTAAAACTAAAGAGCTCTACACCACAAGCGTCACAATGACTGAAGTGCAGCGTACCCTCCAACGTCACGCAAACAAGGCTCGCCCTGTGCGTTTAAGTCGCGTGGATGCTTTAGGCGAACAACACGGTCGTGAATTCTGGCGCGTTGCATACTGGCCCCGTGCACATACGCAGCAGTTCCTTGAATGTGCGGTGGAATTTGCAAAGGACGTGCAAACTGCTGCTGACACTGCGGCTGCTGCTGGAGGCATTGTTGACACCAGTGCAATGGTGTTGCCTGTGTCGCAAAGCTTCGAAGACCTCACCGACATTCCGCCCATAACTCTTGACACGTGGGCTGAAGCTAATTCCAAGCGCTATACTCATTTGCTTGCTGCTCACTAAGCGTTAACGACTCACTCGAACATTTCTGGTGTCCATCGATCAATTGTAGTGTTCATCTTTACTACCATCTAATCAATGCAAACTTTTCTCATCTTACCATGTTTGTTGACTAGCAGCAGCCAGGCTATCCCAGTCTCCTCTGTCACACGTGCTTCAGTAGCGCTTTCCTGCGTCGCTTCATTGCTAGGTATCACTAGGCGTCCGAGCTTCGCGGCAGCCGTTGTGCCCTTCACGAGTATCAAAGAGGCTTGCTTGCCATCATAAAGTCGCTAAAGCTGCAAACGTCTCAAATGTTTTCTGGCAACAAAAGTCTTTCAAAGAGACTGAGGTGTCTCCCCTTTTGTTTCGAAACAAGTCTTTGACACCAACCACAACGCGTTCATTAGAGCAAAATGGATCCGCGTTACGTATGGAGGTGGCATTCACGTCAGTGGTCACCAACCGCAATAACACCCTCGTCATTCACCTTCCGCTCCACAATTCAAAAACCCGCGTGCTGAAAAGAAAGTCGGATGTGGTAGCGTGAAAACTTGGACGCGCCGTTATCGTCGGCACTAGCAACAGACCTGCCCATGATAAGATGGTAGTCGCCGTCAAAAAATGGCTTACTAAAGTCGTCGTGGAGGCTAAATCGAGGCAGGGCTGAAAACATGTATGTCCTCACACTACTCCCAGGCGTTGCTGAGCACGTCTTGATAGTCTTGAGTTGTGGAACGCATAGCATCAAACGAGCGAAGCGACAAGCAAGACCAATAAAGATTCTTGCCATGGGGCGTGTGCAGCCATGTTGACGTCTTCTGGCAGCGTCAAGATGTCATCCAACATCACGTCGACTGAGCGATCCTTCGCATCACGCAGTAACTGGTACAAAAGTTGGCTTTGTCGTAAGCTGGTAGACCACCTTCTTGTCAGTCTCCTATGCCTCCTGCAAATTAACCCAGAGCAGGCCAGCTCCATAACATAGGCACCATGTCGAACTGTTGTCAATATACCGTTGACAGATGATGTAGAAAGACAATTTGATTTTGTATGTGCCTCTGCTTGTTTCCTAGCACCTCTGCTTGTTTCCTAGCACCTCTGCTTGTTTCCTAGCACCTCTGCTTGTTTCCTAGCGCCTCTGCTTGATGGTTAATTGCTAGCTAACTCAACTAGTTGACACGTACGCACAAGGGATGCAACGGCTAACACTAATCGCAAACCTACGTGCCCTTTCGCAACATCACAAATCAGCCCCTATCTTCATGCTTACCTTCCAAAACTTCTCGTCGAGTAAGCCTTACGTTCCATACTCTCTCTTCTTCTCTCCCTGGCGACCATTCCGTCCTTTTCCGTCCTTCGCATGCTTGCCCTACCTTTTCGTCCTTCCATCCAATATGCATGAGCTTACAAAGATTCGCAAGCCTCGTAGCGTCGAGCGCTTTCGTCATCAGGTCGGAGCTGATGCTTGCCGACCTGAGATAACACGCAGCAGTCACGCCGCGCCGTGAAAAGTCGCACAGAACTGAAATCGAACATCAACATGTTTTGCTTTTGACGACGATGCTTCATCCTCAATCTGGTAAATCGTTTCTTAGTTACCGACGTGTAGCTGCATCGGAACAGCCGGCACGATGCTAATCTCGCTGAGCATGTCGCGGTGGCCGAGCATTATGCGCGCCATTTCGGAGGCAGCAACGAACTCGGCCTTCATCATCGTCAACGATATACCGCCCTGTTTACGCGTGCTCCAACTCACTGCCATGCCGTTTAGGCGCAGTACCCCTCCAGTCCTTGCCTTCCTGTCATCGTTTCTTTATCGGCCGCAAAATCGGCGTCGCTAAGCTTCCAGCTGTGGCGCTTTATTGCGGTTTTTTGCCGGCGCGATCGTGGCCTTCAGTCTCACCGTACATTTCAGGTACCGAGCAATACTCTTCGCAAGCTTCAGTCATGCAAGCGCGGCGCGTGCTCTGGCGGGTAGAAGTATGCACCGCAAAGCGGCGTCAGGCCGCGTGCAGCTCGCAATCCACAGTAAGATGGAGCTCGCGGATCGTTGGGCAGCGGTCGTGTTCGAAGCTTTGAGCATCTCTGCGCCGTCTGGCTTCACTTCGTCGCAGTCCTCCCCAATCGGAGCGCTAGTCGACTTGGTGTTCGTGAGTCCGTAAGTGTGAAGATGGTTGCCAATTGCCTACTTCTGTACAACAGTGTACCCACCGTTGCCGTTAAGCTCGGCCCGTATTCCGAGAAACTTGCTGACGCGGCCGCGTCTTGAAATGACAATACGCAAGGATGCGCTACGCTTGTCCCGGTAGCAATGAGATCGTCGAAGTATACGCCAATAACGACGGGGTATTATCCGTATCTTTTACAATACAGGCAGATATCACTCTCGCAGCGCTGGAATCCGGATTCGACAAGACAGGTAAAGAGCTTTCTCCAACGTCGGCTAGCCTGTTGATTCCGCAGAGACTCTTATGGAAATCCAGAACTAGTTCGTTTGCGCTCGCGGCGCCGTGCTCGCGCAGAATCATGTCAGAAACGCTCATGCCGCGCGGCAGCTGCATGTATATCAGCAGATAAACCTCCTTGTCGGCTTCGACAATATGTCTCCATGCTTTGCACCCCCAGGTGGAAGCGAGCGCCAGTATGGCGTTTACACTTGAAAGGTTCATGACGGCGGCAAACGAAAGACTTATTGTCGATATCCAGCATATGTTCGTTACCTCAATAGCCTAGGCGTGGTATCCGAGCTACTGTATCCAAGCTACTTATGCAGTACGTGCAGAGGAAAACAAACTCCACGATCTTATACGCCTTAGGGTTCTTAACCCTCCCAAGGCTAGCTTCACAATCTGACGCCTTTGGTTGCAAGCAACCACGTCTACAAGAGACCAGTATCATAGATACATTTCTTTTCTTTCAAGGAAGAGAACGCTCTATCACTTGTGCTATTCAGAGCAGGTTTTAAACTGTCTCCTAGCACTAAATATTGAAGCACCTAATCTATACTTAGTGCTAGTCACTACTATACTGTCTCTGTAGCCTTTTATTATTATTCAAACATGCATAGTCACTATACTTAACTAAGTATAGTGACCACGTGGCTCTCTGCCACGATGGGACTATTCGTACCTTAGGTACGGTCACATCAAACCTACTAATGTACCCAAGGTACAGCCACACCACATTGGTGTGGCAGGTGTGTATGTAAAATGCACACCTTTGTGTAAACCCGTTACACGTGTCTTCAGCCTCTCGATCTTGCCTTACGCTTCAGTCTTGGCCTTGTACACCCACTTAGTGTGATAGACGTTCGGGCCGCGATTCCTTCTTCAATTGACTTTCCCATCTATCACGCTTGTCACTGCGCATGGATTTACTGTAGTGTGCTGGGTCGCGCTCGGAAACAGCTTTCAGGTCGTTGCGGCTTCCAGTCGACTCCTCTGCGATGCGGTTGCCTGCACTCGCTTCGATATGCCACCTTATGCAGACCGTGTCCACGGTTTCTTGGTCTTCTTGCGAGCCCCAGTTTAATATCGCCTATATTTTTCTTGACACTATTGGTGTTGGTGCCGCTTCTGGTATCGAGTCACATGCTGTGTCATCTCTTTGTCCTCTTCGTCCATCGCTTGCTATAGCTGCGCGTTCTGAGCGTCAGAGAGCTTGTCGATAATCCTGAACGTACTGTGTTATGATCACCTTGTTCTCTTTTTGCATGAAACCTTTTATCCTTTCGTTTCCTCACTGATTCCGATGATCGTGGTGGTCTGTGCGCGCTGTCATAGCTTGTACTGGAGAGGGTTCCGATACATGCAGCAGAGAGATCCGAGCACGACTATCTTGCGCAGGTCCGAGACCTTCCCTGTCGGCACTTTGATGGATGATGCCCGCTTCGTATTCGTGATCATCGAACTGCGGTTCGGGATTTACGCCTAAAGTGCAAAAGCAGCCTGCATGCAAGAATTATACTTCGTACCATATTCAGCACCGGCTCGCGCATGCGCTGAGCCTCGCCGTTGGACGCCTGACTGTGGGCCTCGGACAATTGCCTAGCGACGCCAGTCTTCTTGCAGAAGAGGTCGACGTTGGCTTACACGCCGCCACCATCGGTGCGTAACACATGGATGCGGCAATTGAAGCGCTTTCGAAGGCGACTAGAAAATCTTCACAAGACTTGGCTTATGCGTCTTTCTTGCGCACGAGATGCGGCAGTTTCAATATGTGATCGACAAAAGTGGACAGGTACCGGTTGCCGAGTCGATTTTGTGGTGTCATCGGACCTTTCCTTTCAGGTCCGTGCAGATTACACCGCCGGTTACGTATATCGGAGCGTGGCGCCGCTGTCCTGCTGTGTCTGTTTTTGCACGTTGCTTGCCTTCTGTGTACGAGACGCACGCCATGCGCTTGTTGCCTGTCAGTCAGACGCCAGAGGCTATTTCATGCCATGCGCTCGATGGTATCAAACGACAAATGCCCAAAGTAGCCAAAGCGCGGGTGGAAGTGCAAAGGAAGTGCGACATAATGCCTTCTTGTAAATAACACGCCATGATGGCTTATCCTACACCGTTCATGTCTTGCATCGCTATCATGTCGACCAAAATCACGTTGGTATACATTACGACGTCAAATGCAATAGCACCGTCGGTGCGCTGAGCAAACGCTAGATTCTCTTCGTCTTAGACGAGAGATAGCCCTTCCTCTTAAGCTCTGCAAGAGAAGATGTTATTCGTCAGTCGTGGGGCCAGGTACACGTCCGTGAGCATCACGGTGCTCTCGACTCCGCGCGGTATGACATTTAACCGCGCGCTGCCGACTAGCGTCAAGTGCAAAGCCTTTTCGTCGGCCATGGCGGTTTTGTGGCTGCAATTGGCCAAGTCAATCAGCAACGTCTCATTATTTACACATAATCAACTCACGCCGCTGTCGAGGATCCAATGCATCGATTGCTATCACATGTCTCTCTGAAGACGAGGACCATTTTGCTCTTGCTCTTCAAGCTGCGCTGGTCGTGTCCCATCCACCCT